TAAGCATTTAACTTTGGCCCAAAGTTGCTCAGCCCTTTGCAAGAGTGAGCAAATCAATTGCCGTTTCCGTGTACTTTTATTGGCAACGGAACAAATGAAACAAATTTTATGAAAAGTAAAATTAAAAGTGAATGTTTCCTTCCCGTCATCTTCATCTTCATCTTGTTCTCGCACAGAATTTTAAGCGAATTCAAATTGATTTTTCATCGAGGCAAACTTTTTCAGTTGCCGCCTTAAGTTTCAATATCGTTATGCATAATTAACGGAACGGAACTGAACTGAACTGAACTGAATGTTCAAAGGCAGCAAGTGGGAATGGTGGTGCAACTATTGCAGACTAGCTGTGGTGCTGTGATTATTTATTCGTAAAACATAGTAAGTACTTAAGGTCATTTCAGGGGTAATGGGTTCACAATAAAAGAAGAACTAACAAAAACGAAAACAAACAGATTTGCTCGGAAACAAACGGTACCAATGTCGGCAATATCGTGAACAATTTGAAACTTAAAGGTAACAAATGGCAACTGTCCAATATCACGACTGCCGATTGCGAATAATATATTAATACATACATAATATGTATAAATCATGAGGTGGCTAATTTGGAATTTCGGCTTTGCGGATACATAGTAGATACGGATACGGTTATTAAATGCTGATGCTGGTGGAATCATACGAGTACGAGTAAGAATGCAAAAAATATAAAGAGAGAAAGAGAAATTACCGCCTGCAGCATCTGTTGAGCGTGTGTGGTCGAGAAAGTAAAGGTAAAGTTGTATTAATAACTGCTCTTTCGTTCTGGCATTGTAAAGATACTATGCTTTTGGTTTTTTTTGTTTATCTAAAAGATTCATGTTTGGTTTACAATAATATATGTATGTACGTATAAAGTATATATTTAGGTGTGTGGGTATACTATTTAAAGAAGTAGCAGAAAAAGGAGAAAAAAGTTGTGAGCTAGTTTGGTGGCTGTTGAAAGTGATGCGGAATGTCGTCGTAGAGGATAGTTGAAATTGAAATTGAAAATTTGAAAGCTTAAATCTGAAATCTGAGAGCTGAGAGTTGAGCGGAGCCCAACCAGCCAGATGGGTCGACTGACTGACTGACTCACTGACTGACTGACTCTCTGGCTTTTGACGTGTTCGAGTTCAAATTTCCGTTTTGTATTTCAATGTGGACATGAACGTGGCATGGCGTGTCTTGGCGTTCTTGTTGATACGTTGTAAATACTTATATGTATGTATGTATGTATGTATGTGTATACGTATGTGTATATGTGTGTACGAGTATATATTTATGTGTACCAGTGTACAAATAAAGGAGCATAAAAAGAGAAAGAGAGACGAGGGTTTGTAGGCAGGAAGAAATTGTACGAGTAGTAGAAGAAATTGAATTGTGTGTTTTCTGTATGTTCCATCGATGCGATAGCAGCTGTGACTGTGTGCTCTCGCTGTTTTATATTTTGCTATTGTTGTGAGGTTGTTGTTGTAGTTGTTGTTATTGTTGCTGTTGTATTTGTTGTTATGCTCTTGTGTTGTGTTGTGTTGTGTTGTGCTGGAGAGTCTACGGACTGCTGTGCATTTGGGTATCGTGTCGTTTGGATGTTGGATTGTATGTTTGTCAAGCTCTTGTGTTAAGTGTGTTTTACAATGAGGTAAAGTTCTGCTGTGAAGGCATAGGAGGAACGTACAATTACAATTTTTGTTTTTCGTAAATATGGATACTCTTTGGGGAAATCGCTATATGACGTGGTATGTTTGTATGTGTTTACTTATATACTTATATACAATTAAAATTCACATTATAACAATACGTAGCTTGCAAGGTCAGTGTGGGTGAGAAATGAGCGGGTGTACGGGCACAATCGAGTATGGAGGAAGGCTTCACAAGTGAAGCACTGGTCAACTGAGTTGCCTTCGGACAATGTTCAAATGAGCTTTGACCAAGAATGTTCCTTGAAATGCTTGTATGAGTAGTCTGGACAATCCATGAAATCGGTGCAAACTTATTATGTTCATAAAAAACGCCTCAGTGAATGTTTACAAGCGACGGTGCCTATAGTTTCCATTCATAGAAGCAAAATGCGGTAGGTAGTAACATATGTATGTGTGAGTGTGTGTGTCTCTTCGTAGAAAGCGTGTAGGTTTATATAAAAAAACAAACGGAAATAAATAAATTGAGAACAAAACTGTGCAATGATAGCAATGTTTAAAATATATTTGTACATTTGTGTTAAAATATTCATTCGGTTTCAATTTTGAACGGCATCTATGTAAATTAATCTATTATATTTAAATTGAAATTTTAATGAATCATGTTCATGCTTTGGCCAATCAAAGAAACTGTTGCCCTCCATTCAAAACTGAAACAAAGCATCAACCAAAGAACTGAACAGGGATGTGCTATAAAAATGATTCATATTGTATAATGAAAATATTTCATTAGTATGTACTTTTATAAACTTATTTAATAACTGTTAGCTGGCCTATTTGTGAATTCGTTGTTATTTGCAACTTACTCAACTAAGGCATGTATGTGGCTTTCGTGTTTGAATCGCTTACCTGAAACGAAAGAAGAGAACAAATTAATATAAGGATTGTACGAGTACCCAATTCTACATACTAGTGCCTAGATTGTGAAAAGCTTTCATAAATGCAATGGGCATAATTTACGACTACGAATGCAATAAATCTGGAACTTATTGTTGCAAACAGAAAAGTCTTAATGACGCAAATGGAGACCAATGCGACTAACCCGACATAAGCAGATAAATTGTCTGAGTAATAGTTGACAATAGAGCCACATTTGCGCATACATCACCAACGCCAACACACACACACTCAAATAAAAGCACAGGGGGGGTGAGGCAGTTGGTCTTAAATTTAAATATCTTTATAGATTTGGCGAGGTTTTCGTTATTTTACGACTCTAAAATACATAAGTATTTTGGCAATGGGAGTTTTAAATATTTTCTTTTGCTTTTGCTCAATAAAATGTGGAATTGCTCGAACCTCCCCTCCAGCTCCAGTCCGTTTGACAGGCCCTAATTCTGACATAGTCATAGGTTGTGTTATTATTGCTACTCGTATTGTTTTTTATGCACTCTGCGGCATTGTGTAGGTAGGCACAAGTGGGTCTGCGTTTTATTTCTTTTTGCACATTTTGTCGCATTTTTATGTCGAACTTTAAGTGGCTGCTTTGCTGCATCACTGAGTCGGGCGGGCGGTGGTCCACCCTCCTCCAAATGGTTCATTGATTGCGCACAAGCACGACGGGCTGGACGCAAGAACACGTACGAGATCTACTCTAGCGAGTTGTTGTCCCATGTGTGTTTCACTGTGTATGTGTGTGCCAATATCTAATACTTTGTATCTCAGTAATTGACGAATGTGGGCGCTAAATATAGTAGTCGACATACTTGCTGCATTATGTGCTTCGTCGATACAATTCAATTTTTATGGCCATGCTAATGGCATTTTCGTGTTTCATGTTCAACCTATCTGCCTTGCAGTCACGATTGGACAGCTTAATGGCTAGTAGAGTAGATCAAAGCTCAGGCTCAACCACATGCGCCGCGATTTGTTGTCAGCTCATGTTTTACCTCATGATATCCTGCAGGTCTTATCAATGATTCAACTGTGTGTTACCCGTATTCGAACTCAACTTTTTTGAACATTTATCCATGCATAATATAAATAATCAAATCAGTTTCCTTGGAAACAGACACAACCGTTTCCGTGGTGTTGGAAATTGAATGAAAAAATATAATAGGTTGAGAATAATCGGGATATATGAGACGACCACTGAAATTGTGTCTCAATGCTCTAGGCTTTATGACTTTGGTTTAAAATGGTAATTGAATAAATTTTGGCTTTCTAGTGTAAAATAGGATATCTTCATCTTTAACAGTTGATTATGAAACATTTGAATCATGCTGGATCGAAATCATGCAACAAAAAAACTGAATATGGAGTTATAACTAGTTTTGCATACAAATTGGCTGACACTTTAAAGATGTATCTTGTCGGAGCTGTTTGTTAAAACATATTATGTATAGTGGAAAGCTGTCTGGCTCCAAACTAGGAAATGAAGGCAGTTGGAAGTTGGTTCAATTAAGAGGCAAAAAGCAAAGGCAGTTGGGCGTTGCCTACGAAGCTGCAGAATTTAGCATCAATCTACACAATTAAGTATATCAATTTGTTGGAACCACTTCCCGACGCATTCGTGCAGAATTTCTGCGTTCGATAAGAGCTTCGAATGCGTCGAACGTGCACGGCGTTCTGAGTTAACGGCTGCTCTGTTGGCGGACGCGCCATAAAAGCCAACTGGCGACATGAAGTTATTTCGTGGCCGGGGTAGAGGCTGAAGCTGAGTGGGGTTGATGGTGGGAGTATGTTGCGGATGACGCCTTAGTGGGCACGCACGCTTTAAGGTTCAGACTGACTGTCATTTAAGAGCAGACTGCCTAGCTATGTATGGATTCTACTGGAACTACAAATATGTATTTATATATGTAAATGCGAAAGGATGACATTTAGTTGGGGGTCGCATGTTGCTAGTTGATAAGCATTTTAAAGAAAATGTTGCCTTTTTGAAACCATTCAATGATTTTCCGAGCGATTGCACAGCTCCAGAGCCAGCATCAGTGCCACCGATTAAACAACAGCACTAACACAATGCGCTATTGACGAAGTGTGAGGAAGGTGGGGTAAAAGGCAGTAGCCACTTTCATGTTCCTTAGTTTGTTAGTCAGAGTGTGTGAGTGTGTGTGTGTGTGTGTGTAGGTCTGGTGATGGTGATGGTGATGGAGCAGGGTGGCATAACAATTTTTTACTGATGCTGTCGCTTGGACTGTGCATCAGATTGAAAATGAATTATGTATATCGATCGAGTTCCAAAAATATATTCAATACAATATTCTATAATGTGCTTTCTAAGTGATTTTCGCTTGGCTTTCGGGCCACTGCCACTGCCACTGTCACAGTCACAACTCAGCTTACCTTTAACGGCACTTAATTGGTTTCCAACCATTTGTTTTGCTATAAAAGCCGCCATCTTTGGACTTTCCTATGGGCGTGTCTTTTGTGTTTCGGAATGCACTTACGGCCTTGCTTAGCTTAGAGCACAATCGCAACTGTAACGAAAAGAGGGAAGAAAATTAAATTGATAGGCTTGCAATAACAACGAAGTCAAAGGGCGGGGCGTTGGCTTTGACAGGTGTTAATGGGCGTATCAAGAATCCTTCAATCACAGAAAGGAATTTATTCTAAAACCATTTCCAGTTGACCTAGCGATATCAACAAATCCGGATTTTGTATTGTTTTTCTATGTGCATCTTGAATTGAAGGTAGGGTTAGAAACCAATTTCATTTCTAAAGTGTTTTACCTATATATATTTTACCATAGTAAGTCCAATATCAATTGAACAGAACTATTTTATAAAAATAGCGATTTATTATTATTATTATTAAATATACGGCTCTTCAGTATGTGTTATTATTGGTTGTATGGACTTTCTTTCAATAATTTGATACTTCCTGTTGTGTTGTAAATAAAGCAACGCATTTGGATTTGGAATAATTATGGTTTGAACATTTTGAATTTTTAATTAGCTTCGAATCAGCTGAACTTCAATAAAAGGTGCGCAACTAAAATCTAAACTTTGAACAACATACAAATATAAGACTACGCCCATGAAACCACGTTGAGTGAAGCAGCTTCTTGCTCCCTGAAACCGGCAGCTTTTCAGCTTACACGTCTGTGTGACTCCTGGCATCCCCACGCGAATGCTGCGAGCTGTGCACAGGACCGCCAGTTGCCCAGCCCTGTCACCTGCGCGCTGATACTTTAAGCCGATTAGCTTGAATGCCTTCAGCTGCGAACCCATCCGCTTCGCAGAGTGCCGATCTGCCCTCTGCCCTCACGGCTACAAGGCGATTTTCTAGCCACTGCCTTTGTGCGTCTAGTTAGTTGCGTTTTCAAGTAACTTTCAGCGCCAGTGACATTAAGAAGCAGGAAAAATATGTTCCAAGCATATTTGCAACATTAAATATTTTGCATCATCTATTCAACAGTGCTAGGCAAAAGTCGCGAGCAGCTGTCTCTTTTGGGACAGAACTCGACGAAATCTAATATCTCTTGATGTTATAGTAAGTCAGCACGAGCTGCACACAATGATGCCGTAATGAATGTGGGCGCAAGTGCCCCACGCCTCCGAAAATTTTCAATTTTATTTACGCCGCAGGCAGTCAAAGCCGTCGCTTTCCTGACGCACAGCTCCATATCTCTGCTTAGTCGCACAGCCCCTGTTTCGCCGTCTTTGTAACTGTGTATTAATATCTGCGAAAATTGGGCTAACGAACTTAAGCCGAAGGCGGCAACTTCCTTTCTGGCTAGCTGCGCAAATTAAAACAACACCAGGAACGAGCAACGAAATTAGTTTGACATAAAAACCGTTGGGTTCGGTTTGCTCTGCTGTTGGTCTCCTTGCTTACAATCTGTCCCTGTCTCTGGATCTGGTATCTGGGGTCTGGGGTCTGGGATTGTGGTCTTCATTTTGTGAGCGGCGTTTCCTGTGAGGCAATGAATTAAGTTGCTGTTGCAGCACAAAATTTTCCTTATTTGTCCTGCGGCCCAGTCAGCAGAATTGCTTATTAGCCAAAATAAAAAAGACGTGGGCAGTGGGCAAAAGGAAATATTTTTAGTTTACAAAATTCACTGTTGTAATCTACGTGCAACTACCCCTAAAAGAAAAGGGGTTAACAGAGTAAGGCGGGCAAAGGTGAAAAAGACCGCGTTTAATATGTATATGTAAATAAAAGCGTAAATTTATGGCATTCGTGCTTAGCATTTTATTGGCCAGGTGTCCAGCAGGAGCAGAAAGTCCGACTAGGTGTGGCTATAATAAAAACCTTTATTTTTCCAGCGCCTTTTATTTTGCATACAAATATATGTTCAAGAAACACTGGCAAAGCGGAGAGCTATCCAATTACGTTTGAAGTTTTCGAGTTTTCGTTGCCTTTGATACACAAAGCCAATAAACACGCAAATAAGCAAATAAGCCATGTTGTTATGTTTTAACTTGCTGTCCCCATAGTAGCTGCCATAGTTTGCATTTGGACAACATGTTGATCGCTTCAGTTACCTTGTCAACTGTGGGCTGGATGATAAGCTAGGGGTTAGCCCTTTTTTCCGGCAAGGCAGACCGAAAAGCTTACAAATTAAATCAAACTTTTCGCAAGATTTGTGTGGAGATGGGGCGCATAAGGAGGCTTACACAGACACACACATGCACCCATACTAGTATAGCATGCACACACGTCTTGGGCGTAGTTTCAAGTTAAAAATGCGTCGCATTCACGCGTGAAAATGCGAAAAACTTTTACCGTGTGCGCTCAAATATTTGACTTGAAATACTTTGAGCATACTTTTGGACCAACTTGCGCCGCACCCGTGTTCCGCACGACGCATGACGCACAGGCATCATTAAGTGGCAAAGAAAAAGTGGAAATCGCTGAACCCTCCCCCTACTTACCTGGGCTCAATTTAAAAGTGCCAGTTCAGGAAATATTTGCCAATGTTGTAACTGCTCCGGTGGATGTGGCTGCGGCTACTGCAGAGATTGCCGTTGGAAACTTTGGAGTGTGAGTGTGTTGGTTAGTAGTTGGTTGCTTGGTGTCTTTGTGTTTGGTATTGACTGTTTTTGAAGAGGCAAAAGTTTGGAAGTAGCTGTGCAGTGTTTTTGTTTTAAAGAAATCCGCAAAGAAGCGCGAGCAGCGTCACAGAGATAGGGGTTCTGCAAGAGGCCATAAAAAGACAAAAGCTTGATGTTTGAATGAGCACACCACAACAATTAGATAAAGAAAAATACAATTATTATATAAACTAGGTGCTCAGACGGTATTTAGCTTTGGAGCTTTGTTTTCCCAAAACCCCATCGATGTTTCAAATTCTGCTCATGCAATTAATGTTAATTGCTTAATTACTGTTGCAATAGATATGTGCAGGTTTAAAATTATAAGACATTCACATGTTTGCCGTCTTAGTTTCAATATTTATGTAGATTAAAAATCAAATTCTTAATTAACACAATGGACGGATCGAGTTCTTTGAAGACTGTTCTTCATTTTTTCTTCTTCTCTATTACTGCATAGTTGGTTTAACCCGCTTATTGACATTGCATAAAAAATAATGAGGGAACAAATTTAAAAATACATGTGCCACACACAGCCGTCGATACACTTTGGTGGCCGTGGCTGCTTGCGTGCGTGTTTTGTTGTGGTTATTGTTGTTGTTGCTGTTGTTGTTTTTGATGTTGATGTTCTTATCGATATTTCTTTATTAAGGTTTCTTTTTATGCGAGCGCGTAAGTGCCCATTATGGGGCAGCCAGTCAGTGCCAAAGCCAGCTCAGCGTCGCACACAAAGGAAAGTGCGCTGCTGGTGTCGCTAACAAAGATGGTGGCGTCTATGGCGATGGCGTTGGTGGTGACGGGGCACAACCAGACCAAACATTTTTTACGTAACACGCGCCGTATCAGCTACTGATTTAATAAAATTGTTAAAAAGAAGTATGAAGAACTTTTGTGCTACGTTACTTTTTGGTCTTCTGATTTTATTAAGGTCACGACACTGATTATATAAAGACAGTTGGGCGAAGAAGGGATGTGTGAAGGGTGAATGGTTAAGGGGGAGAATGCCGAGCTTAAATTGTTTATAATTGAATTAGCTCGAAAAATGCTTAGTTTATTTGTGTAATTGAATTAGTTTTTCATTGCAATGTGTCATCGGGTTGCCGTTTTTATTTTTCAATCGCGCACTGCTCGCCTTTTTGTTTTATTTCATTATTACATATTAAATGTATATGTATTTGGTCACATTGTATACACATGGAGACGCACATATACATATTTATATGTACATACACGTAAATACATGTGGGATTGTGTGTGTACATTTTTTTAATACTTTAGGTTTTTCACTTTACGCTAAGCCTATATTTTGTTCGGCGCTTCTTACTTCATGCTATGTTCGCACTCTTCTGTATCGCACTGCCGATTTCCCTACATGGAAAACATGTGTCTGGCACGGCAGGCAGCCAGAGTTACGACCCAGAGCCGAGCTTCGTGCCATAGCCGACGACGTCGGCGCTGTCGGCACCGTCGGCATCGTCGGCACCATCGGCAGCTGCGCTGCCAGCGCCGCAGTAGGTGAGTTGCCTAAAATCCAATAAAAACAAGAGAAAACTCTGTAGGGGGCGGAGGCAGAGACGCTAACTGCTACGCTTACGACAACTACTAACGAAGCTTTTTTGTACGCGAATTTCCCCTATTACACACAAATACAGTCGCAAGCACGCACCCGTACACACGCACGCTCGCAAACACACACATTGTTGTTGGTGTTTTACTTTCATGTAGAGTACATTCGCACTCACACGCACTCACTCGTAGCTGTGGGTTAGTGGCGTCTGCGTTAGAGTGAGTCAGCATCAAATATGTATCGCACTGCCTTATCTCGCGTTGAGTGGAAATTCTATTGTGTTGGTATGGGGCAGGGCGGAAGGGAGGCAGGGGGGCGGTGGGGAAGGTGTGGAAATGTAAAAGGAAAGAATAGCACTTTGGGCACAAAGGCAACGGCAGAGACAAACACTTTTGCCTTTTTTGTTGTTGTTGTTGTTGCTGTTGCTGTTGCTTTTAAGGCACACTCTTTTATATAATCACTTTTGCATTTGCTAATAATATATTTATCTACTGACTTTTTCGTGCATTACATAATTTTTCATACATTTGCTTGCTCTCTCTCTCTCTCTCTCTCTTGACTTTTTGACTTTGAAATAAAATATTGCCTACATTTGTGCGCCTTGGCCATACAGCGCTTGCGCGGGAATCCACAGAGAGCATGCCTTAGCGTTATTGATTTGTTGTTGGTTTTATTATGATTATTGTTGTTGATATTGTTGTTGTTGTTATGTGTGCCGTGCTTGTGTTGTGATTGTGGCAGGCTATTATTTTTGCCAAAATGGCAAGCGAGTCTGTGATAACTTATCCATTCTACGCGTTATTTTTTGCACATTGACATATGGTGCACATGCTTAAAAGAGTTTTTCAGGCCTCAGGCAGTCGAAGCACTTAAGTGGCTCTTGAGTTTATTTGTCAGTTGCCATTAGCGAAAATCTATTGGTACATTCACATGTACCCAAGTACGTGCATGAGTGTTTTTCACACTCCAACTATCGGGAAACTTTTGCGATGCACCGGAAACACGCAGCTTGAAACAAGGAAATTGCAAAATTGTGCCTCAGTTCGTCTGTAGTTCTGCGTATAAACATACATCCGTACTTATGTATATGTTTAACCACTTGGCATTCTGAGGTCTGCGGTCAACATTTAGCCATGACGAGTGCATCGATTGCCTTAAGGCAACATTCACAAGAGAAACGTACACGATTCTAATTAGTGTGATATAAATACAATCCCAGTCCAAACCACAGAGGCAAAACAAGAGAAACGACCCCACTAAATGCTGGGGTTTATTGTTTCGTACTCAATCAATTATAGTTTCTTAACATTCGCTGACTGTCTATGCCTTTGTTTAACTGAAAGTCTATGTGAGTCTATATATGTGTGTTTGTGGGTATATATATATATATGTATCGCATTCTCCCTTTGCCCTTTAAAATGTGAGTTTGTGGGTTGACATGTGTGTAGGTATACTTAGTCCCATGTGTTGTGCTTGTTATTGCCGTGTGTGGCTTATATATATACCAATCAATTATATTTCTCGCTGTCTTGCCGCGCACTACGATTTAAGCCCATTTTCTTTTTGTGCCACAAATTGCTTATTACTTCTGCTAGCTTACTGCTTGAGATGAACGTCACGTCACACATTTTGTGCCCCTCGTTGGGCGCCCTCAGGCACTACAGAGAAACATTACTACACATTCAGTTATGCTGCTACATATGGGAAATTTTATTTTATTTTTTGTTTTACAGACAGCCTGCCGCTTACCTACAACCGTTGAAGGCACCGTAAACTAAACGAATTTCGCTTACTAAAAATGTTGTTGTTGTATATTTTATTTAACTTTCGACACTTTGCCGTGGCCGTTTTGCAATGTGGTGCGCGCCGTACAACAACAACGCCGTACTGTCACGCTCATCAGTATATACATACCAAAAAGGTGAGAAGCAGCTCATGGCACTGCTCGACGCTCGGCAGAAACTAAACGATTGCTTATGTATGAGTGAGTGGTGTGTGCACTGGTATATGTGTGCATGTGTGTATGTGTTTTTGGGGAGGGGGAGGCACAAATTGCCCAAAACTTGTATCCTGTAATTTTGTAGCAAGCGCTTGTGGAGCTTGAGTAAGAGAGAGCTAGAGAGATTGACAGACTGAGAGAGTGCGCTGTCATTTTGACAGTTGACCCGAAAAGCTCCGGCTGCATTACAGAGTATATGTTAAAAGCTTAGCGACACGTATCCAAAATACCTACTAATACTCGTACATTTGAAACGCCTTATTACACGGCCAACTAAGCAAAGGGCTAACTGACCACCCACAGTATCCTGGCCTGGTATATCTACGTACCAGGTAGCTGATAGTGTGTGACGATGAAGAAGTTAGAACTGGCCCATTCGATTAGTTGCATAAGCTAGAGACGTCTTGCACTGTTTCAGAACATTTTCAGCTTTCTACGCACAGCATTTAAGTATTTTAAACGCGAAATATCTTGTGGATGCGTCGATGCGGTGCGGAAACCGGAACCGGCAGCGACATTAGCTAATTTCGTTATGCGTGGATATTATGCTAATCTGTATGTATTTTATATTGGTGTTCCGCTTGTAAATTTTTTACGCCTGTCGTTCCACACAAACCGGAAGAAACGAGCGCGGCAGACGACTTTACTTTGATTATTATGTATTTCAACTGAGCAAGCAGCTTGTTTATCCAAAACAGTCAAACGACTGGCAGAATGCGAGAGATGGCAGCTCACCTGCCACACACACACATGTGTATACATATTTCCTTTCTGCTCGTATGGGTGGGCATCTGTGCGTGTGTGGGAGAGCGCTCGCGCTTTTACAAATGTGTGCGTGTAAGAGACGTATAAGTAATTTATATAAATTATTTAATTAAGCCATATACGTCAGCAGGCACCACAGCCCATTATTTAGATTAAAATCAAACTCATTCCGTTTTATGCTGCACACGCAGCCGCCAAAAAGACACCTGTTCGGAACTTGGGGTTGTTTTCAAGCTATTTTTCTGACAAAATTGCAAGCATTTATGTATTTTTTTGAGGCCCTTAAACAAATACTCCGCCTCTTTTTTTTTGTTTGCCAAACGGACTAATGATTGCAAATTTTATATAAATAATGATGTACAACATTTATATAGTTTTGCTTATCAACCTTGCAATATCAATCATTTAATAAATATACATTTATAGGCATTTAATTGAATTGGTATGCGCAGTATCTGACTTTATGGTTTAGAAATGTCGAAAAATCGATTGAACCGTTTTTATGCTGTGTTTCGAGAAGCGATTCGAATTCGATTAAATTCAAGCTTAATACAAGTAGTTCACTGCAATCTCAAATTCTTGCTTTTACTGAAAAAGCTACGCACTTTTGAAGGATGCGAAAAAAGAGTTGACATGACTTTTTGAATCCAGAAAGAAAAAGGCATTTAATTTACTGTTTGGCAATGGAAATTCGTCACATTTGGCACCGAATCGCATTGGCTGCTGTGCGCACAAATTGAAGCTTAGTTTAATGAGCCTGGGGCCTGGTCGTACCTGGGCATTTACCGTAGTTGCTTTTAAGCCCAACTGTTATCAATCAAATGGGTCGCAGTGTATGTATATATGGAGTATAATAAACTGTTGGTATGGGGCGTCGAGTTGTTAGTCAGCCCTCTTGGGCTTCTGGTCGTTTTCAATCAATGAAAATACAACAGGGAAGATGACAACAGAACTTCACTTCACCCGCAGACAATGCCATTTAAGGGGAATGCGTTGACGAGTTTAAAGGCACCGCAAAAGTACAAGCTGGCTACTCATGGGAGTGGGTGTGGGAGTGGGGCCGGCGCCGGGGCCGGGGCCAGGGCTGGTAGCACTGGCGTATGACAGCCAGAGTGGCTTAATTTAAAACGGTTTCATGTTGTGATTTTGACAAATGATAATTTTTCCATGTGCGAGCGTGTGTTGGTGTGAGTGTGCGATAGCTTTTGTGTTTGGCATGGCAGCTATCTTGGTCTCTCTGTGCAGTACCCGGTCAATGAGTTGGCGTATTGTGTGGTCTATGCCAGCCAGATAAGTACCCGTTCCACTGTCACATGTCACAGAGTATGTCAAAGGTTCATTAAGTAAGTAAGTCAGCTTTTGAGTTGCCGGACAAATGTATCAGTTTCTACACCAAAAACTACGTTTGAACAGCTTGCAATTGTGTGTGTCACACCGCCCACCAGCCCATCTACACACACTATACATTGAAACCCATCAGAGCACAAAAAGGAGCCTGCGGAAGACAGCCAAGCGGGTATAGTATTAACAGCCAACAGCCAACAGCCAACAGGCAACGTTGTTGCAACAATTTATTGATTCAACAAAAATGTGGCAATGCCAATGCCATGGAATATTGTTGTTGCTATTGTTGCCACAGTATAGTCGTCGTCGAGCCAACTAGTCATGGCTATTTGGGGGATTTAAGGCGGGAGCTCAATCGGCATGCGGCCAAAACCAATAAAGCTAACAAATTGGCTAAATGTGTATAAACGACTTGCAACATGTCCGAAAATATAAACAACAATCAGAGTGACAATAAAACTGAGCCCGTCAGCCCCACCTCAAACCACTCTCCTGCGATCAATGCCAACGACTTGACGGAACCGAATCCATCTTGGCTACATTTCGAGGCACAAGTCCTGAACCGTAGCATCAATAGCGTTACCATAGAATGGTCTGCCTTTGACGGTGCAGTGGTGTATAAAATTGAAAAGTTTCATAAACGGCGCGGCTGGCAGCAGGTGGAGTGGAGTAGCAGCAGTCCAATCACCATATTTAATCTGGAGGAGAACTTTAGCTGTAGATTGCGAATTATTGCGTTGCATTTGGCAGCCGAAGGAACTCATTATGAGGTGCTGGCCGTATCCCCAGACGTAATCGTAAATATTTTGGAGAAGTCCTCTGATTGTCCAAATTGCGTTTTTATTAACTCGCATTACGTTTAGGCAATTACTGAGGCTGCATTGCCGTCCACAAACTGCTTACATCGTGCCATACGAAAGGGTCAACAGTTTCTGGTAAAGCGCATGTTACGCCGACGACCCAGCTTGATAGACTATCCGGGACCCAATGGATTCCTGCCGCTAGCGAATGCGATAACGCAGGGCGAGATGTGCATTATTGATGTACTCCTCTCTGCGGGCTGTAGCGTCCACGTGGGAAATCCAAGCTGCCACACAACGCCATTACATGTTGGTGACCAGGATTCCTGTTGGGACCGACCATTGAATGTTTTGCATTTCAGCTTGCATTTTACCACGGACATTTGCAGTCGGCACGCATTTTGCTGAACAAAAAGGCACAGCTGGAAGCGGTTGACTTCAATGGCATGACACCAGCTCATTCTGCAGTCGACGGCAATCAACTGGAAATGCTGAAGTTCGCGCTCGAATCCGGTTCAAATTTAGAGGCCAGGGACCGTTGCGGTTGGACGCTGCTGTTACGGGCAGGTGGGTGGACAAATACATGCCGCAAATGAAAAAGTGTTTTTGGCTATGCTTTCTCGATATACTAGTTGTCATGAATGCCGACCTGGAGTTGGTGAAATTGTTGGTCACCCATGGGGCGGACTTGGCAGCCATCGACGATTTGGGCAAAAACTGTTGTGATTTGGCACGGCTATACAAAAGAACAGAGGCCGGCGATTACTTCGAAAAGGTGCATACATTCAGGCAAATGAAGCTGAAGGTGACTCGGGCCACAAAGCCCACTGACTTGTAACTATTCGATGAAGGTGTTGAAGGAAAATTCTCTAATTAAGTAATTAATTAAGGAGTGCACAATGGTATTTAACATTTTATTTTCTGATCACATTACGAAAATCCGTCCAGGAGATTAATTAAAATAAAATCTAAATGCTTTTGAAGAACACAACTATTTTTTATTAATCAAGTCGATATATCAAACACAGTTTGTGGTTAATTCCGTCTGATAGCCACACGAATATATGTTAAAGAAATCGGGATTTTGCTTCAACCCCAAATAAAAAACATTTTCGGCCAGTTCTCTGCCAAATTCGCAGAAATTCTGTGCATAGAACGTGAAGAAAAATCGCTTGTTGCTTAGATGGTATTGCTTTAATATCTCATTCTCGTGGTCGTAGATCTCGCCATGCGCCTTGGACGATTTGATCCAGTCGCTGTAGTCCTGCCAAGCATTGCGAAAACTCTTCAGGTAAATAACGGCGAGCGTTCGCGCCTCATCAAGGACATTGACAAACTGCGGCAGCTTAAGGCACTCAACGCTCTCGCGAAAGTGCTGGAAGTCGCGCTGCCGTTCCGTGCTATTAAACAACATCATGTAGAGGTGCACCGTAAATGTGGAATAGTAGTAGGACATGGGCTTGCTGCGGCTCTGGTATAGATAGAGGCTCCAGTCCAACATGGTACGCTGCACACCCAGTTCGTATGTGGAGTTCAGTCTCCGATGGAGTTCCAGATTCCGCAAGTTGTGCTGGTAACTTTCTCTGTATATGCGCAGAGCCCCGTACTCGCGGTTCAGATCGCCCACTTGAAAGTAAGTGCGTGGAGTAAGAAACTTTTGGTGATAGGTCGCTAAATTAGCGCGTATGGGATGGCGCTCGAAAATGACATTCTGCTGCGTTTTCTTTAGGAAAGCCGTGAGCACGTCGAGAAAGTCTTGAAGCTCATGCGTGCTACCGTCGACGAGGTTCCTCGTTATGATGTAGCCAAAGAGCGGCTTGAAGTACTCGAAGGTCTCGCGGTAGCAGTCCTCGACCGACTTGAGAGTGTTGCACGAGATAAAGAAATCCAGCAGTTTTTGTTTGGCCTCAAATTGCTGCGGATCGTTTTGCAGTTCAGTTAGAAGCTCAATCAATGAACTGGTTTCCGGAATGTGGCCTAAAGCGAATAAATGCGTTTATTATTATCACTCTCACAAACAAATGTTTTATTCTTCAGTCACTTTCGGTATATCGGTATTGTTTCTTACCCATGATTGAGAAGAGGGGTCTATTACGACTACAAACGTAGTCAAAGTAGTTCTCACAAGCATATTTTTCTGTGTTAATCGAGTGGTTTAGGCGCACGGCCAGGTCTTGCAACTCTCTTATTCGTAAATCGGACAAGTGTCGCGTATAGGCAATCTGAGCACTTGCTGCTCCTATGCAGAGCAACAGAAGATAAGGCGGCAACACCCCCAACATGCTAGATAAAATTTTCAACTAATTATGCCCGAGTTGTCGCAATTAGTGTCGTGTCTGAGTCTCGTTTCTTGAAAGACTGAGTCGCTACTAGTCCGAACCTCAATATCATTCAATTGAACGCAGTCGTTGCTCGTATGTCCGGCGCTCAAGCTCTGTTTACGTCGATAAGAATGTCAAGCCGTATCAGTAAAGTGCTGAGCTGCTCACTGCCTCGCATTTATTATGTACAATTCATAGCTTTTTCGTTGTTTATAAAAGTGGTTCATTGTAGGTTTTGCAATCCGTTCCGTCACTGCTTCTGTGCCCTAGTATAGACATCGGTCCGTCGCTGCTTGTTGATGGGTATTTGGCGGCGAACTTCATCGACCAAGTCAAAGTCTGGAAATGAAAATACTTGTTTATTATCTGTATAGCTGTAAAGAACTGCTCACCAATTTGTTCTACAATCAGCTCAGGCCCTTCTCCAGCTTCGCGTTGCACTCGCGCCCAGGGATCTACGATCATGGAATGACCATAAGCCACATAGCCAGACATATTATTGCGCGCCGGCGAGCAGGTGACCACGAATAGTTGATTGTCTGTGGCGCGTGCGCGTTGCAAGAGTTCCCAGTGCATGGGACCCTGACAGATGCAAAAAGCAGAAGGGTACACCAACATAGAGCAGCCTGTGCCCAGTCGATCCATAATAATTATAAATTTAAATTAATATATCAATTGTTTAACCTAACGCATCATCTTATGTTCGAATTTAAAAGAGATTTCCCTCATACTTGATAAACACACTTAATTCATTGATGGCCTCACTGGATCACTTGCCATGAATTGTGTTACTCACCCATGCTACGATAGATGCGTGCCAGCTCCTCGAACCGCTTGTCGTGGCAGACGCCAAGGCCCACCTTGTGCTGCCCAATCTCGACAACAGTCACATCGTCGCCTGCTGTGAGCACAGCTGCCTCATCAAACTGCACGCCGCCGCCATTGGCCGCCTCAATGCTCATTGTGAAAAGGTGAATCTGTAGATGTGGGCAGGCAATATGGAGCTCGGGCTCGTCAAATTACCTTAGATCGACCACTAAACACGTTTACCTTGCGATGTTTGCCAATTAGCTGGCCAGTAGGTGACCACACAGTGCATGTATTGTAGAGCCGATTACCATCGCGCTCAATTATGCTGCCCCCAATTATGTAGATGCCCAGCTGCCGGGCCAGCTGCGACAGTGCCCGACATGTCTGCCCATCCGGTACGCGCTCCGCATATTTGGCAAAGTGCTCCACACCGTATGGGGCGTTGAAGCTTTCCGGTAGTATGGCCAGTTGCAGCAGTGGATTTTCGGCCTTTAGCTCGCCAACACACCTCACTGCCTCTCTCACATTTGTCACAACATCGGTGCCTACGGGTAGCTGCAGCAATGCCAGGGTAAGCTCTGTCGCAGGGTCGAATTTAATTAACTTCGAATGATTTGGATTATTGCGTTAGCTCACTATTTGCCATGATAGAGCTGCGCTGTTGTCGATTGTGTGTCATTTAACAAATGAGTTTCCCATTTATAGCGAAATTTTAATGCCCGTGTGCGAGTTATCAGCGTGAAAATCAATGCCATTGTTTGTCAAAGTGGTAATATTTAAAATCAGTGCCTATTTACACATTATAGCACATGTGTATATAAATGTGCATATAGAATATTGTGATGGACATCGATCTTTGACTGTTCTTATCACGTTTACACAATGTTCGATGCATTTATTTAAATGCCAGATACTTTAAATGCTTTTTAAATTTTTAAAAGATTAGTCTGCTTTTCCCCTTGTACAGACAAACATAATGAAAAGAAATACACAAGCTACGTCTTTTTTACTCTCCTCACACAAAAGCGAGAACTCGATTGCACAAAACAACTATTGTGTTCACAATAAGACAGTATCGTATTAATTAGAATAATTCGGTACAGAGTAATTTAGCATAACCATAACTTAAAAAGTTCTGCATTTATAGCCACGGCTCCAGAAGGTACTGCTGAAGCTCTACTCGATGGATTGTATCAGTGTAATGAACGACAAAGCGGCTCGGCAAATCTGTCATCACATTAAAGCGATTAAAATGATATTTTACATACAAGTATGAAACACTTACAGCCATAAAATTAGCCAAAGAAGCCTCATAGAAGCCCGCCTTGATGAGCGCTTGATGTTGGGCCCGGAGCATAATCAATGCCAATGAACGGCGCTGTTTGGGCACTGCTCGATGCCAGTCAGATAATTGCACAGCTACGCTGACCATGACGCTCTGAAAAGCAATTCGATGAATGAAAATCAAGCAAAATAAAGTCGGCCCAAACCTGCCTCTACTTTGATGATTTCGCCGCCGTAGCAATAAATGAACAATTGCAGCAAGATGCTGCCCAAAAACGATAAATATACCAATAGAGCCATAATCGAACTCATGTGCTGTAAGAGCAATGCACATACATATACATATGTACATATATGTACATATATGTATATGTATACAAGTATGTTAATGTGGAAGTGCAAGTACGAGAGTGTTAGAAAACCGACCGTAACTATTTGGTAGATGATGACTCCAACTTGGAGCGAAGTAATGACAAACTGGCCGAAGACAATGGGCATGTATATCAAGCAGAGTTTGTTTGCCAAGCTAAGCAGCAGTACATGATAGTTAACGACTGCGATTAGTAGATGCTGCTGCTGCTCCTGCTCCTGGCCCAGCAGGTCTCTGCCATCTTTATTCCCATAGCTGGTGGTGCGTATTGCATATTGAAGTGCCTGAAAATGGGCCCGCAAATGTATGGCAAAGGATATAAAAAGCCCATCGACTGCCGATGCGTAGCAAACGACGACAATGGTCACAGATATCGTATAAGCAAAGGCCACCTCGTAGCCAGGGCTTGTGGCGTCATTGAAGGGAAATCTGTAGCGAGACAAGTGCCTTATGTAGTGTGTATAGTATGTACTGGTAGCTGCGTTTGTATATCGACTGGGAATTAAATAACACCTACTTCATAGGCATAGGTAGCTCACGAATGTACACCACTCCCCGATGCTTGGCTAGCATGAATTTAACGATGGGGTCCAACATAAAGTACAGACCTGTGAAACAGCAGGAGATGCAGTAGGCGCGGCCCAGCCAGCAAGCCAGTTTGTTCGCCTTGGACACGTATTTATTATCCGTGCTCTGCGCTGTAGAATGTACATAGGTATGTGTGCAATCAATCACCTTTGCATAAATTATGAGCTCATTTACATTGACTGTACATTTCCCTAAAGTTTTGCATCATTTGCCAAAAGTCTTGTTTGTAGACGAGAAACGTAATTATCTTGATGACAGTCAACATGTTGGTGAACACGACGCTCAGGCACGCGGTTACCAATTCCATGTCATCGCGATTGTAGATGGTGTACGATACCATGGGGTACTGGGCTGACGCCACCAGCAGCAGCGAGACAACATGCTTAAAGCTCAATACGCGTCGTCCACCACGTCCTCCGCGGCCACCCTCGCCGCTCGCCTCCTTGGAGACAGCATTGTGACCCATGAGACGCAGACAGAGCTCCTGCAGATGAAACAGACGCACCATGACGTTGACAAGTTTACGGAAAATAAGAAAGGATTTGCCGCAGCCGAGCCTTTTATGTAGAAATGTGCGAACGTTTTTAATTACAGCGCTTAAGTATTGGCTTCTTAAATTAATTGTTGGCATCGTGGACGTTCCATTTTTGTTGCGGCTAATTACAGTGATTGCGACGGTTCTGATGGATTGTTGACATAATAATTGTGACAGAAATTGATCGAACTGTCAGTTTTAAGTGGACTTAAGCAGACAGAACGCCAACTTACAGACAAGTAATGAAAGGCAAAAGAATCACAAAATACTGAATAATCTCTATGCGGGCAAGCATACAAATCAAAATTATAAGTAAGTATTGTTTTGTATTTTTAAAAAAGAGGCCACGAATTACGTAATTGAGTTTGAAAATACTTGTAAATTGAGATAAACTTTTAAACACATCAACGGAGCATGAACTGGAAATTACATTTCTTATACCAACAAAAAACATCTACCGCCGCTATGTACGAAAAGGACATCTGCAGTTTGAGGACCCTATATTGGCATTAACATTCTTTGCGACAATAACTTTCCTTTGTATTGGTACGTTTGATTGGTTTAGCTTAAGTCTCACTTTAATGGCCACGACTCTCCTAAATACTAGCAAGCATAAATCAGCATACAATTTTCGAACATATTTACTATTAGTATTAATTATTTAATTGAGTAATAATCAATCTCGTTTAAGCCGCTTTTGGTATACTATGTTCGCCTGTTTCATAATTTCAGTTTGGGTTTGAAATTTGAAATGAATCCCAGACAATCCCATATACGAGTGTAAGTCATCAGCCTCCAATTTGCTAAAAAAAAAAAAATTTTGATAGTATTTGCTCGTTTAAGCACGCTGAATCTCGCCGAATATAGCGCTTGTTATATACCGTGTCCTTTAACAAAACAAAAAAAAAAGTGTGGCAGTTTGCTGCGTCGAGAAACCTGAACTGCCCGAATATTTGCAAAGAAATCAGAAGAAAGGTAAATTTAAATGAAACAACATTTACGTGAAACAATTGGTTACGGCTGCCCGCATCAATTCAGCCGCCAATGCCAGTGCCAGTGATGGGTTTTGTAAACAATGACGAGTTAATGAAATGAACCGCAGACAAGCGCAAGCTACGGTCAGATCTTGGCTAACCCAAACAAAATTACCTTCGGATAATGATGGATGCGCTAATGCTTACCTAAATTACACCTAAATTCGTTATCCGTTCATCATCGAGGTCTTTGGCTTTCGCAAAAATATAAAATTGAAAATAAAGCGTGCTGCTTACATTTTCTAACAATGACTTTTATTTATATAGGTAATCAACAAAAGGGGGAGTGGGGGAGGGTGTGGTGCATTAGTGTAGTGTGTAGTCCCTTACACAGCTGTTTCAACTGCTTAGAAATTGGGTGGAAGGTATGCGTTGCCGCCATGCGAACCCGTCGAGACAATCTGTTGAGCCGCAGGTCCAGTGCTGCCATGCTGGTAGACAGCGTTGCTAGAAACCACAGCCGCGCCAGCATCGCCTTGGGCATCGCCGCCTCCGAGAGCGCCGATAACTGAGGTGACTGGAGCGACGCCCTCGTCGGTGATTTGGCTGCTGCCACCCAAAGCATCGTATTGAGCCTGGATTTGTTGCTGGGCATGGGCAGCCTCCTCGTTCGTCTTGTATTTGATGAAGAATACCTCGGGCTTGCTCGTGGAAGAGGCGTGTTCGATGACCTCGGCCTGGACATCGGAGCTGTCGGCCTTCTTGTTAAGCACATAGATGACGGTCTTCTCTTCATTAACAGCGGGGCTGATCTTAATGGAGGTCTTTTTGTTGGAGCGTTGTGGCGACTTAATGAACACCACATTGTAGTTGCGCTTGGGTACGCCCACAGTTATGTGGCGCTCCTTGTAGTCCTCATCAGCATCCTCGGGCGCCGAGTGAATATAGAAGCGTTTGGACACCACTGTCTGCTGGGCCTGCTGATGGGCCAATTGCTGCTGTTGCTGCTGATGATGTGCCACCTGCACGGGAGCAGGCTGTTGGAAGAATGTCTGTTGCGGCGCTGGGCCTGCTGCTACCGCCTGATGGCCGCTCTGGAAAAAGGCGGACGAGCCGGAAGCAGTGCTTACACCTCCAAAGCCGGATGGACCCACATTGTAGTTGTAGCCTTGTGGCGCTGCGAACGCAGTGGCGGTCAAGCATAAAATCTAAGAAAAGAGCGGGTTAATAAGTAAATCCTTAAGCCAGAGAAGCTGAGGTCTGCTTACAATAAATCCACGCATTTCTGAACTTGAGTTGAGCTGTTGGCTGGAGAGACTAGAGGCTCACGTTTGGTTTCCTTGGTTGTTCGCTGTGAACTGTATAAATTTGCTGGTGATCGCCTGGCTTTTATACAGGTAAAGCCAGAGTTAAGTTCAAAAATCATCATCAGCGGGCTATGAAAAGCGCACAAAATTTTAACTTGTTGCATGTTCATTGTTTGTGTTTTAGTTTGTTTTCAGCTGATCTTCTGCACGGCCACAGCTCACCTTTGCCTTCGCATTCGCCTTCGCCAGTGCCAGCGCCAGCGCCATCACCAGCCGCAGTCGTCATCGCCGCCATCTTCACATGGCACAGCAATTTTTGTCTTCTTCACTAGTTGGCTGGTTGCTTGCCTATTCGCTTTTCAAATCTCTCATTAAACAGCACGGGTTGCTTGTAGTTGCCTGCGTTACATTCATCCATCCACAGACCTACATACATACGTACAAGCTTACATGTGTACATTCAAATACACGGCCAATTAGCGTGGTTCCCCTCAAAAACTTGGCCAGATTTGGGTTTCTTTGTTGGCAGCTATTTCGTTGCTTGTCTCTCTTAATTGCCAGCCCTGATGCAGACCATTATGTTTGGCTGGCGGGCAACGGGTACACCACATACCAGACATCGATTAAATGCTATTAAATACCAAATTGCATAAACCCTAAATCGATTTTAGTTCAACATGGCTTCGATGTAGACGCTACATATCGCGCCTCATTACCTTGCGGCGGGTTCAATGCCGATGCTACAGACGATGAGGACGATGCTGATGATGATAATGATGATGAGAGCCACATTTATTGGCACACTTGCAAATGCACCCTAGTTCGCCCACAATTGTGCCAACATGCTGGCTACTTAACCACTACCATCGCTCTTAAACGCTTTGTCATCTTTAATTAATGACCCGCCAAGCCAAAATCCGCAATCTGCATGCGTGATCGCTTCCATGCTCAAGCCATGTACTAGTACATGAGCTTCAACATGAACATCAGCATCGGCATCGGCATCAGCATCAGCATCAACATCAGCATGAGGTTGAGCTCAACAGATTTCTATCTCATTTATCATATGGGCTAGACACAAAAGAGGACGGCGCAAATGTCCAGCGTTTGTGCAGCACTTTGAGATGAATTCACTTTTGATTATGTGACCGTAGCTATTTGAAGCCTTTGTCAATAGTATTTCATTTATTGTGTTACTCTTGTTGTCGACGCTGCTTTGAGCGTGCGCAAGGGTTAAATGCGGTGCCCACAAAGCAATTTGCGGTTTGTGTAATGAGCCGTTTGCTCGAGTGCTTTTTGTCCGGAACAAGGGCTAATGAACATGCACGGTTCCACTCTTCATTTACGCATTCGCGAGACCAAGCCCGGGCCAAGACAGAGCCCAAGACCGAGATGTAGCAACAGCCGCATCAACCCATGGATAACTATGGCCACAAGCCGCAAGATGTTGTGCAAACTGGGTAACTTCTGGCAAAGTGTTTTGGGTCTCGGTCTCTGAGCCGTTAAATTAATAGCATTCCAAATTGCTCAATTTGGTGGGTGGCTCTCAAGAGTTCGTACTAGTTAATTATGAGAACCAAACGGTAGGCAACATGTTTTGTATACCACAAAAAAATCGCCCAAATATCAGGAAAAGTTGCTTTGGGGCTTGAAGCTTTCAAGACTCATGAGACAATCGAATCAAAAGCTTTGTCAAAACTTTATTTACTCAATGTTTAAACCCAAATTTTTTATTGAAAACTTCGAAAAGCTTTCGCTTCGAATATTAACCTGTAGTCGTCGGGTGGCCACAATTCGATTAAAGAAAAAAAAAAAATTAATACAAATCCATTTGAGTAGATAGGCCTTGGACATCTTTATTAGTTGTGTTGTTTTTAAATATTATAAAATTAAACTTGAGCAATAAATAAACCGATTAGTACTGCCCGCTGCAAGAAAACATAATTTGCAATATAATCACCCACTGGGTTTCCATTATGAAGCAATTTTCGGCATTTTGCTGGGACACCAGGCACAAAAGAAATAAAAATTGGTTTGTCATGGAGTTGACGGTAGCGACTGGCAAATCGACTTTGACTTTGTGCGCCTTGGAGGTGTGAATTTTTCTTGATTTGTTTTGGATTTTAAATTAATATTTATTTGGCTTGCTCTTTACCAGCTTTTCTCCCAGCTTGATGGATTATTTAATAGTTGCCTTGCATTGCTTGTTTTTGATTGATACAGGTCCAAGTGTTGGCATCCCGTGCCATGGTCGTGTTAATTTTCCACACACGCGTCTGCGCCTCCATACCCAGATCCAAAGAAAGATCCACATGAAAGTGAAGTTAATTGAGTTTTTAATGTGAAATTGAATGCGAGAAATGGTTTTTTGGCATTCAATGGAGATTATAAAGCTTATGTAATCATCAATTCGCTAATTTTGGTTATCATTGTTTAAGCTTTACATAATGCTGCAAAGGGCACTCTTTATTGTACCGTATTATTGATAGAAAAAAAGAACCGGCCCATACTATATTGCGCAGCTGTAACGCCCCCACCTTCGCTACTACCACATTGTAAGCGCATTACATAACTACTTGAAACTGAATAGTAATACATATGTATGTATAGTTTACTCATAGTATGTATACAAATAAATAACAAAGTTCCAAAAATATGCACGCTACGCGGTCATTTGAGTGCGTTGTGAATCAGCTTAAGTTTCAACTCTGCGCGTAAAATCTGTGTTTTGATTAATCTGCAGACATACATCAAAATATCATCATCATTCATCTTCCCGACCGCTGTTTCGCCGTCAAGCCCCAGCCAAATGTGACCCAAATCTACGATGAGTGCCCTCACCTCTAGGCGAGGGACATTGATTGGAGTGTGGAGACGGAGACACATACACATATAATATTAGCGAGAAATTATTTGAAAAACTCCGCTCAGGGCTGTCCAAAATTTGCTATAATTGTTCGATTTACAAACATATCAATCCCCCATCGACATTGTCTTGTTATGAAACTCCAACTCTAAAGCGCAAAACCAAACTGCCAAACTGCAAAGCGGACCGCATTGTGTATTCCAATTAAATTTGCAAGCCCAGCAAATTGCAATGCCAGCTCATATGGAGGGTTCATCGGTATCTGTATTTGGGTCAACGTCTCCGTCCAAGCAAATTAAATTGATTTTGGCAAAGCTGAGAAATTTGGCGCCGTTGCTAATGGAATAGCGCACGAACCATTCAATTTCTGCCAGCCAGTTTAATTATTGAAAAATGTAAATCACACAAGCGTTCCAATTATGTTGCGAGTGCGCGAAAATAAAAATGATGAAAAGATAAATGACAATGCTGGCAGTGAAATTTGTAGCCACAACAAAACATATAACTTCCGGCGGAGTATCCAAAACACAATACGAATGTTTTCGTAGCTGAAGAGGTGACGCAGACTTTTGCTTTCGTGCGTTTGTGGTGGAGTCCGAGATTTTCTCGCCTAGCCACAATAGCAACAACAGCGCACCGTCTGCTGGACTAGCCCTCAAGGTTGTCTTCGGATAGGAAAAAGCGAGTTTGCCGCATCGCTCCGAACTTGTAACTCTGCGCTCGCTCTTTGTCTGACTTTGGTTTTAGTTTTGACTTCGGTTTCGATTTCGATTTCAGTTTCAGTTTCATTTGAACATTCCGCTGACAGTAGTGCAGGCGCAGATTTTGATGATCGACAATTTCGGCAGTTCGGCTCTTATAAGTCTAGGCGGTTTCTGATTAGCATTTAGTCGATTTGTGCTGGCCGAGCGTCCAGGTGCTGCACAATTTTATTGAAATTATCAAATAGGAATCAAGTGAAGACTTACGTCTAAGAAAACGGAAATGCGCGTGTTCGTTGTAAGTGCAAAGTGAAGAGTGAAGGGGGATTGCGGAGTGGTATAAGAATAAATAAAATATTCGTTTTTTCGCCAGTTAACGTGCCTGCTCAGCCTAGCGTTGGCTGCGCCGCAAGGATACAACTATCAGCAACAGCAGCAACAACAGCAGCTGCAACCGGGAAGCCTGCAGCTTCCGGCCATACCGCAGATTGCCAGCATCGATGGCCAGCAGCTGTTGCAGCAGGCGTTGCAGGCCCCCAAAGTACAGCAGGTGCTTTCGAGTGCAGGAGGCAGCTCCCTCAGCTACAATTCTGTGCACCAACAGCAGCACCAACAGCAGCACCAGCAGCAGCAACAACAATTGCCGTTCGGCCTGCAGCAACAATCCAGCAACTTTGGTTACAACACCGGCGCTCAACAGGAGCAACAGCAAGCGCCGCCGAGTTACAATGGCGGCGGTGGCCCCTCCCTGGTATCAAAGGACATATATGTGCACGTGCCACCACCAGACCAAGAGGAGGAGCAGCGCTATGCTCAGCCCCAATATCCGATTCCTCCACCACGCAAACACTATCGAATCGTCTTCATAAAGGCGCCCACGCCTAGTGTAAGTAAGGCGTCCCTTCGAATTAAACAGGCGCCCACCGAGGAGAAGACCATTATTTATGTGCTGACCAAGAAGCCAGATCCTGTGGATCTGCAGGCCGCCTTCGAGCAGGCAGCTCCAAAGCCACCCAGCAAGCCGGAGGTCTTCTTCATCAAGTACAAGACTCAGGAGGAGGCTGCACATGCGCAGCGCACCATTCAAGGTAGACTAGCTCGAATATCTATATTTGGATTTGATTGGCCTGTGGCTATCATCTACCGCATTGAATTTCAACTAGTTTTATGTTCGGTTTCTTTGAAAAGAGACATATTTTTTGCTAGCTTATGTGTGAATTCGAGCACATTTGTCGCATTTGTCCCCCCATTAGCATTTAAAGGTCAACATGTACACTCATCATTCACCGGTTAACCTCTTCTTTCGCTTTTGCAGCTCAATACGATCAGCTAGGTGGCACTACACAGATCTCTGACGAGGGCATAGCGCCTGTTACCTCAGTGATTGGCGTTTTGGACAACCAGCGCGCCTCTGGATCTCTGAATGCTGCCAGCAACGGAGCCGCTTTTGGTGTTGGAGGTGGTCAGGTGTCCAACCAATACCTGCCCGCCAATTTACGTGCCTAGGTATAATTTACCATTTGAATTGACTGAGAATTACAAAAAGCTTACAAATAAGTGTTAACATATTCTTTATACTAGTATATAGTACATACAAGAATATAGCGAATAAATGAGTTATTTTCTTTATATAAAAATTGTTGAATTTATTCTTCGAAATAAATGTATTTATTTAATAAATTTCTTTAACTAAATTTCAAAACTGTGTGAGAAATTACATGGAAAATTGAATATTGAATCGGACAAATAATCACATGCATATCCATCTCCCCAAAGAGTGACCTTCAAATTGTCTTTCACAATCTAAGCTATTACCGACTTAATTCTCTATTTCACAGCAATTAGCAATTAGTGATTGAATAAGCCAATTAATGGCACGCAGGCAATCATAAAGATTGTCAATGGGAATCATAAAAATGTTTATACATTAGCATTGTGACATAAGAGGACCATTGCCCAATAGTTGCGATGGCGTCTTTGTCGCCGATGGCTGAAACCGGTCGCCTCGATTAGCATCATTTGGGTGTCTTCAAAGCGTGATTAAGCGAAATTGAATCTGACTTATATACATATTATATGCAGCCAATTAAAACATCGGTGGTCACACGCATTTGCTACTGAATGAGTCAAATGTGATGTAAAGTCTCCGGTTTTGTGAATTTTTAACTAGGAAAGAAATGCCTATGGCCATCACCTCTGCTTACACAAACAGAGTTTGAAAATCTGAACGTTTGTTAATTATAACTAGCAGGTCTTCTGTGGCAGTTCGAATAATTGGGGGTTCTCCGTGGAAAAATTGTACGGCCAAACGTTAGGAGCTAAGAAGCTAGAGATGCTGGGATATTCCAACTTCGGGCTCTGCCATTTGTATGGAAAATTTTGCAACTTTTAACCAATTACGTGCAAACTTGGTTTGTATACTTTCAGAAAGAATACAAAACAAATTGCAAATAAGGTATTCATTGCAGCATTATTGGGGCTCACGTTTTCCTTTAGTTTTCCTCCGAAGAATAGATACAAAAGAAACTGTATAGTATGTTCTTTAAATTTGTATTGGTGCATTGAAAAATGCATGTATGTATGTAAGTACATACACATACATATGAATGTACTCTTTATTATTAACTAATTATAGATACACACCAATCTATTAGCCAATTTTTGTGAATAAATGAATACAATTTAGTTATACTATATAGTATGTTGTGCAGTTGCATAAAATCTAAAGTAATTTGCGACTCCGTAGGTTCCATAGGAACTTTTTTGGAAGAAGCACAAAATGTGGATTATACTAGCTGGTCTTGCCCGACTTTAGTGGCTAAATGTTCTTCGTACTCACCTGGACTGTAAAGGATACTTGAGTGCACAATTCAGCTTCCTAGCTTTTACCATTTGGGAGGTGAGTTTATCACCAGATATATAGAATTCCTCTGCGGATGATCAATTAAATTGATTTTTCCATTTGTTTGCTGATTAAAATATTTATTTCACTTGGTTTTGACAATAAATTATAATAGACTAAAATGTAGCGGATGAAAATCTTGAACTCAACAGACATGACTATTCTCGTGGATGCTTCGGACTTATTTCAAAGCTTTGGCGGGAACATATTTTCTTGATGGCAGGCTGGCACCAAAGTTAATGCCAGTCCCCAGAGAAGAGGCTTGGAAGCCCCCTTGCTGCACAAATGTCTGCTGCTGGCTGCCATGCGATAACTCCTGCGTGGTGTGCGTCTGCACAATTTGTGGTTGCGAAATGGATTGCGAGATGGTCTGGATATGGGGCTGCACAATCTGCTGTGATTGAATTTGCTGTGGTACAAGGCTGCCCAGGTTCAAGGGGCCTCCGGAGACGCTAGTAATCGGAGCAATGCCTTCGTCAGAGATATGCGTGGCGCCACCTAAAGCGTCGTATTGTGCCTGAATTTCCTGTTGAGCGCGCTGAGCCTCCTCCTGCGTTTTGTACTTGATGAAGTAGACTTCCGGCTTGTGCACCTTGGCCTCGGATTGAGTGACCTGCAATTGCTGTTGGATTTCGCTAATGTCAGGTTTCTTGGACAGCACATAGATGACTGTCTTCTCCTCGTTAGTTGCTTGAGCGCGCTTCAAGGCAGCGGCGGTGTATCGCAGATTCTGGCTAGGAGCCTTAATGAACACAATGCGATAGTTCTTGCGGATGGGACCACTGTCTAATCCAGGTCCGGCTTGACCAATCTCCTCAGTATCGTCGGGAGCGGAGTGAATATAGATATCCTTCGTCACAATAGCGGGTCGCTGCACATATTGAGTCTGCACAAATTGTTGCTGCGGCTGCTGAACATTCTGTACAAATTGTTGGGGCTGCTGATAGCTAACCAGCTGTGGCTGTTGCTGCGGCTGGGGCACTTGCAATTGCGGAAGAGCTATTGGTGCCTGTACGGGAATGGGCGCAGGCAATCCAATGGAAGCGGGAGGAGATGCGATGTTCTGAATAGTCTGAATTTGTTGTTGTTGCTGTTGTTGCTGTTGTGTCTGCACGCTGAATTGGCCCAACGAAGGGGCTTGCGGAACTGAGTAAATTCCGCTCGACGAGACCGGCGTCTGGGGGCGAAGATTGCCAAGTGGCACCGTCTGCTTCACCTGCTGCCCTTGTTGCACCACTTGGGGCTGCTGGTACTTGTAGCCCTGCGGCACCGATGCGGCAAGCAAGGCGCACGATAGAACCTATGGGTAATGATAGGAGATATAGATTCGAACAGATATGGACAGCTAAACGGTCGCGGCTTACCACTAAAATTGCGATAGGCTTCATCTTAAATATCTGCTAGACTGCACACACACGTTTTATCACAATCCAACTCTGCTGCTTGGACCCGACTGATGCCCAAACTCTTCGGTTACAATGTTTTTATAAGATACCAAAAAGCCCGGCCACACATTAGAAATGCGATTCCGTTTCCCAAAAAGTGGGCAGTGTCATAAAATAACCAAATCTATTGTCGCACAAATCGAATGGGATCGCCCCGAAATCGAATGAAGCGAGGAGAGCGGCGCAGAGTGCTCATATAACGATATGCGATGCCATGTGGTTGACAAATCACGGAACCATACTCAGCATACGCACAAATATTCATGCTGATGAGCCACTGGCCAAAGCCAGAGCCAGAGCCATTCAAAGATGCATCTGGCAGCAACGACGAATGGACAGCGGGCAGGTTATCTAATAGCATCAGTGAAAACAACAACAACAACAATACCAACAACGGCAATACTCCGATTGGCTATGGCCAATAATAAAGTATTCAAATTTGTATAATCTTGTAATATTTCCCATTGTCAGCGCTGAATTTATTTCGATAAATGCAAAATATTATTAGTTAATACATTACACAAATTGATAGCGTGGAATAGTTGAGGAAGTGGCTCTAACAAAAGGCCCAGACAGAGAGACGGAGGGACAGATTGGAGCGCAGACATCGCAAGCCAAAAGCGAGACGCCAAGCGGCAGACCAGTTTAAAAGAAAGTAATTTTTTATGCTAGTAAGACTGCAGGTCCCACGAATTTCGTATTCAGGGTCGGAGGCAGACGAATCTACTGCCATTCATTAACAGACCGTTTTAAGGGACCCACGAGTCGACGCGCTGCTTGACGATGCTCGCCGGCGATGGTTGCGTGGTCTCTGTGCATAAATTAATTTTTTGTCAATTCATTTGCTGTTCAAAATCATCAACACATTTGCAACCAAAAGACAAATTGAAAAAACAACCAGGGTATAAAGATGTGTTGTTGCCAAAGAAAGCAGCTTATGCTAGCCTTTTGTCGAATGGCTTTAAATGTAAATGATATTCTTACACAATTTACTTTAGCTTTCGTAAGCAATGCCCCTTTCGCCTAGCATGGTGGGGGCAGATGCCCACCCACAACCCCAAATGACCTCAGAGGCAGCTTCTAAATATGCTTACACAGCTGGTGCATAATTACAAATTAATGAACACGGCACAGTTAACAGCTAAAATGTATATGATTGATTGTGTGTCATTTATTTAAAACTTCTACTGGCAATACAGTGTGAACACAGCTGTCACACAACACCATTTTCATTACGAAATACTCAATTGTAAGACTGAAATCAAGCAAGCGCACAAACTTCATTGAGTGGAGCGGTTCACTTCACAAATACGAAAACATACGAGTAGAAGTACGAAAATTTCAAGTGACCTCCATCATTTGCATACAAACCACGAAAAAACCGTAACGTATACGTAATTAAAATCACAGCTTGGCTGAATAGGTGCAGATTTTGCGTTAGATAATGGCAGAGCATGTTCATTGTGTTTGGCTTGTTGTTATTGATTCAAATTAGTTAGTATAGATGTAGTCTATAGAACAGCCAAGTAAAGTAAATACTTACTAAATGAAGCGTCTAAGAGGTTTTGCGAATTTAGTACCTTTTAGTAACAGCTCTCGCGTAGACAGCGTTGTTTTGTAATAAGTATATAAGTTTATTTTGCTAATCTAGGTGGAAGATTTTGCAATCTATTTGAACCGGCAACTGCCATTTATCGTAGCCCTGACAGCACTGGTCGACGAGTGATGCCCAACCTTGCTAATAATCGAGATACCTTGTCGATTCCTTTTTTTGGCTCGATAAAACAAAGGAGAGCGAGTTGAGAAGCCGAAGCGAGCGGACGTGTGGTGTGTGCGCGGAAGGAGAGCGATTTGAGAAGCCGAAGCGAGCGGACGTGTGGTGTGTGCGCGGAACAATAGCGAGTTAGAAGTGTGTGAGCGAAGCGAAAAGAGAGACTTTATATATGTGCCGGAACATTTTAGACATAGAAAATTCGGTGTATTACATTGTAGGTTAAGCTTGAAATTACAATAAAAGAAATAACGTTACACCCCTGAGCAGTTAAAGTCAGTATGCTCATCATTGCCGTTACAAACGAGTAGCGACACAACATTTTATGGTGGCCCATGAGGGGATCCGTTATTTCACAATGTCAAGCTTGCTGGTGTAATACATACAGACGTGCGGCAATCCCCAGTCTGAACACATATATAAAGGAGACGTGCGGCAATCCCCAGTCTCAGAATACATACAGACGTGCGGCAATCCCCAGTCTGAACACACAAATAGAGGAGACGTGCGGCAATCCCCAGTCTCAGAATACATACAGACGTGCGGCAATCCCCAGTCTGAACACACAAATAGAGGAGACGTGCGGCAATCCCCAGTCTCAGAATACACACAGACGTGCGGCAATCCCCAGTCTGAAAACACACATCTAGGAGGCGTGCGGCAATCCCCAGTCTCAGAATACACACAGACGTGCGGCAATCCCCAGTCTGAAAACACACATCTAGGAGGCGTGCGGCAATCCCCAGTCTCAGAATACATACAGACGTGCGGCAATCCCCAGTCTGAAAACACACATCTAGGAGGCGTGCGGCAATCCCCAGTCTCAACACAGTACATACAAAATAGAGGAGACGTGCGGCAATCCCCAGTCTCAACAGTACACATAGAGGAGGCGTGCGGCAATCCCCAGTCTCAACAGTACACATAGAGGAGGCGTGCGGCAATCCCCAGTCTCAATAAATACACTTAAGGACGTGCGGCAATCCCCAGTCTTAAGTTTGTTCTTTTTGTTTTGGAAGTTCTCAACCCGCAAACTTCACTCAAAAATACAGTCACTATCGAACTGATTTGCTGTGGTGTACATCTACATACAGACATTTCTAGAAAGGGTAACGGCCAACCACTCTCGGCGTTGCCAAGGTGTACACATCCAAGTGACGACGCATCAGTCTTCGGCGTCACTTATACATACATGCAACGATCACGCCACTCTCAGCATACACATCGAAAGTAACGGTACAACATTGCGTTACTCACATATACGACGACACACAAGCGTCTGAGTTTTGGCTACAGACATAGCAACAAGAAGTAACGGCAAATCATCGGCGCCGAACAGACACACGAATTTGGTTAGATAGCGACAGCGCCTCAACGACGACACACAGGCGTCTCATAGCAGCGAAAATAGCGGCGAAACATCGACGCCGAACATACACACGAATTTGGCTGGACGGCGACAGCGCGTCAGCGACGACACACAAACGAAACATCGGCGTCACACACATACATCTCAACGATTCGCACAATTGAAGGCAAGAAGAAACAACACGCTACAATACGCTACAAGGCTACATACATACATACGGGAAAGGGGGTGAGTGTTTGTTTTTGGTTCTTGCTTGTGTTGCGATCAATAGTTTCTGTTTATTCGATTTAACAATCATGGCTCAACAACAGGCAAACGTTGGATGCCATTTTGATCATTCTTACGCAATCCAAATAGATATAGGTGAACAGGTACGCTGTTTATACAACAACTTTAAAAGGGAAAATTCACAGTCAAAATCTAGAACATTCTATACACACTTTCTTAAAAGGTTAGATGAATATGCCGCCGAGTTCAAACAAGTACATCGGGATCTCCTAATCTCCCAATGCCCACGTGATCATCAATATTTCACGCAACGTATTGCTGAAACCTTTGATGAGTACCATACAAACATATACTGCGTAATTTTAGAGGCTTATGAACAAACATTCCCTCCAATAGTAGAAATGGCAAATGAACTTTCTAACAATCAAACGTCGATCAAGCAAGCATCGCCTTCGTCTAGCGTACAGCTGCCCAAGTTGCCTGTACCCACCTTTTCTGGCAAATTTGTAGAGTGGCCAGCATTTTACGATTCATTTGCACAACTCATACATGACAATGACGCACTATCAGGCGTTCAGAAGTTCCATTTCCTTAAGCAAGCCTTGCCAACAGGTTGCGACAGCGATATTCATCAAATGGACTTAACCGATACCAACTACGAAACAGCTTGGTCTTTGATTGTTAAACGATACAACAATCCACGTCTGCAGTTCATGCATCAGATGAACACATTTTTTGGTTTGCCTTCTCTAGCTAAGGAACATTCGGCCGATCTCAAGAGGATGCTCAATGTTACAAACGTATGCATTAACGAATTAAAACGTCTCAAAATCTACATGAAGTCTTGCGATCATTGGATGGTACATCAACTTGTAACTAAACTTCCGTCGACAACTCTACAAGCATGGGAGCACTTTCTTGGTAGCTCGTCTAACGTTCCTACATTTAGTACGTTGGAGCAATTTCTTAATAATCGCCTCATTAGCCTCGATATTATTGAGAATCGATCCAGCAGCCAACAACATCGTGAAGCGGCTCCAACAACTCAGCAACGTACATCCAGCAACTATTCAGGTAATAGATTTCAGAAACGAAATAGTTTTCACACAACCACAAACAGCATGGCTTCACATCGGTGTGTGAATTGCAACGACAGCTCACATGTATTGCGTCGTTGTCCTGACTTTCTCGCACAAGATTGTTTTACTCGCAAATCTATTGCTGAACGCAACAAGGTATGTTTCAATTGTCTTGATTCCGCACATACAGCATCGAAATGTGGCAGCAAACGGAACTGTCAACAATGTGGACAACGACATCATACGCTCTTGCACTTTCCAACGAACAAACCAGACTACATAGCAGCTACGCAAAAGCAACAAATGATTACTTCAGATCAGGCAGTGGTCACAAATACAACGCAACTCATATCAGCAGTGACCAAACCTTCATCTCAGCTAGTTCGCACTGTACTTTTGGCAACGGCTTTGGTCAGAATACATAATGACGAAACTGGCCAGTCATCTATTGCCAGAGCGCTAATAGATAACGGATCTGAAGGAACTCTCATCACGGAACATGTGGTTCAATCGCTTGGCTTGAAACGTCATCCAATTTTGGCAGAGATTAACGGAGTCGGTGACAACTCGAAGAATAAATGTAAATGGACAACCCAGCTCAAACTTAGCTCGTGCACCGACCAACAGTTTAGCACGTACATCGACACAGCATATGTCTTACCATCGCTTACATCTCAGCTGCCGAAACAAGACATTCCAATACAGAAATGGCGTCACATCCAAGGACTACAACTTGCAGATCCACAATACTTTAAATCAAATAGAATCGACATAATCATTGGAGTTGACCTAATACCACATCTCATACTTTCAGACATCAAAAGAGGCAGTCCAGACCAACCAATCGCTCAAAACTCGCAGCTCGGCTGGATTCTGTTCGGACAAATCAACACACGGTCAACGCACACTATCACTATTCAGTGTCATCAAACAAATTTGGATGTCTTGGTTCAAAAGTATTTTGAACAAGACAGAATGGATACGGTACGACGCCTTACTGCAGAAGAACAATGGTGTGAGGACCATTTTCAGCAAACACACATACGTCAACCCAACGGCAAGTACATGGTACGTTTGCCGCTCAAAACACTGTTTGACCCTCAGCAGGTACTTGGCAAATCCCGTAAAATCGCTTTGAATCGGTTCCAATTGTTGGAACGCAAACTTCGTCGCCAACCTGAATTACAAGAACGATATGATGAAGTCATGCAGGATTACTTTCAATTGGGTCAAATAACTGCGGCCACAACTACCGAAACAGAACACATTACACGTGATGCTCATAACAACATAGCATATACCTCATGTACTTTGCCTCATCATGCGGTAATCAAAGAAGATAGTCTCACTACCAAATTGCGAGTAGTGTACGATGCATCCTGTAAGACAAGTAATGGAAAATCACTCAACGACATTCTTTGTATTGGACCAGCTTTACAAAACGATCTAGCAGGAGTTATTCTCAATTGGCGTCAACATCGTTATGTATTCGCTGCAGATATTCAACGTATGTATCGTTTCATCGACATGCATCCAGACGACATAAATTATCAACGCATATTCTGGTTCGACAAACATAACAAAATAGCAGAATATTGTCTTACAACTGTAACATTCGGAACTGCATCTGCCCCGTACACAGCTATACGAGTAATGCATCAGCTTGCAGACGACGAACGTGATCGTTATCCTCTTGCTGCACGCGTTCTCAAACATGAGGTTTATGTGGATGACATACAAACTGGAGATTCTACTATTGCTGGAGTCCTTGCCATTCGTGATCAACTTGTTGCCATCTTACGCTCAGCCGGTATGGAACTTCGTAAATGGTCGTCAAACTCGACAGCGCTGCTGACTGGCATCCCTTCAGCAGACCATTCAAATGTACACATTCTTGAGTTTGATAACAAAGACTCAATCAAAACATTAGGTCTTTACTGGCATCCCAACAAAGATTATTATGGCTTCAAAGTGAAGTTCACGTTGAATCAAACATGTACTAAACGTTCCATTCTTTCCACCATAGCGCGTCTGTATGATCCTTTGGGCTTTATCGCACCTGTCATCACATCTGCTAAAGTTATCATGAAGAATGTTTGGAACACAAAAATTCAACGCGATGATGGCAATTTGACTCCATTAGATTGGGATGACGACGTACCACATGCACTTCAAGAGCGCTGGCAAAACTATATCGCCAGTCTACCCAATGTCGAAAATATCCGAGTGCCACGATGGTTGGGAACCGATTCATCGCAGATCATTTCACTACAGTTACATATATTTTGCGACGGATCATCGTTGGCCTACGCTGCTTGTGCATACCTTCGCGTGGAAAACAAAGACGGATCAGTGATTTCGCATTTGCTGACAGCTCGTAGCCGCGTCTCACCTACTAAGCCTTGGACAATCCCTAGAATCGAACTATCTGGAGCAGTTTTGGCAACGAATCTCGCAAAATGGAGTGGTACATATTTGCGTACAAGCGAGCCCATTCCCACATTCTACTGGTCGGATGCCACAATCGTACTATACTGGATTAACGGTGACCCTGCCCGTTGGAAAACCTTTGTGGCCAATCGAGTCGTGCAGATTTTGGAATTCAGCACACCTGCACAATGGCGGCATGTTCCCACACTCGACAATCCCGCAGATTGTGCTACTCGCGGTCTTACACCTGATGAACTATCTGACCATCATCTGTGGTGGAACGGCCCTCCCTGGTTAACTCAATCACCAGAACAATGGCCAACCAATTGCATTGTCTCACCAATGATGGACTGGGATTTGGAAGAGAAACCAGCAGTTCCTCAAGTCTTCAAATCCTCCACCGCTAAGGACTTCCTTGAGGGACAACGAATTCTTCGACAGTTTTGGAAATATTGGAGCAACGATTGGCTGTCTCATCTACAAGCTCGTCCCAAATGGCGTCATGAAACAGCCAATTTAAAAATAGGTGACATGGTCATCATAGAGAACGATCGACTTCCACCGAACGAATGGAAACTTGGCCGTGTCATCGAACTTCATCCAGGAGCAGATCAACTTGTTAGAGTGGCAACGGTTAAAACGACTTCTGAAATTTATAAACGAAGTCTTTCTAAAATCTGCCGTTTGCCTTTGCCATCTTGTTCCTCCCAAGATGACACAACACAGAACTAACCACTATGATCGCTTCCTTGCATGCCATAACAGACACTTGCTTTCTTTTCTTTGTAGCAGGTTTCCGGTTCTTTGGTTTGAATGCTAGTTCCAGCATTGGGGGCGGCATGGAAGATTTTGCAATCTATTTGAACCGGCAACTGCCATTTATCGTAGCCCTGACAGCACTGGTCGACGAGTGATGCCCAACCTTGCTAATAATCGAGATACCTTGTCGATTCCTTTTTTTGGCTCGATAAAACAAAGGAGAGCGAGTTGAGAAGCCGAAGCGAGCGGACGTGTGGTGTGTGCGCGGAAGGAGAGCGATTTGAGAAGCCGAAGCGAGCGGACGTGTGGTGTGTGCGCGGAACAATAGCGAGTTAGAAGTGTGTGAGCGAAGCGAAAAGAGAGACTTTATATATGTGCCGGAACATTTTAGACATAGAAAATTCGGTGTATTACATTGTAGGTTAAGCTTGAAATTACAATAAAAGAAATAACGTTACACCCCTGAGCAGTTAAAGTCAGTATGCTCATCATTGCCGTTACAAACGAGTAGCGACACAACACTAGGCTTAAAACTAATAAACTGTTGCTTACAAAGCAAACCTACGGCTGGGTGGCAAATACGCGTTATTTGATGGTGCATTCAAGTCGCCTGTGGTGACGCCTTTTGTGGCAAAATCCAGCACTGCAGCCGAAGAACCCGCATTATGGTTGCTCGAGGGACCCGGAAGAGAGTCGTATTGCGCCTGAATTGTGCGCTGAGCATTCTCCGCATCGCCCTGAGTGCGATATTTGACGAAGTGCACCTCGGGCTTATGGCTTGCCTGCTGTTTAATCTGGTTGAGCTTGCTGGTGAGGTCGCCAATGTCGGCCTGCTTGTTGAGCACATATATGGCCGTGCGGTCGTCCACGGCAGAACTGGCCAGTTGGAGAGCTGCTTGCTCCAGCCCAGAGTTCTCAGGTCCTTTGATAAAGAGCACACGCAGATTTTTCTTCAGCGAATTGGCAATCTGGTCGTGGGCGTGCCCATTATCGAACTCCTGCTCGGGTGCACTGTAGCTGTAGAACTCCTTGTTGAACTCATTCGCAATGAGTATGGGCTCAGACAATGAGCCCGAGCCGCTCTGAACGAGACTGCCGCCACCACCAGAAATCAGACCACCGTTTCCATCACCAGCATTAGCACCAGGCGTGTAATCGTACTGACCACGTGCCACTGCGATAAGGCAAAGTATCTGATGATAAAACAGGTGTTAATTATGCCGCAGTTAGGAATATACACCTAGTACGAGTATGTACATGGATGGGGCACTTACCAAAATAGCGCGCATTGTTTTGTTTAGTTTAGGCTCTTCCACACCAATAGGCTCGAAAATGAATGTCTTTGCTCTGCAGCTGATAAACTATCTGTGTTAAACAATGCCACACTGGGCCCATATTTATATGTGCATCCAAGTCATCCACGACCTGCATCCACGACCTTCACGCATGCAAATGCAAGCGCATTTTATTGTCTGGCCTCAGATTTGGAAATCCACTGGGGAAACTCGATCGGTCCGGCAAACTACTTCCCACTGCCTTCTTTCGAGCGTGTTCCAGATAAATGTATATTTCACTTTTAATTGGATCAAAAAACTTACTTTGAAAATGGTGAAATGTGCAAATGTATTCAAATTAGAGTGCATCTTGGCCTAACTTGCCCGCATAGTGGCCGATCCCAAGATTACCGCGCTTGCATACTTCGCGGATTTGTGCATCGACTGACTAAAAGAGCCGTCGCGCCAAGCTTGGAATCTATTTCGAATGAAGATTACGTAACATTTTCAAGTTTCTTTGGGTTACCTAAGTACTACTACGACTCCATATTAAAATTCCTCCGTTTTGGAAATCATATTATAATGAAGACCAATCTACAACGCTGTTGATTAATTATTTAAACGGCTGGGAAACACAGATAAATGGCATTGTTTATTACAAATCTTTGCCTAGTTATAGGCTGCTTCTAAATTCTATTTTCTTGTTCTGCTCCAAATGGATTAGAATACAAGTAGAATGGAATACTTCATTCCAGCAGCAAGTAATATTTTAGAAAGAACGGGAAACATACAAAAATACTCGATCCGTACAGAATACCATTATCAGAAAAGAATGTGTTTGAAACTGGTTAATAATAAATAGCGCTATTAACGAAAAGCGTGTGAGCAGAAAGCTGCTTTATTATTGCTCTGCGTCTCGGCAATAATCAAATCAAAACTAGTTTTGGAGATATTCAAGTTCATTGTTGCAAATTATCACTATGAAATGCTGTTTAAGTTTTAGCCACAAATTTGCTGTATAAAACCGAGAAACAACCCAAGCACCTGGTTTAGTCGAGCTTGAGGCGGAAAAGTACCACAATGAAAACTATTTGCGTAAGTGGATATACATTTAAATTCGAAATATATATAATATCTTAGCTCGTTATATCAGTTATTATTCATGCTTGCTGCCTGCTTGGCTGTGGTCTGTGCTGCTCCTGCTGGACAGGCGCCGACAGTAAATTTGCTGAAGTACAACAATGACCAGGAATTGGAAGCAATAATGCGTCAAATTATTGCGCAATATGAGCAGCAGTACGGCGGTACCTCCCAGTTCCATCAACCGCAGGCCGTTTCCTATACGAATCCTCACCAGCTTACAATTAATTTGTAAATGAAGCCCAAAATTAAAATTGATATTTGTTATCAGTTGTTTACTACAGCATCAAAGGCTGTGTTTTTATTCAATTCAAGAGTAGTAGCCATCGGCTTGCGATAAGATGACGCTGTCGAAATTTGAGTAGCGGCCTCACTGCAAAGTCTCATTTCCAGTTTAGTAGCTTTTGCGTGGTTGAGAAGATGTGGCACGCTTGTATATTATTTCTGGTGTCAATCGCCTTGCTCTGCTCCGCACAGCGTCCGCCGCCGCCATTTGAAAATGAGCCTGCACGGTTTTTTGTCGCAGCGGAGATAACGTTTCCAAGGTCACAGGATGTCTCGATTTCTAGCTCACAAGAGACAGAGGAGAAAAACTGGTACAGTATTCGTAACTTCCGCTTTCACCAAGCTCAAGGAATTCCGCAGCCAAAGCACCGACAGCGTGGACCAGCCCCCAGTCCAGGAGACCCATTTCCGCCGCCACCGGGCGGTTTACGGGGAAGGAAAAAACAAAAACCGAACCAGCAACAACGTCGTCTATGCGAGAGAAGTGAGTATACGTGTGGTTTAGAGTCTGAGAGAATTTACAGTCTTTATATTTGATTGGCACGTGTAGAATATTCCGAGTACGTAGAGCGCGTTTTCCCAAATGACCCGGCAGTCATCGATGACGCAAATGACGAAGACTTTGATGGCCGCATTCTTGCCCAGCCAGGGGAATACCCTCACATGGTGAGCGCAAGTATAATATGATTCAATGGTTAAAATCAATTCAAGGTTCAATGACCTTGTGACATTTGTAGGTGGCTGTGGGATATGAGACGAATACCCAGCAAATCGAATACAAGTGTGGAGGTAGCCTGATAAGCGAGAACTTTGTTCTGACTGCCGCGCATTGCACAGCAAATGATGGGTGAGTCAACTTCGACTAGGGCCCATATATTTACATATACTTACTACTTTGTTTTCCATATTGACGGTTTGAGAAACAAATATAAAATAACTCTTAGGAGCAGTACGGAAGACTATTTCCATAAAAATAACATTTCTGCATTCAAAACCATCTCAATTACATCAAAATCTTCAAGCCATGCTGATATTCAAATTCTTCACAGAATCTCGCCGCGGTGGGCGCGCATTGGCGACTTGAATCTAAAAGTGCGGCCGACCCAACAAATCCCAATAGGCGCTATCTACAATCATCCCGATTACAAGGCCGATCTGTACTACAATGACATTGCACTGTTGCAGCTAGAGCAGAACGTCATGTAAGCACTAAATTTATAGAAATTGCAAAGTCCCATTCAAATCTTAGCCCTCAGCCTGACTGAATTTGTGCGACCCATACGTCTGTGGGTCAGGCCAGAATTACCCACTACAATTGTCTTTGCCATGGGTTATGGCGCCACATCCTTTGCCAAAGGCATGACGAATCGCCTGACTGATTTGAATCTTACTATCGTTCCCAATGACGAATGTAACCAGGAGCTGCCCCTTCTTTCAGAAGCGCCAAGTGGAATAATACAAAGTCAGATCTGTGGTCAAGATTACATTCTCAACCGTGACACTTGCCAGGGAGATTCGGGCGGTCCACTGCAGCTGAATTTGCAAGGCCTCAAAAGTCGCCAGAAAATACATTACCATCTAATAGGCATTACTTCTTATGGGGTGTTCTGTCGTAGCAGTTACCCCAGCGTCTACACGCGTGTCGCCTCGTACCTGGATTGGATTGAGGGCGTGGTATGGAATGGCAGTTGAACTGAATTAAAGACTCGTTTCGTGTACATGTTTTTTATATTACAAAAATATTATAACAAACTGATAGTTGCAAAAACAAACTTTAATTTTTGGTCAGTTTTGCTGAGCATTTTGAAAGAGAGAGCTTAGACCTCATTGTTCGCATCCAGCACTTGTTTCTTGATTTCCTCATAGGAGGGCAGCGTCTATATGGGAGTGGAAAGACATAACAAAATGATATTAGCAAACACTTAGTCATTTATTTATAAATTAAATACGGAACATGCATTAGTAGTCACGATATACTCACAAGTAATGTGGAGGTATGTTTTTTGTTATTGTTTAGGGTTATGCATGATTGCGCAAACAAAAATTTGAGTTATCAAACCGCCAATCAACCCGAAAAGCAAAAGCATTCGCCAAGCATTAAAATGATTAATTGTACTCATGCGGGAGCTATGTTTTACACACTAACCTGCCAGTAGTTGTCCTCCCAGCTGGGGAACATACGTTTAAATGCCCGTGGTTCCTGACCCTGGGTGACGCGCACAATGCTAACAGTGTCGATGGTACGCGAGGTGGGTTCTACTTTGATGTAGCGCTGCAAAATTAATTCTTTAGAGTCGATTCCATTTAGTCTGAGAACAGAAATGTACCTTCACCATGTCCAAAATCTTGCCATTTTCGTCGGCTGTGGCGCCAGAGCCCACCCACATGTAGATCTCATCGCCGGCATCAAGTAACATAACATCATCGGTGTCCAAATCCTCTTGCTCGTATTGAGAGACTTCCTCCACTTTGGCACGTCCGGTGCGTGTCAGACGGCAATGGAAAAGACGTGGCTCTAGCAGTGGAGCGCTTTCATCAGTCAGGCTGCGATTATACTGACCCTCACCGTTCAGCTCATCCCAGAATGCATCGGGCTCGGCACCCTCCTCCACCACCTCAAGCTCTGAATCAGGCAAATAATTGGCAAAGCGTTCCTCCGCCATTTGCTTCTCGAATTTCGAGGCACCCAAACCGTGCCAGACATAGATCTTGTGCTGCTTCTGCGATACCAGGACAAAGGCATCTGCGGAGGCGAGTGAGGAAGAGTCTGCTTGCACTTCGCTAGCGTGTATATCGCTCTCGACGGTGCCACGCACGCGGAAGAGCTGGGCCTCCACCGGCAAGGCCGTGTAAGAAGACAACAGCTTGCCTTTAAAGATCTTGTAAAAGTGACGTGGCTCGTGGTTTTGCGATGTGCGCACCAGAATGGCATTCTGTTCGATTGCTAGAGCCATACCATCTTCAAAAGCACGCTCCTTAGCTGCAGCACTTGCCTTGGCTCCTTCCCACACATAGACAATGGTGCCGGTCTCGCCATTGTTTGCCTCGAAGTTGTAAGTCAGAACGTACGAACCAAAGCCGAGCAGGGGCAGATTCTCCTCAAAAGCAACGCTATTGCGCAGCACCTCATTGCTCCCAGCCTTGCTAACGTACTGACTAATCTCATTGATGCTGTTCTGGCCGTGATCCGGCATAAATCCGATGGCCCGACCACCGCTCTTCTTAAGATTCTCCACAACCGCATCGATTTCATCTACATCTTCGTCCGATTCGTAGCCCAGAGCAGAGCGAATTAGACGCGTGTGAGCCATGCCAACATCGCGCCAGGTGTCGAAATACTGCTTAAATGGAGCCGACTCGGCGCCTTCGACAATGCGATGGATTTGCGTCCATGCGGGATATTTCTTTGTACGCAAGAACTCCTGTGCCTTGGATATGGCATCAGTTTTCTCCTTTTGCGTGGCGCCGCGACCTACCCAGACATAGATGCCAGAGCCGGTGTCCAGAATAAAGCAGTCACGTGTGTCCAGCATGGCCTGGCGAAGAGGTTTCTGTGCAATGGGATCCACCTTGAGATTTCCACTTGCATCGGAAACCTTATAAAGCGTCACGGCTGCGGCGTCTGTCCTCTCAAAAGCACCATCCTCATCGGCCGTTGTTTCCTCGGGCACCTGGTCAGGAGAGCCTGAACCTAGGACCTCAAAGAAGTGCTGCTTATCCGCGTCAGTGCTGAACTCGTCTACAAAATGAGCTCACTGTTAACAGAGTTTCGTTTGAACTTATTTCTGGTTACAAACCAATAATCTGCACACGCGCCCGTCCATTGTGATCCTGATCTCTGATCTGATTTGCTGCGCTAATAGCCTTAAGCTTCTCCACACGTTTGGCCTGCGCTCCAACGTAGACATAAATATCATTACCAGCATCCAGAATGAAGCAGTCACCCTTATTCATCGAAGACACCGACAGGTTGACCTGGCGTACGCGAACATTTCGCTTACCTTTCACCTGGAAGAGACGCTTCTCGCCCTGAGCATTGGTTTCAACATGTTTAAAACCAGTTCCAACGCCGCCCTGCTCATAGCGAACTCCATTCTTGAAGTAGCCCAAAAATAACTGCGACTCGTGATCCTGAACCTCTCGATGTTGTACAGGTGCTCCGTTCAATAGATCGTCTAGCTGGACAGTGAGAATGGCAGCAGCACCAGCCTCATCCTGGGAAGTCTCCGAGCCGAGCCAGAAGTGCACATCCCAGGACAGCTTTTTGTCTTTGCCTTCGACGGTCTACGGCAATATATATAAAAAAAAACGCAAATTTTTAGAACCACCTCAAGGATTTTAAAAATTATATTTTTACTCACATTTAGGATGATGAACGAATCACCGGTGTAAAATTTGCCATAGTTGTTCTTTGGATATGGCACCAGCTCGAAATTCTATAGAAAATATGGTAAATGCTTTATTTTTGCGGAGCCCATGTCAAAATAATTCGCAAAGAAAAAAAGGCGAAATGTGTTTTGTAAACAAAAAAATATTCAGGCGGCGGCCGGTGGTAATAAATATTTCAAATGTGTCTGCTTGTTAATTAACAAAAGTTTCGATGGGCTGGGGCACTATATATTCAATTTATTCTCTATATGTCGGCGGCATGTGTCGAAAAACATCTGCCGCACACATTGCGTGTGTCCATTAAATGGCATCAACTACGGGGGAGGCGTGCAGGCCCGCCATCATTTCGGAAGGTGCTTTCCATACGCAGCTGCTCGTACTTCTTAAGATATTGTTTATAAATACTACACATATATAGTGCACAAGCATACATACATATATGTATGTACATATGTATGTACTTATATTGTTGCTTTGCATGCCGAATCAGTGTTTGGTGCGCTGCATGAGCAACGCATTCGTGCGTGGGCGCGAACTTTCCCCTAGAGTGTTTTCAACAAGATGCAACTATTTATGAATGTACATATTCATTAAGGTTGGAAGCAAGGCGCGGTGGTAATTAAAAGTGAAATTACCTCAAATATTCAGTATGGTTAGCATTCAACGAAACGACTACAGTCAAAAGTATGTATTAAATGACAACCCTTTCTATGCAGAATGTAGTAGTAGGTTTACTTATATATCCCGTTATTCTGAATCATCATCAACCTGCTTCAAATCTATCTGAATTATCTATCTGAATTTGCCCGTCTTTTTCTCGCGGTTCTTGTGAAGTTACTCATCTCTCGTTGACTCCATTCCAGTAGTTTGGTCTCTATATAGAAAGTGCACTGCAAACAGAAATACTATATATACATGATTCTTACCTCAATGCGCCAGATCTCGACGCCAGGTGTGCGACCGGCATTGGCAAAAGCGGGATTCATTATACGTCTGGCTGGGGCCTTATTACCACTCACTGGCTGGATTTCGCTGGTCTGCACGGGTAGCGCGGGCCGGTTGTTAAAGAATGTGGCTGCTGAGCAGAGACTGGCCGAAAGTGCGATGAACGCAACCAGGCTGTGAAGTAAACAGGAAAGTGTTTGTTTGGCTGTTTCTACTTATTTTGTGATTGTTGCTTTATTTGTTTGCGTTCGGTGTGATTGTTTGTGCATTTCAGCAAACTATTTGCATACGGCAAATGACAGGGATTATTCTAGCGATTGACGTATTTATGAAGACGTGTTCATATGTATGTACTCGTATATGTTTATTGATATAGATATGTGTTTACTAACAACGACCCTCCTCATCACATGTATATTTACACACGTATATAGATATAAGTGAATTTATATCTACATACATACATATATGTATATGTAATTGAAGGATAATAAAACGCTTGTCACACATGAGCACCACCTTCATCTGAGTCATGACCATTTATGGACGTAAAAGTACGCAAGCCCAAAAAAGGCAAATATAAAATAAGTCTGTGTGCGACAGTATACTTGTATGTATGTACATAGTTCCCACTGGATTTACTTAGGAATGACTCCACACCATTCCGCTCATTTAATATGCCCTAGCATCTATTTTGTGTACATTTTTCACTTACTTCTCGTATATTGTAAATTAATTGGTTTCTGTAGCTGCGACGTATGAGTAATGCGTCAAATTTGTGGCACTAATTAGAACGCTCTTATTTGCTACTACTTAAAAGTTCTGCTAGTCAAGCTTAATAGCTGACGAACTGCTCGCTTCAATTACCTGGAGATGACTGCCATGCTGAGGCCTCTCGACGTTGCCATTTCGATTCTCCTCGCGTGTCGGTATCGGTGTCGGCTGCGGCTGCGGGCAGAGCTGCTCACAATGCTTTTGTTTATTGTTGTGATAAATATAACAAGTTAATATCTTTTTCAGCTCAGCGCCTCTATATATACTTGCATATGTATCTTTGAGTGTGCGGCCGTTGGTGTGTTTGCCGATGTTATTAATTGTTGCTATTATTTGCCTTTGTTTTTATCGGCGCGTTTGTTCGAGACCAAACAGAGAATCCGATGATAATGATGACAAGTGAGAGCAACGGCTGCTCCTCCTTTTGTGCGTGATATCTAAGATGGGAGATGAGCAGAAAAATCAAAGGCTAGCACGTCAGGGTAAGGGTTTTAACTTAAAAACATCATACAAGTACATTCGTACATAAACTCTCATTTAAGGTCAATGTAGCTGTTAAGAAAAAGGCACGCATGTCTACGCATAATAATTTTTTAAGTAATTAGTTGTTTATATGACATCATGCGAATTTAGTGTGCAATAAGTTGTTGATGTTTGTCCAGATATGTAAGTAGTTGTATGGGACTATCCCAGTTTGTCGCTTTTCTCAGCCGTAACAGCAACTGGGTCGAAACTAACGAAAGCCACAAGGTATTCGTACGGTTAACCTATTTATAGATGTTTATGATTACTCCTTCGCACACACATATACATAAATACATATGTATATTTTTAGTTTCGCTCACTTTCTGCGGAGTTCTCAAGATCTGCTTAATATTTCATTTGAGCGCTGCTCAAATCACGCATTTTGTCAGCTGACGGCATGTTTTGAATTTTAATGACGTGCAAATGTACAGTGAAATCCCGTAATTGCGAATTGAAAAACTTCTTCTATGAGAATTAAACAAATTTAGCATTTCAGAAAGCAATCCATAAATTGAAGGCACTTTTTTATTTCGTAACCGAAAGTAATCCTTTTCTTAGCTAGCCATATCTTGGAGATAAATAAATTACACAAACAAAATGGGTGTAAAACCAACATTGGCCATATCTGCCCGCTACCCCATCCATCAAACTTATTAACCACTTAACACAGCGCGTACAAATACAATAGAATTCAGGTATTTAGCTTCTCATTAATAACGCATAAATCTCGAAAACTCATTAACATTCAGCACTTCAGGAAACACTACGTTGTCAGAACAATATATATATATACCTATATATATATATATTGCGATCCTAAACAAACATTTTTTGAAAATTTAGAAATGATTAGCATCTTTTCCTACGCAATTAGTAGCCGTCAGTTTAAAAAAAAATATGTTTACTTAAGAACGTCTCGTTCATAAGCCTAAGGCCCTAACCCCAGATTAGATTACTTGAAAAGTATTGATAATAAGTGCGGTCAGCACTTGCACACTAGTGTATTGAATTTAATTAGGAGATTGTACCCATACCTATCACTTCTCTGCCTACATAAGTATGTACATTCATTCCTACACACAAATATTTATTGAATATATATATAGAGGAAAGATCGTGGATAAACGCAATTGACCAATTAGGAAACTGCATTCAACAGGCACTCAATTAAGACTATTATTTAGCGTACTATTAAATTTTATGTGCATGTGTAGGAAGGTGTTCTAAAAATGATTTAAATTGAAGTACTGTCTTTTGTTAGACTACTATTTGTTACGGCGTGTTTGAAACAATATAGAAGCTAATGTTTAGGTGCGCTCACCTTTACGAGTATATATGGACCTATAAAAACTAAGCTAAAAAATAAGCACTTACTCTTAGGTCAATATTGACAAACGGCTTCCAGGCTTGAAACGCGTCAGAAAATCAAGCCGAGAATACCTCGAACGACTTTGCAAGATGTGTAAACGACTACGCTGTTTGAGACACTGAACAAAAGAGCAACTTAGCTCTGCTTTTATATATGAAAGGCCATTCAAGCCGATGTCGAACCCACACGCTCTCCGAGCCGGTATAAACTGAGATAATTGATAACACGAAGCCTCTCTCCGCTTATCGGCACGACTGGAACAACGACAGCAACATCAACAAAAGTACTTCGCACAAAACTGTAAACAAATTGAAAACAAAATTTAAGAATTCTGGGAAACTGGGTCAAAAGTCATGTATTTACATCCGAATTGGAATTCCACGTTTATTTTGAAGCTTAGTCGAGCATTCCTAATTAAGTCAAAAGAATATTTAGTAGTCGGCCGCGGTGTTCGACAAGTAATCGCGTCGCCCAATGTTCGATGCCTGCTTGCTTTGCACGGCCTCCAGTTTGGGACACTCGGTAATCCGATGGCCCAATCCACCACAGTAACTGCAGCCATAGTCGCCCAAGTCCAAATGCTGGTGCTCCGCCTCGGGTGCCAACTCGTCGAGAAAGTCTGGCACCTTTTGCTTGCCCTCGATTAGCAAATGTTTAAGATCTAAGAGTACAGACTGCTCAGTAATTTTGTTGATTAGCGTAGTGGCTAGTCCCTTTGTATTGGAGCGGCCTGTGCGGCCGATGCGATGTACATAGTTTTCAATGTCGTCGGGCATGTCGTAATTGATAACGTGCTGCACATTGGGAAAGTCCAAGCCTTTGGACGCAACATCTGTGGCAACTAGCACATCTTTTTTGCCCACGCGATAGGCGTCCACTGCCCGAGAACGTTCTTCCTGATCCTTGCCACCGTGGATGGCTACCGCCTCGACACCCTTAAGCAACAAGTACTCGTGTATGCAATCAACGTCCTGTTTCTTCTCTGCGAATATCAGAACTGGTGGGGCCGTCTTTTGCAGGCAGTCCAGCAAATAAACCACCTTAGCCTCCTGCTTCACATACTCAACCTCCTGTGTTACATTCATCGAGGCGGCACCAGCGCGTCCTACGTTAATGGTAATGGGCTTCACCAGAGCAGAGCGTGCAAAATTTTGAATCTTTTTGGGCATAGTGGCGGAGAAGAGCAGCGTTTGACGCTGGCCTTTAAAAAAAGAGAATATGGTGCGTACATCCTCCTCAAAGCCCATATCAATCATGCGATCCGCCTCGTCCATACACAGATAGCGGCACATGTCTAGCGTGAGAATCTTCTTGTCCAACATGTCCATAAGTCGTCCCGGCGTTGCCACAACAATGTGCACACCACGCGATATCACTTCAAGTGCCTCCGAGACTGGCAAGCCACCCATGGCCAGACAGGAGCGCACCTCAGGCATCCCGCAGGCCTGAAGGTGCTTGGAATAGTGTTGTATAATCTCATGTGTCTGTTTGGCTAACTCCCGAGACGGACAGATAATCAGGCCATACGGTCCTTCGTTACGCTCAAATGGCAGACTGTACTCTTGCTCCAGTGCGAACATCACAATGGGTAGAACGAACACCAATGTTTTGCCGCTGCCAGTGAAGGCTATGCCAATTAAATCGCGGCCAGCGAGCACAGTTGGCAGACCCTGCACCTGAATTGGGGTTGGCTTCTTAATGCCCTTAGCGGCCAGTCCATTCAGAATGCCCTTGGGAAACTTCATTTCGCGAAAACTTTGTATGGGCGCACAAGGGCTTTCACCTTCGACCAGTATTCTCAGCTGCTTGCGTATGGCTTGGCGTTGATGCTCTGACATTGCCTGAATATAACGGGGCGGACGCCACGAAGTTCTTATAGGGTCTTCGTACTGAATGCCCTTTGCCAATTCTGCCACACCCATCAGGGCCTTCTGTTGGGCCACACTCTCCAGGATTTTCTCTTCTTCGCGCAGCTGTTTCTCGACGGCGCTCAATTTTTTGGCTTCGGCAATCTTCTTTAGTTCCGTATGCTGATCCAACAGGCTGATGTTGTATTTCCGTCCCCACGTCTCCGCATCGTGAGCACCCTGCGATTCTTCGTCGTTCTCGTTCTCACTGGATGACTTTGCCTGCGATTCCGTGGCCAGATGCACAATCCGCCCCAATTTCATCATATGTTGCTTTTTGCGCTCTTTTACCGGCACGTAGGGCACATAGTTATCATTGGTATCCTCTTCCTTATCCTCGGAGGAATTAGAGGTGCGTCTGTATCGCTTAATTGGCTGGGATGTCCGCTGTGACATCTTAACTGTTTATATTTTGTTTTGTTTATACGAATGTGGGCAAACGTTTGTTTGCATGTATAACTTTATTGATATTGCAGCCCTATTCTGCGCTTAGTGGCTTTTAGTATTTAAAAAGTTCGATAAGACGGTCACACTAGAAAACACGCTTCATTATTTCAGTACTTTATAAATTGTTTATTGAGAGCTTGGATAAAAAAGGCAACTTCGACGTTACCATGTCGATGTCGAAGACCACCAACACGTACAACCGGCAGAATTGGGAGGACGCCGAGTTTCCCATTCTCTGCCAGACATGTCTGGGTGATAACCCATATGTACGCATGATAAAGGAGCGATTTGGAAAAGAGTGCAAAATATGTACACGGCCATTTACGATATTTCGCTGGTGTCCAGGGGCACGTATGCGCTTTAAGAAGACGGAGATCTGCCAAACATGTGCACGGTTGAAGAACGTGTGCCAAACATGTCTACTGGACTTGGAGTATGGTCTGCCCATACAAGTTCGTGACGCTGCACTGAAGGTGGCCGACAACATGCCACAAAGTGACGTCAACAAGGAGTACTATATTCAAAACATCGATGCGCAACTACAAGATGGCGATGGCACAGAGGCAGCGGGGGCAGTAGGACGGTCACTGGCCGCCAATGAAATGCTATCAAAGCTGGCTCGCACCGCACCCTACTACAAGCGCAACAGACCACACATCTGTTCGTTCTGGGTCAAGGGAGAGTGCAAGCGTGGTGAGGAGTGCCCTTATAGACACGATAAGCCCAACGAGCCCGATGATCCACTCTGTGAGCAGAACATTAAGGATCGCTACTACGGACGCAACGATCCAGTGGCGGAGAAGATTATGAAGCGTGCCGCTTCGCTGCCTACTTTGGAGCCACCCGAAGATCGGAATATAACCACACTGTACGTGGGCAACTTGCCCGAGGAAATCACCGAGCCAGAGCTGCGAGATCAATTCTATCAGTATGGAGAATTACGTTCCATTGCGCTAGTGCCGCGTCAGCAGTGCGGCTTCGTGCAGTACACCAAACGCGGAGCTGCTGAGTTGGCCGCTGAGCGCACTTTCAACAAACTGGTGATACACGGCCGCAAGGTGAGCATCAAGTGGGCACACTCGCAGGCCAAACAAGGAACTGCTGCAAAAACTGACAGGCGATTCGATGTGGCTGGCATACCACCCTCCACTGGAAAAGCTAACGACTATTTCAATCTGAGACAAGAGCAGATCAATGTTATGCCAGCGGGCATGAAGCTTCATCAGCTCCCACCCAATCTGGTCCCTGCATCGGCCTACCAGATGTACGCCCAGCCGACCTACGCTGCGCCCTACAGCGGACTGAGTGGACCCAGCACAAGCAGTGCGGCAGCTTCCAGCTCAACGAACAACTCCGTCTCAAGTGTCCATCTCGACGCTATACCACCGCCTCCTGGGCAAATACCTTATCCTAGTCAGGATGCAAGCCGCATGGGCGCACTAAAAAAGTAACAGTTGTAAAGGCGATTTGACTGTTTTATAATGGGAAAGAATAATTGAACTTTTTATGACACCAAACCAATAAAAAATAGATGTGCAAATTTAAATAAGTGTTAGAATTCAGTTTCTAATAGGTATATGAAAATGTGAATTTCACTTGTATATCTGCAATTAATAAAAACAAGAATTTTTTAACGACAGCAGACAATTTGAAGCAATATATTTCATTAACAGTTTCATCTTCCAGGAAATGCATATATATATATATATATATATATATATATATTTTATATGGGTTTGAATTTTGAAACATAATTCTGTTTTATACTTTTTATATCTAATTACATTTATGTACGTTGGTCAGCGAAACACCTTCACTTTAATATAACAATTATATTTAAATACATAATCCATTTACTTGCTTTGATGTGCATATTTGTTGGTATGTATAGTACACATTTTCAGCAAGTTTTACCGAATTATACATAAAAAAAGGCATGTGAACAAAACGTCTTCAATTGAGCTAAGCCGGTCCCACTCTTAATATTTCATCCTACAAAAGTTTCGTTACTGGCTTTGAGTATGTTGAAAACATTAGAAATAATTTCAGACCCAACTTTATACTTTTGGATTGTGTGTCGGGGGGAATGTTTTGTAAAATTAAGTAAATGGTCCATAATAGTGCGTTTGGAAATTCAAAGTAGGTGCAATGTGGGCTAACTAGATTATTTATGTACACTCTATACAGCATACACTACACGAATACTTTCATTTTACACATTTAGGCTTACACTTTAAAAATTTACACTAATTACTTGTAGTTAATATTAAATTAGTTAAGACTATAGGTATCAGCGTAAGTTGCGTTTTACGCATTGAACATATTTTGCTGCGTGGCATCGTTCTCAAAGTCGGTCCATGCATTGTTTAGCTCCATAAAGATTAGTTTGGCAATTTCTTCGTGTTCCGTGCCATTGTGCTGAAAGAGTGCAGAATAGAGTTATGTATTTTGATCTATCCTTAGCTTTCCGTTATTTTACCTTGTCTGGGTGCACAGCTAGGCAGGCGCGACGATAGGCCTTCTTGACCTCAGCCGGCGTCACCATAGTGGACATTTCACATCGATTCCACTTGGCATTCTCCCATAGCACCGTGTGCATAGAGCAGAGCAGTGCTCGTATATTGTTCTTCTTGCCATCAGTCTGCAAAAAATACAGATTCAATAGATCGATTGCGTTTTCACATCAATCTACCATTATCGTACTTACCCATTCCATAATCCGCACTTTCTTTGGGTCCATGTCTTTGACGAGCTCCTCTTTGCGCATTTCGTTGATTGAACGTGGCCCCTGGTTCATTTTACTACCAAAAGAGTAGCCCTGTTGCCCCAAGATGTCGGCGAAAACATCTGAGCTCTTAAATCCTCCTCCCGCTGCTTGTTGTCCCGGCTTGGGTGCATCGAAATGTGCACGACTATAGTCCGGTCGTTGCTGGGCACTTGTTGATTGAGGCTGCGGCTGAGATTGTGGCGGCGTTTTTACAAACGTGCTCTGCTGTGGCTGCTGTGATGGCTGCGTTGGTATTGGGGTCGGTGCTGGTGCTGCCCTATGTAGGTTGGGTGCGTTGTGCGTGGGACTGGAAAATTGTGTGGGCTGTGGACTATGGCCAACAGGAGTGCAGCCTGCCGACTTTCCACCCAGTGTGTTTGGATTGAAATTAATGTTAAGACCCGAAGCCAAGTTGGCGAGATCAGCAAAAGGATCTGCAGGCTGTTGTGGCATGTTCTGTTGTTGCGTGGGAGACGGATCTTTTCTGGGGCCGTTTTGTGGCGTAACCAATGTGGGAACACTGCCTACAAAAGGCGGCAGGCCTGTGTTAGTCGGCTTCAAGTTTGGAGCACTTGTTGGTATTCCAGCGCCGTTGTCAAGTGAGCCAAATATGTCAAAAAGATCATCGTTAATTTTTGGGTGCGCTGTAGAAGTTTGCGGTGGTGGCAGTATATCAGGTATAGGGGCTGAGCCAATACCCGTGGAGTCGTCATCGCCAAACGCACCCAACAAATCAAAGCTGGCATCCGAGCTGGGCATGGCAGTTGCTAGGGGATCGGCGGCAGCGGCAGTGGTAGCACTGGGCTGTTGATTTAGATTGAGCAGATCGATGGGAGGCGACGGTTCTGGAATTGAAGCGGGCACTTCATCATGCCCTATTTCCGTCACATCGGGCAGCACGAGCGGTGAACTGGACCTCTCTGGTATTTTAGTTAACGTCGGCGAGCTCTGCTCCGTGCTGTTGAAACGCGCAGTGGGTTTGGCCACTGTTAAGCAAATAATAGTGGTCAGAACATACAAATCTTTGAACCGTCTCTCTATGCCTACCGAAATTGTCCAACATTTCCGCATGCTCAAGGTCCGAGCTGAACAAATTTTTCGCATCACGTACGCCCTTTGCTGGAATCCATGGCGGTTGACGGCTAGGGAGGCTTTCTGTTTCCTGCACACTAAGCGACAGCGAAACTGTGAAATTGGACGGAACTTGCTCCGGATCGGGCAAATCGTCAAGATCTTGCGCACTGAAATTTATGAGCGTTTCGGGTTCGGGCACAAATCCTGTATTAATTTGGAACTGACAAATTTTTAGACCCTGGGGGCGCACCATGCCTTTAAGCGCGTTGCGTGCATGATACAATACTACAGTCAAATCCCCACAGACTGTCAAATTAATGGGCAGCACTATTTTCCCAGGACCGGCCAGATAGAGGCTGTGAAAAACGAAAATTTGGTAACAGCCTCATTGACACATTTTAGGAGGCTCCTACTCACCGCATTTTCTCATATTCCTGCAGGGTGCTTAACAACAGACGTTCATTGCAGTAGACTTCCATGTAAATACGGCAACCGTCACGTGCTTTCGTCATTTTCGGCACAGGCTGACAGCTGAGCGATACTAGGTTTATATTTTTGTAGTGCGGTAACAACGGCGTGGGTCGCAAAATATCACCGAAATAGTACAGATAGCGAAACTCGGAAGCTCGCAAATTGATTGTGTGTCGCTTGACAGCAAACACTTGAACAGCGTCCTCGGGCTCGTGCAACAAATTTGCATACATGAGCAAAGCACAGATGACGGTAGCTGCAGTACAGCCGCCCGAATCTCCAGTTTGAACAATGACAATTGACTTGGCATCTGCATTTAGGAAATTGTACATGTCTGCTGCCACCGTAAAAAGACCCTGCAGATTAGGTGCATGAGCCTGCGAACAGGCATAGACGGAGCCTGCCTCCACGGTTCGTACTGGTGGTGATAAGCGCGGCACTGTGCGTGGACCAAAATTGTAAATGCTAATCTTCTGCGGAGCAAAGCGGCTCTCGAGCGACAACCGCACATCCTCAATGTTGTTAGTTTTATAAGTCGACTCAAAACCATCCGATGGGCAGGGCATTACCAGGATACGGGACGTGATGTAACTGATATCCAGATCGTTGCGCGCAATTGTCTGCTGCATAGTTTGCATGACTTTGGTCGAGGTATCCTTCAAATTCTTGAACAGAGTGCCCGCTCCGCCGCGCAAAGAGGATAATAGACTGCCGTTGCTGGAGGCACCGCTTGCGGCACTGGTTGGAAGATGGGGACCTGGCACTGCAGCTGAACCATTTGGACTGTCGGTGTAAAACTCCGATTGTCCAACTGGAGCTGGTCGGGACATCTGTGGCGGGGTAACACTTCTTGCTGGACTGTCTGCTGGTGACGTTTCTATTGGCACTCCATGAAGGTCTAACGGGCCCTTTAGCGACCAGTTGTGAGTCTCCGCTATGGCCGCCAGACGTTCCAGCACCATCGAAATATCGAAACGCTCAGTGGGATTGACTTTAAAGCAGCCTTTGATAATATCTCTGAAGCAGTGATAGCGAGGTTCTGTGGGTAGTATGTAGTTGCCATTAATGATGCGCAACTTTCCACCATCTTCAAAGGGATGCCTTTGAAAGCACAGGAAGTACAGAATGCAACCCAGTGCCCATATGTCCACTTTTGGCCCAATCTGATAATTTGACCACGTGTCGAGCATTTCTGGTGCACGATACATAGGCGTGGTCACTGTGTTCAGTTGATCTTCGAGCATGTTGCGTTGGTGTGCACTCCATTCAAAAGAAGGCGAAGAGAGCTCCGTTGTGGCTGACCCGAAATCGCAGAGTTTAATTTGCTTGTCGTTGCCGAGAAGAAAGTTTTCAATCTGTACGAATACATACGTATATACCATATTTGTATTTATTACCGGAGTATTGATTAAACCAAGCATGTACCTTGATGTCACGATGAGCTATGGGGGGCTCTTGTGTGTGCATATATGCTACGGCACGTGCCATTTGATAGAACAGGCGTAGCACAACAGGCGGATCGAGCGGTGCATTGGCCGTCTTGAAACAATCCATCAGAGAGCCTCCTATAAAGTATCTATGTATATGCCGTTGCGTGATAAGAATGCTTGTCCACTTACCCTTGCAGAGCTCTGTGAGCAGCAGATACTGAGCGCCCATCTGCGACACCTGCGGTATGTAACTGGAGCCAATGAAGGTAACAATGTTGCTGTGACCCGACAGTTGTTTGTGTATATTAATCTCATTGATTATGGCATTGCAGGCCTGCTGATCGGCGCCGATCAAACGCTTGAGGGCGTACACTGTGCCCGATTGCACATCTTGTGCTACATACACAAATGCATAGCCGCCTGAAAGAGGAAACAGATAACGACGACACTGATAAGTGAGGGCGTGCTTATATAAGATATGCCAGATTTTCAGCAATTTCTGAGTCTTGTTTGGGGCGCTTTTTGGTATGACTCATGGGTCATAAAACCATGCTGCAAATGTGAATGAACGTAAACTTAAAAGACGTTGCACACACATACACTTATCATACATACACAAGTGTGTATGTGTGTATATGAGAATGTATGTGGGTGCTGTTAGCGTCTCGCTAACAAAGCAACAAGTCAACTGCTCAGCTCAGCAACAAAGATAACACAGCAAACGGCTCAAACGAGAAAATCAGTAAGCGTAAACAAAGCGCTCACATTTATGACAATTTTATTGTTGCAGGGTGCAACATTTTCCTGGTTTTCATTATTGAATTTTCTGTTAATTACGACTCCTCACATGCAAAAATTACGGACTCCTATTGATTTTTTTTGCCAGACCCTAGGTAAGGTCTTTGCATTGCTTAGTGCACTTTTCTTACCTTCGGCTATGACACATTTTGTGCGCAGCTTGTGGCCAGCGATTTCCATAAATTGCCCAACGTAATCATTATCGAGAGAGGCACTGCTTGTTGTTGTGGCACCGTTACCTGCCAGGTCAACAATGGGCGATGTTGTGTTAAAGTACCCGAGGGCACTCTTGAAAAACTCGCCCATGTTGCTCTTTATGGGGGCGTTTCAATCACTCGGTTGTTGTAGTTGAAGCACTATTTAAATAAATTTAGTGTTCTAAGCAGTATTCAAACATTTTCGCTCTACGGACACAAATTTCTGCAATCTGATGGTGATGGAAACTGTTTCATTTTGCATATTTAGTGTGACCAGCTTATGGGTAAGCAAAATGCTGAAACACTTCACACACGCAGTGGTCACACTCCCACGCAAGACCAGTGTTAAGTACCGAACATGTAAACTAAGCTATCGATATCTTAGAATTTGCGCCACAATTCAAAGTGTAATTTGAAGATACAGAAATTAAAAAAAAATTAAAACAATTGGTATATACATATGCACATTTGCATAGTTTACTTGACAGTCTACAAGGGCGGCCATTCCACTTGAGCATTTGTGCAGCCTTGCCCGCATTTCTAAAAAATGATGTTGGTATGAATTAATTTATTCAATTTTGATAAAAACTAAGCCATTAGTGGATTTGAACTAATTCAAGTACAGTCAAATAAATAAATAAACCCTTTATTGGAAAATGATGGACCATCTCTGGCATGTATGGGAAGAGTATGTGTGTATACTACCCAAGACAACGTTTTGGCCAAAGCCAAGCCCATGTTTTGCCCAACGTAATAAAGCGAACAAAATTGTTTCTTTGTGTAAAGTCCGTTACGTTTGACAACTTCGGCAGGTGCCGTTGTTGTTGAATTTTGCGTAAATTGAGCGTCGTATGTAATTTGACATACATACTATATGTACTCGTAGATACAAAGATATGTGTTCGCATCTGAGGCGTCAAGTGTGCAATTTCGTTACATTTCACATGTGTCGTTTAAGTGGCCCACGTAACCAACAAAACAACCAACTCTATAGCTCATAAAAATGTAAGTCAAACGCAAATTATGTGCGTCCGTTATTTTGCTTATCAGTATGACTGTTGCAAATATTTCAAAAGTCGAGTAAGCATGAATGCTGCGGATTATCAGTAAAGCCCATCTAACATTGACACATTTTACGCCTGTTTGATTTATTACAGCGGGCTGCAGCATTTAGAAAATTCTAATTAAATCAATATTTAAAATGTTCCACATAATTAAGTTGCATATTAATTGGCTAATAACAAATACACATAGCTAGAACAGCAGTTGTAATCGTAATGCCACAATTGGGTTAAACAAAATGCTCATTCTATTTGGACAATTGCACAGAAAAGCACACACAAAGCGGGAAAACCTCAAAGACAAAACTTTACTTAGCGTGGACCTCAGCCCAGTTTTAAAGTCGTTTCAACCACCGGAGAAGATGCACCTTGAGCTCATTTGTCTATTGATAGCAGTATCCATATATGCTGTCGTTCAAGCCCAGGCTTTTCAGCTAAACCAAGGCCAACAGACGCGGTTGGATTCGCGGCGACAAGGACAGCTTATGATTTTCAATCCTTTTGGCAATCAGAAAATGGATCCTTTGCGATTTCTGCCTATAGTTCCAGGCCAGAAACGACGACCGGACCAAGCGGTGGTCAGTGGGAATGTGGTGGAGCTGCCTCAACTTTGGCAGCCCTGCAGTTGTTCCGAGTACATGTGCGCTTGCTGCGTAGGTCTATCCTTGGGCGAGACTATAAGCCAACGCGTGTGTGCAGTCCTCGAGTATATTTCCACCGATATCAGCCTTCAGCTGCGCATCGAGCTCAATCAACGTTCTGTTGCCAGTTTTAGGCTGTCGGCCAGGAATCCGCCTGATTATTGTGTGCCGATCCTCCTCCCATTACCCTTCTTTAGTTGCCTGCGCGTCTACGACATTCGCTCGTTTAGCGGCGGCAACATTCAACTTTGCATCTCAGTGGTATTCAAAGTGTTCATAAGTCAGCTCTTCGAGTACCACTTCGATTGTGTCCGTTTCGGCCCGAATGGAGTCTTCTTTGTTAGCGCCGAGCAGAACGATGTGGAACTGGATTCGGCAGAAGATCTGGCGACGCCGCATGCAGAGCAACTATCTTCACCTTACTCAGTTGGATTGGGTCAGAGCACTCCTGGCCAAGTAACGGCATCTGAGCAACCACCCAACGACAAGCTAGCGGATGAGGATAGCACGGATTTTTTTCGCTTAGGGTCACGAGCTGGTTGAATACATTTCTAATATTGCTTTAACTCTGTATATTGACAGCTGCAATGTGGAATATGGTGGACAACTTTTATTTCTGCTTTTATTTGGCGCCTTTATTGCACGTTTGGTTTAAATCACAATACATTTTTCTAATACTCTATGGCCTGTGAACCTCCTAATTGTTCTTCTGTTGTTGTTTTTACGATTTGTTTTGTTGTTACGATCGCCATAATTCCCAAGCCTTTATGGCTCATTCTACTTGTATTAAGAGAAGATAAATGAATTAAAAAATTAAAATAAAAAGTGAAATTTTTGTTAATTAAAAAAGTTTTGTTTAACAACAAAAGCAACAATAACAACAGCGTTAAAAGAAACAGAAACAACATCGGTGGCGACCAACAACCACAGCAATAGCAACAGCAACAATAACAAGAGCGCTATGAAAATTGCGAAAATTGGCAATAAAAAGTTGAGAGCAATGAAGCGCTCTGCCTCAGATTTGTATCTCGAACGAGGCAGTCATACACACCTACCTACTTTTCTGGTCGCTTTCGTTAACAACTTCGGCAAAGGCAATTATTTTTCTGGGCGCTATCGACGGCATGCATCTAAGAGTCTGACTTCGCGGAGAGTAGGCGAGGGGCGGCTGACAGTTTAGCGCCAACTGTGTGTGTTGGCCATGCGCATGACTGATGCGCAATGCTGGGTTTTGCTGAAGTGCTTGCCAAAAATCTCTGCAAGCTTTGCAGCTGCGTCGGTCTGCGTGCACTTAAGCGCCTCTTTGGCTTTGCCGTTGTTGATTGTTGTTTTTGCATTTGTTGTTATTGTTGCTGTTTTTTTCGCTGTTGGCACTGCTGTAGCAATTGCGCAATTGTTCGCTCATTTTGGGTCTGATTTTGGCGTGCTTTGGTTTCTGTCTCAGTTTCAGTCTCAGTTGTTGAAGCGCAATTTGTGCGCTCATTGAGCCTCAAGCGCGGCTTCGTCTTCGGCCTCGGCTGCGGCTGCGGCTGCGACTGCGACTGTAGCTCTTGTGTGTTGTATGCCAGCTGTTTCAAATATATGTATGTATGTTGTGTGTGTACATAAGTATGTACGTGTATGTCTGTTTGTGTTTGTTACCGTTGCCATCAACAGAGTTACCTTCGCTGCTTTGCCGCTTGCGTCAACGTCAACGTTAGCGTTAGCGTTAACTTCAGTTTCAGTTTGAGCTTCAACGTCGGTGTCGGCCTCCAAACATATGCATGTATGTATGGATGGATGTATGTATGTATACATAATAATTTTACTTTTTTCTGTCGTTTTCCAGCCCGATGCTTTTTTACTTGCAAGCAAAAGTTTTTCATTTGCGTTCAGTTGTATTTCGGTTCGCGTTGCGATCTGTCGCACATTTGAACAGCGTCGCGTTGCCCTCAAAATTTTGACCAGTTTGGATAAGCATACGAAATTAATTGTTATTGCTGCCACTGCTGCACATAAAGGAGCAACACTTTGGGCTGTAATCTGCCACAACGCGAATTGGACAACGAAGCAAAAACGTGAGTTAAATTTGTGGGGCTTTAACACCTTGCGTATGCGTAATACATAACGTATACACTTATAAGATGTGATTGATTGAAACGATGATGAAACTCCAAAATGAATGTCTCTGTTGTTAGCTATCCACATAAGTACACAGTTTTTAGACTCATTTAGGTAACAGAAAACAGTATATTTTCAGTTTTGAACAGCAACAAAAAGCTACACTCCATCATAAATTCAATACATACAGATATTAATTAGTGAAAATAAATTATGTTGGGAAATGCCTTCATATCCTCAATGCGATGAACAAGTATTCCAAATTCAATAACGACAGCCTATGTAGTACATTCTCGTTTATTAAGATAGTGGATGATTGTTGTCTAAAACAAAGGTTAACAATCAACGACAACGGAATCTTGAAGTTAATATTATAATAAAAAATAATTATTATAAGAAACAAAATACCAAGCAAGTCAGATATTTGAAAACTGGCAGCCCAATTTTTGACAATCAATGATAAACCAATTGAATTATTTGTATGTTTTATGAAAAGCGCTTTCAGTTGGACAACTCATTTTTCTGCCAGTGTAAGCGTGGAGTACTGACCTGCCACAAAAATAAATTTTTCTTCTGTTGGAGGTTGCATTCGAAAGGTTTTTAAGACCACTTTCCGAGTGGTGATGACATGCGACTAAAGTACATATGTACATGTATTGTAAATTTTACTCTAAGCTTTGGTATTGCAAGACAACTTTTGAGAAGTGCGTAGGCTCTTATTTGTAGTTCAGTTTAGAGGAAATGAAAAGCTGTGATGCTAAGTGATGAGGTGCTGCTGCTTGAGTTGCCCACGGATCTAGCGGCAAACCTTTGACTTTAAAGAAGTGTGGTTTCACTTTCAATTACGAAACTTGGATGTAAAAACCCAGTCCTAAAGTGCCACCTCACATTAGATTTAGCTTTAGCTTTGGTTTGACTTTGGCTTTTAAGGGTCTCACTGAGTAACCAGCATGTGTAATTAAAAGGCGCTGGCAAAAAGGCCAGCAAAGAGACCAACTTGTCAGTGACAAGCTGGCAAGCACCTACCTGCCGCAGCATCTTTAAACTTTACGATCTTTGAAATTTCACATTTCATTGCACTTCCAACGGCAGCAGCAACAACAAAAAGTACGAATATGGATAAGTGAAAAAAAATCATGTATAGTAAAGTTTCTCACTTTTGGGTGGGAAATGTTAATCATAAAAAGTAAAAGTGAAATTAATACAGCAGCGACACTAACAACAACAAATTACATTAACCGCAGCTACATTTGCATCTCGCACATGACAACAGCAACAGAAACAGCAACAGCAACAGCAGCATTTACAACAACAAAACCTACAACTACCACAAAAATGACAACAATTGTTGATAACAATAAGCGGCGTGGCGGTTGAGCGCGCTTGAGTGCTTAAGCCCGAGACGGCTCGCTTGTTGTCACGACTTCGAAGCTTCGATGTCAGCTCGTGGCCAGCGACTCCTTTGTGCATGTGATGTGTGTTTGTCTGTGTGTTTTTGCCCGGTCAGTATTGGTCAATAAAATGAATGCCAATCGGAAATGGCTGCAACGGGGCACACGACAAAATTTCAATTGAGTCTGTTTGCTTGAAAATAATTTGGAGGTTTCAAAAATGCTCAGCACGTAAAGTGTGCTCCAGTGATGGTGATTGACACTTTGACAAGTGGTGTCCAGAAGTTGACGTAGGTACTGGGCTTAAGTAAGGGCTGCTGCAACGAAAGTGAGAGTCGCCATCGTCAGCGTCATCAGCAGAAGCTGTCCCGGCTCTCGAGTCTTCAAGCCTCTTCTTGCTTGTGGAGCAGAGTCAATGACGCGTGAGTCGAATGCATCGCAGCTGCTGGTCGACTATTATTTTAAGCAATTGCACTGGATTGGAGTGCATTGCGAACTGTGAAGTGTGAGTGCGAGTGTGTGCTGGCGTGATGGTTTGTGTAATGCCCAATTAATGGCAAACGACACGCCTTGAGTGAGAAAGCCCATCATTAAAGTTGCGCCGCTTGTCGCTTGCTTTGCATGCAAACCCAGTCGAGTGCCGGCACACCAACGCCAAAGCGTTTTAAGGCACACACACATACAGTGAATATCGACTAGGTAGCAATAGGACAATCTATTTCCCATTACATGGGACGAAAGATCAGCGACAGCGAGCAAACTAAGACTGGTTAGCAATTTATTAATTTGTCTCCCATTGGGGATTTTCAAAGACATTGCTTAGCTTCGAAATAAATATTTGCTTTTCTTATTTTATTTTATTATTTTTTTTTTTTTAATATAGCCCGAGCGGGCGAACCAATAATTATAGTTTCTGTATAGCTATTATATTGGCAAATAAATGGGATCTCATTTAGCCGATTGATTGTGGGCACGAAATGCTCCTACCATAAAAAAGCGAACAGAGCCGTATGGAGGCAAAGAAATAATATATAACCAATAAACTTGAAACTGATTTATGAAACGGTTTCCGAGTTAAACGTAAAAACGGTTAGTGAGCCACTTAGACAACAAAGCGCCTTTACAAAAAAAAAAATAAAATAAAAAAAATAAATAAATACCCAAAACCGCCAAAAAAAATTGCACAAATAATTGCAGCTTGCATTTCAACATTCATCCATTTATTCCACCATTCCATTCCGTTCGGCCGTTGTCATTATTTTTTATAACTGGTCGATGATAAATGTCTCTGACATGCTGTGGCGCATTTCCTGTCGCTTACGATGCGATGCGGCACAAAACCCACTTCAAAAACTTGAAGTGATGTAATTTCATTGAACAAAAGTGGCCGAAAAAATAAAACCAACGAAGACGAAATTGAAGGCGAAGACGCAACGCCACTAGCAACAATAGCAACAACAGCAACAACAAATAAACAAGTGATATAAACGAGAAACCGGCTGACTGCGCCGCCAACATCCACAGCAAAAGCAACAACTGTTAACGGTAACTGCTCGGTCAGCTGAGCCGTGACATTGAAGCGCGAACGCTGCTTCAGTCTTCGCTGCTGAATCACTGCTCCGCCTCCGCTTATCACACATTTTGGCAGCCGTGCCGGCCAGCGGCCTAAAAACGGCGACCAAGACGGCGCTCAGAAAAACAGACCAAGCGCTCAATAGCAAGCATTGACTTTTGCCTTCTTCTTCTTGTTATTGTCGTTATTGTCGTTATTGTTTTTGTTGTTGTGCGAAAATGAAGCAGCTGCAGCAGATGAGGGCGGGGATGGCGGAGTGCACTGCTGTGCAAACGTGTTTTTGTTGCAACAGAGCGCGACGCCGGCGACGATTTCATAACAAAAACAAAAACACAATCCCAGCGAAGAGGCAAAGGCGGGTCGGGTCGGGTTCGCTTCGAGCTCAGCGCACTCGGCCACAACAGAGCCAACAGGCAAATGAAAAGTGAAAGTCCCAACGCGACTATGGGGCGTTTGGCAGCGTTTCAGGCCAGGGAGCTCAAGTCAGAGTCAGAGTCCGAGTCCGAGTCTTAGTCAGTCTTAGTCGTTGTCGATGTTGGAGTCGAGGAGGCGCGCGTTGGTCGTGAACTCTGCGCGCATTTATTGAAATTGCAATTTACAATTTTCTTAATTGTTTTTCGCATTTGGACGGCAAATTTTCACTCATTAGTGGCTCGTTGGGTGCTATTACTGTTATTTGTTGTTGCTGCTGTGGCTGTTGCTTGTGGTACGTGGCGTATGTGTAATATTGTTGCAAAATTACCGAAGCCCCCTCCTGCTGATAATTGAGCTCAATCATCAATCAATAGCCTTAGATTTCATTGACCGCATACTGATTTCCATGCAACCGATTGTTGGCCGTGTGGTAAATAGCCGTGGGACCCTGTACATTGCCTAATTTCCTTGATAGGCGTCGCTCGCGCAGATGGGCGGAAAAATCAACTTTTCATGCTTTATTTTAATCCCATTTAATGTGAATTTCCTACATTTATTACATAAAACTCTTGCCTAAAAAAGTATGTGAACTAAATGTGTAATCAGGCGGTGGTCTTCCATTAAGTTTTCCTAATCTAATAGGTGTGCGTTGGATTCGGGAAGCAACACTTTGCTCAATGAGTTAACTATAGAAAGATGTAAAGGGAAACTGGTATGAACAAAAATTACTCCTAAAATTATGAATTTAAAATATATTTAAAAAATTGTATGTATGTATGAATGTACACACATATATGTGTGTGCAAAGCAACAACAACTCCTTCTGTATGTTGCATACTATATTCGTACTAAACTAGTATTTGTATATTTCATGTACAGGGTAAACAAAAATGAGTAAATGGAATTGAAAATCATGTTTTTTAGAGCTCTTTTCATATGGCTTTAATTTAAAAAGACTTTCACAAGAACTTTTAACAATTTTCATATCTTATCCTCTAAAATCATATTAAACTTGAAAAAACGATTGTGTGCAACCGAATTTAAGTAGTGTTGTTGTACTCATACTTACTAATTAATTAAGGCGCCGGCTATTAAGGCATTTAACAATTTCCTCGTGGCAAGCCCCAGCACTCGCACACAAACTAACGAAAGTTAAGCGTTGCAATTTTTAATTGCTGTTTCGCTTTCTTAACCCAACGCACATGGGCACGAAAATGCAATAAAAGCAACAAACACGCACACAAACACACCAACACACTCGTGCACACAAACCTGCATTGAATGCCGCAATGCCGCAAATTCAGTCATGCAGCTTGTCAATAATTAAATTATGAACAGCCGACACTATCGAGGGAAAATTCGAACAGATGCGCCGCCAAGTTTTATGACAAGGCCGGCGCCGGAAAGTGTGGCAACTAATTACCCAATGGATGCTTGTTTAGTTGTTATAGCCAGCGGGGGATGCGGCTTAGGAAAATATAAACAAAAGGGTAAGGCACTAAGCCTCAGCAACTTAGCAGCTCAGCCACTGATTTATGATCGTAAACAGGGCTTGCGTTGTGTAATTTGAATTTTGTCGTAGAGCGCATAGGTGGTACTGGGCGTGACAAGCGAAAAACAACATCTGCACATTCCTAAACTTACATTTTGACTAATTTTGCGCTTTTTGTTGAAATTTTACAGCGTCTGCACCAGAAGATGACGGCAACGATCACAAGGCGCGTGCGCGACTCGAGGCGAACTGTTTTGCTTCTGGCGCTCTGTCTAGCACAAATTTCGATCAGTGCAACACACGAACAGCAGCACCAGCTGAGCAGCATTACCGGTAAGCCGGCGGTGCTGCGAACTGAACTCCGCTTTGGGCGCAATCTCGATCCTGAGAAGGTTCGAGTGGTTAGCGTAAAATCCAGCAAAGGCGATAACGTGGAGATCATTGTGGGCAAGGACAGTCGCAAGGCACGTTCGGAGCAAGCTGGAGGCTCCTTCTTTGTGCGCAGTAGCGATGTAAGGCGTCCAACAACTTCGCAGCCCAGGTCGGCTGCGCAGGGCACGGGACGTCAGCTGACCTTCCAGCACAGCCCAGCTCTGCTGAAGCAGGTAGAGCTGGCGCAGCAATCCCAAGCATATCGGCAACGCAAGGCTGAAGCGGAGCAGCGACAGGCCAAGCTCATTCAGCTGCAACTGCAGAAGGCACGTAGCAAGGCGTTGGAGCAGCAGGCATTGGAAAGTGAAGCGACAGTCGACATATCTACAAACAATCGCCGTGGCCGTATGCTGAGTAGTGGCGGCAGCTGGCAGCAATCTTGGCAGCCACTCTACCCCCAGGCACAACTACAGGCTGGCACGGAACGTCGTAATAACTTCTCTTTTCCGCCGGAGACAGAACTGCAGAGGCGCCACTGGGAAACGCAGCCGCGACTGCATCGTCAAGCGGCGCAGTCGCAGTTCGTGCCACTCAGTCTACCCCTGGACATGCAATACGCCGCCTCCGAGCCGTTGGCGTACTATGAACGTGACACGCGTGCCTATAGCAGCAGCACTGGTAATGGAAATGGACAGCACCAGCGCCCTCAGAATTTAATCACCAAGCACAACTACAATGCACTGCCTCAAAAGTCCAAGTATGTCACCTACTTGCCTCATTCGGTGGTGGTAACGGCCAGTGCGGGTGTGGCCACGCCCACAGTCACGCGCAGCAAGCCAACTACAAGCCAAACCTTCAGTTACAATCCAAGTCCGAGCCAGAGTCATAGTCCGCTAAGAAATCCCATAGGGCACAGTACACACAGCGTCGTCGATGGACCCGCCGTAACTGTAATCGAGGGTGTCCGCGTGCCGGATACGGCGGAGGACAAAGTAAAGACCTGGCGCAACGCCAGAGTACTCAACAATCAACTGGTGCCATATCCCGAGGGTTACACGCCGCCCCGCGTGCAAATGCCAAGCTTTGACAGATAGGCTGTGGATGGATATTGGATGTTGTGCTAATGCTACGACTTGGGTGCTTACTGGTTAACTACAACTATGCGTATTCGCGGGGCTCCATCTGCTTGAAAGCCCTAACTTGTATTGTATGCTATTTATTGTATTTGTATTATTGTTACGTATTTAAGTTAATTTAAATGTTTGGAAGTTATGTTCGCTGCATAAACTTTGAAGGGACCAAGAACCCATTATGGTTAATTGCTGGCGAGGTGGGGCATGAACTGGTTGACCGTCAGCACTTTGATGTGTTTCTTCCGCAGATATCTTATATTGAGGCATATGCTGGCCTCCACCTCCAGATGCACGACATACACAGGCACCGTCAGCATGAATCCATTCTCAGAGAATTTGTGACGATAGCTTGACAGCAGTTCCAGATAAACAAAGATTGCCGGACGGCTCACCCGAATGGTGATGCTGAGGTGTGTTCGAACAGTGGTGCTGCCGGTGCTGCAGTAACGCGTTGAAATATCATACTGCAAGCATGGGGAGGTTATTAATGAGCGATTGCCAATAGACTACTAGATAGTATATCCACATAATTTACATACATCAAGCTCCGGATCGCCCACGCCCTTCGCAGCTGTAATGCTACTGGGGAAGTAGTAGGTGCGGGAAAGAAGCTCATTACTTCGATATAGTTGAAACTCCAAATACGAGTTGTACTTGTTCAGCTCATCGTGCAGTAAACTGTTCAGGGGAATCACCTTGTCGTACTGCACGCCATTGGGACGAAGGGTGACAGACCACTCTGTAGAGTTTCTAGGTAAAAGCTGCGACCACAAGTGCACATTGGCTACCACTTTTAGGTTTTCGGTGTCGACTTCTAATTGATCGCAAATAAGGGAGATGTTTAGCGACTCTGATTCGGCCTCATATAGAGCGACAATAGCAATGGGCGCCAGGAAATCTCGAGCCCAGTAGTGTAGCAACTATAAGTGTAAGAGATACGCGCGTTAGAAAGTTGGCAAAAATTGCACTATTCCTGCCAGAATGCCTCTCATTTTACTCTTGACAAGCACCATTGGAACTGAAAAGGCACGCACCTTCCAATTGCCGAAAATGTCTATGCCGGACCATGACGGCGCCACCCACACATCGTTTAATTGCCAGTAAAGTGCACCCATAGTTCTATGCTGTGTATCCCGCAGACTGCGATAGAGTTCTGTCTCTACTTTGGTGGCCATGGCCTGTGAAATTTGACTAAAATAAATGAGCGCCTCTGGATAAGGTTCGTCTTCAGGTAGTGGCAGTGGCAAATGGCGGTGCACTAATTGGGTGATGGGAAGCATGCCCATCGGATGATGCTGTCTATGTTCCATCAGCTCCAGCAAATCCTCGGATCCTTTTGTGCGTTGCCATGAAAATGCCTGCGGCAGGCTTTGGAAACCGTATTCGGAGACAAAACGGGCTCGTGGATAAACGTACGGATTCCAGGCATCCCTCATATAATCATAGAAATGAACTGTGGAGTTAAATTAAGAGTTTAAATGGTTCTAGTCTTGGGGCTGGCTCCAGCACGTACCATCACCGTAGTTGTTGTTCTGCGGATCATCCGAAATGAAATTGTCCTTTTCACTTTCTCGGCCGTTCGACGGTGAGGAGACTAGTGGTTGGGGTCGTGATTTGTGCGAAACCAACTTCAGTTCGTGTATAACATTAGCGAGATAGAGCTCGCGATACTCTGCTTTAAAGCGGTCCAGATCTGTGTATGTTTGATACCAATTCTGAACCAAAGCGGCCTCATTTTCGTTGTTGGTAACAAAAATGGCCACACTTGGATGATGCGACAGCCGTTTGGCATTTTGAATTACCTCTTCACGCACAGAGTCCAAAAATGTCTCGCCGACGGGATACATCGCGCAGGCGAACATCATGTCCTGCCAAATGAGCAGGCCCAGGCGATCGGCTTTATCATAAAAGAAATCCGTTTCATAGACACCGCCACCCCATACACGAATCATGTTCATGTTTGCGTCCTTAGCGGACTGCAGGAGATGACCAACTTAAAGAAACCATACAATAAAGAAGAACAAATTATCTAGGTGCTTGACCTATTGATATTAAACTAATTATCATAGCATGATATCTTATACCCACCTAACGACTGGTTCTGCCCCCACTCGGGAAGTATATGTGCAGGTATATAATTGCTTCCTTTCATGAAAATATCCACCCCATTGACTCGAAACAGAAAACTGTTTCCAGAATCTATCTGATCCTCAATCAGTTCAATTGTGCGGAAGCCTACGTTGAGCGATTTCTGGGACACTGTTTTGGCTCGCTGTTCTGGTCCGGCAATGTCCAACCAAGCGTTTAGCGTCAAATGTAGTGGATAGAGCTTCTGCTCGCCGTAACCATTTGGCCACCAGGCTGTGACACTCTTCTGCGCAAACAAGAAAGCACTTGACATAGAATCGTAACGAACCCACATTGCTACAATTGAAATTGGCGGGCGGTACTCACAATTGGCACAGCCTGATCGAAGACAATTACGGGTGCCAAGTGGCTAATTGGGTGCTTGGTAAACGTATCAATAACTACTGGCTTGTCCAGAAGCTCGCTGCAAAGAAATAGATTGTGAATTTACCGGAAGCTTTGATGTGTTGGTTGACTCACACCAAATAGAAGATGAGCTCGGCATAAAAATCCCGACCGCCGCCCGTGTCCAAGTAACAGGTAACATGCATGTTCCAATGCGTCTCGTTACGACTTACATCCACATCCACGTCTCGGATTAGTGCCACCTCGTACAGCTCCAGATTAACGCTCTTCCACAATCCCATTGATGGCGCCGCCAAGCCCCAGTCCCAGGAAAAGCTGGCCTGCATTTTACGCAGCATATTCATGTGGCATTCGCCATGGTAGCGAGAAACTGGACAGGCCGGCGGCACTTCCACCTTTCTGGCCTCTGCTAGAGCTGCCAACACGGGCGACTTTATCTCCACTTCTAGCAAATTGTCGGCCTGCAGGAGATCGCTGACGTCGTAGGAGTAGCGCACAAACATATTGTTCGTACGTCCCACAAGCTGATGATTCAGACGTATCTCGGCAACAGTGTCGATTCCATGAAAGGTCAAATTGAAGTGGCGCACGTACTTGTAATGTGCCAAATCAACTGAAACGAATGAGTTGAAGAAACAAATAGTACGAAAGAAGAAAGGTGAACACTTTATGGATATGTATCCGGTGGTTTTGTGAAGCATTACTGGACTCACGTTGGAAATTGTTACTGTAGGTCCAGTTGTCATAGGCCAGCCAGCGCAAACGGACATCATTGAAGGAATTAAGCACTTCCTCGTTATAGAAAGCACTGTAAACCCCCGATGGCAGCTTCACGTTATCCTTGGTCATGGCTACATATAAAGAAAAACGCAGAACAATTGGTGCGTTCAGCTTCTGCATTAATTCGTCTCAGCCTTAACCTGTTAGTCTGTTAGTATGACGATTAACATATCTATGTATGTTCTTATATCATCAAACACTTTACTTTACAAAAATAAGATAAATGGCGACTCGTACAAAAACTAAAATGTTGATCATTACTGGATCATATTCGAAGATTTCCAAATCAAGAATTTCAAGAATAAAGAGCTTGTTAGTTTTGCATACTAAGTATGTTATAATGCATAAACACTGTTTAAAACAATTAAGAAGTGCGATAAGACAAACCGTAAATTGGCATTTTCTTTGTGACTACTGATTACACAGTTAGATACTCCTGTTAATGTTATTCGAGGCTAATATAATAGTTATTTGCGGCCTATCTTGCCCATATCATAATTGACAGACTGTTAGAAAGCAATAAAGGCTAGTGTTGACATTGTAAACACGTTCTCAGTCCCACGCTCTTGAATTAGTCCTGAATACTCACAGCCATTCTGATTTGTTATCATCCAGCCGTTGGCCAGCTCAATGACTTCGACTCTGTCAGCCTTAGACAGATCGGTCCCAAATGCACATAGAAGTATAATAAGCAGGAGTCCAGATTTCGAAAGCGTCCTCATCTTACTACGCGACACAGACCTCATTTTCGCCCTAAAAGTCAATGGCCAAAGTGACAACTTCAGTTGCGATGAATTGTACGTACTCGTATATCTCTCATTAAAGTGTTTTTATAAATTATAGCACATTAGACCGTAGCCCACTCAACAAACGTTCTAAACAAACCGCCGTTGGGAACGCAACAAGCCGACGGCGGCAGAAGTGCAAAAGCGACTAACAAGCGGACTGGCTCGCATTCAGTTGGACAGCGTCGCACCGCAAACAGAGAAAGAGAGAGAGAGGGAAAAAGAGACGGAGAGAAAAAGTTATATTCATTATCAATGCCACATTCTTCTCTCATCCATCAGCTGTTCCGAAACCACAGACCGAAGAGACAAAGACGCCTCGCCGAAAGTTGGGCAATGTTTGTCGGTCTAAATATAAACTATTAAATTTATGTTTTTATGTGTACCTATGTAGATAGATACATACCTTAATTCCCATAGGTGGAATATGTACATACATATGTATGTACACACCTATTTCGAGATACAAATTATACGTTCAATTGAATAGAGAACTTCTTAATTGCAATGCAATGCAACGTTGTTCAATTCGCCGAGTGCTGCTGAGAACCACTGCGATTGATGGCCAGAGAGCGATCGAGCGACCGTTCCACAATGGGGCTTTGGGTTTTCTAGAGGCCGGCCCTACTGCTGGTGGTGTTGCCGTTAAATTGCCGGCAAAAACTGAAGTGCGTCGCACAGTGTGCTGATAGCAGGTTTATATCGCGGCAAATTTGTAGTATGGCGACATCTTAATACCCTCTTCTCAGTCTTGAAATTGTTTTTGGGCTTCACGTTTACAATGAAACATATTAGATCGGTCCATATAAAGATGTTCTTTTTAATATACATTCAACCAGAACAGACATATAGTTTATACGTATGTATGTCTTACTGCTTTTCTATGAAAATATCTTGTGTTTTTTTGTTAAATATTTACGTGAACATGCAAATCTATTTTTAAATCAAATACTGGTTCATGGTTGTAATCGCAATGTGTTTCTTTTGCAGATCCAGGCATTCCGATAGGCCTATAAACTCCAAGTGGACAACTGTCACCGGTTCAGTTAGGGTGAAGCCATTCTTGGAAAATTTGTGAGTGTGCTTAGCGATATCCGGATTTGTCACCTCCAGATAAACAAACAGAGCAGGATAACTGACTTTAATGCGCACACTGAAACTATTAGTATACGTGGACGCATCACATTCGGATGTGTATAAATCCATCTGCAGTAGGATAAGCACAATTAGAAGTGGTACAAACATTTTCAGACAGTCTCACTCACAATCAAAAGTGGATCTCGGATGCCCTCAATGTTTTTTATTGGGACGGGGTAGAAATATGTGCGTGCCACTATTATGTCATACTCATCAACTAATTCGATCATCAAAAAGGTTTCTGATTTGTTGTGCTCTTCAAATAGTGTGGACTCTAATGCTATGCTTAGCGGCAGAATGTCATTGGATTTCTGAAAGATAAAATGTTCAATATTCTGAAACTAAAACCTTAAATTTAAAATTGACTTCACCATCAAATTGCCTCGTGCTATCTTCTTTTTTGGAAACAGATCTGACCATAGATATGTGTAGACCCAGACAGTATATAGCTGCGATGTTTCTGGATTTTCATTGTATTCCTCAAGCGATATAGTTATATTAAGTAGATCGGACGGTTGATCGTAGAGGCCAATGACGGTGGTTGGCTTGAGGAACTCCTTAGCCCAGTAGTATACAAGCTTATAGTTGCCATAAAAGTCGATGAACGACCAGGTTGGCGCAACCCACACATCATTGAGCTGCCAAATGAGGGCACCCATGGTCTGCTTTTCTCCTCTTAAGCTGCGAAACAAGTCCATCGCCGTCTTAACGGCAATAGCCTGTGCCACCTGACTGAAGTAGATTAACTGATCGATGTTGTTATCCCAAGTTTCGGCCGAAAATGGCAGCTGATCTTGGATGAGGCGCAGCAGTGGCTGGAAACCATCTGGATGGTGCTGACGATGTTGAATAAGATCGGATAGGGTTCCATTAAAGCTATTGCCAAAAGTGCGCTCCCACGAGTGCCTCACGGGGAGGCTAGTATAGCCGTATTCACTAATGAAGCGGGCATGTGGGTAAATGTCTGGCCCAAATCCATTGCTGTTGTCGCTCCAGAAATGGACTGACGGGAACAAATAGTTAATGCTGGTTTTGCCTTTGCTACTACGGTATTATGGTATTACCCACCATCGCCACAACTTGGATCTTGGGGATCTATGGGGAGATCCTTGCTCGACAATTCAACTCCATTTGAGGGTGTAGACAGCATAGGACCAGGTCTGGGACTGTAGTCATTCCTTGAGATGATATCCAACTCAGGTTTCACGGTTCCCATAAACAATTGCTTGTACTCTTTCTCCAAGCGTTGTGCATCAGCCCCAAAGGCCGAACGATTCTTCACCAGAAACAACTCCACTTCATTGTTTGTCACAATCATTGCCAGGCTGGGATGATAGGCCAACCGCCTGGCATTCTGAGATGTCTCAATTCGAATGGGCTCCACAAATTCAGTGTACACTGGATAGGTTGCTGATGTAAAGGCCATGTCCTGCCATATAAGCAGACCCAAGCTATCAGCTAGTTCATAGAAATAGTCTGATTCGTAAAGGCCGCCGCCCCACACTCGTATCATATTCATGTGAGCACCTTTCGCGGATTCCAGCAGATGAGTTACTGTGAAAACCCAAATGCTTAGTTATATAATAAATTATTATTTCAAGTTACACACCCGCATCAGTATCGGCAGATAATTCCGGCAACGTGTGGGCCGGCACGTAGTTGATGCCTTTCATAAAAATGGACTGGCCATTCACACGAAAGTAAAATGAATGGCCATTTGCTGTGATCGGAATATAGAATATTAAGTATACGTTGCATAATTTTAATATAGTTCACGACTTACAGTCTTCATCTTCGACCAATTCAATGGTACGGAAACCAATTCGGAGCAGCTTTTGCGATTGAGTACGAGACATTAAGCCGGGCCCCTCTGCATCGCGATAAGTCTTCAGGATAAACATCACAGGATAGAGAACCTGGTCGCCGTAGCCGTTGGGCCACCATAGTTTGACGTTTTCCTGCGAATAAGAAAGTTACGTTTTGTAGTCTTCTAGTTTTAAAAAGGGTGTATTCACAGGTGTACGTACCACAGGTATCTTTACTTTAAACTCCATAATTGGTGAAGCGTAGCTCATTTTCTGCTGTTGAACGACAAACGGGCTATCATTATCTAGCAGTGGGCTACAATCATAAAAGAAAGTTAAACAACATAAGCACAAAATATAGTAACTATTTCCTTAAATTAGTTTCTGATGAGGTACTTAAATGGATCAATTTTAACGACCACCCACCTGGAATATACCTCAAGCTCTGCGTAAAAGTATTCCGGGGAACCTGTGCTAATAAAAGCGCGGCAGTCCATGATCCAATAAGATTCGGTACGCCGGATGGCCACATCGACATCGCGCAGAATGGCCACTTCGTAGTATTCAAGAGTGACTGGCTTCCAAATACCTAAGGAAGGCGCCGCTGGATTCCAAGTGCCCCCAAAGCTCATTTGCATTTTGCGCAACATGTTCTGGTCGCATTCGAACTTGTCGCTAGATTTTAGGCAATTTTGAGGCGCTGGTTCCCCCTTCTTTTCGAGCATATCAGCAAGTTGTGCCGCCTCCTTCAGCGGGGACAGTAGCTCAATCGTAAGTACGTTATTATTGGTACGCAACAGGTGACCCACATCGTACGAGTACCGCACGAACATATTGTCTGTGTGGCCGAGTAGCTCGTCATTTAGCCAGACTTTGGATATCGTGTCAATGCCGTGCAGCGTCAGATTTACAGTCCGGTCAGCGCCAACCTCATCGTCTGTAAGTAGAATGAAAAAAGAATTAGTATGTGTAGGTAAAAGCTATTCTTTTTGTGGCTACCATCAAAAGTCGTAGTGTAGATCCAGTTCTCCCTGGCAATCCATCGCAGATCCACATCATTCCTCCCTTCTAGCAAATCTCCGTAAGTGCCAGCAAGAGCCGTGTATACGCCAGAAGGTATGTTGGCAATAGCCACCTGTATCGCTGTGAAAGGGGAAATAATCACAGCAGTCAATCGCAGTGAATTCGATTTACAACCAATTAATTGGGACAGATACCGACACGTTGGTGACGATACAAGTATTGCCACTTTAATCTTATCACCTCTTAGGGGCACAACAAATTGGTGTGAAACGCGCAGAATTCGCTGGCGTCCATTAGCAAAAGTAATATGACTCAAGCGATGCTGTTTTTTCGATATGGAACTCTTTGTCTGAACTTACTCGAATTTTCATTCCTTAACTTCCATCCGTCTGTCAATTCGACAACCCGCACTCGCTTTGCCTGCGCAGTTATTTTAGTGTCGAGCCCGCCGAGAGCGAGAGCAATTATCAGAACACAGCAATAGCCACTTAGTTCTGACATATTGATTTTTTTTAATTGCACAATCGGGCAGAGAAGCGATTAACATCTCATGCTACTTAGTTTTCTTATTAAAATCTTATCAGTGCGTGTTGTAGTCGATATATTCTTGGCTTCCACAAATGTTCAGCCACAACCTCACGCGCTAAAACTTGATCAATAACTGCGCGTTGTGAGTAGCGAGCTGTGCCGCCCTCACCTGATAAACTTATCAATCAGCCGGAGCGAGTGGTGAATTGTGGGTTTGTGGTTAACTGTGCTCTCGCACAGCTTATAACGAAAGCGCAGAGCAGCTTTGGCCAGCAGTCCCACCTCGCCATCACCCTCCTTGCAACATCCAGCTGCCACTGCCACCACTCAAATGCTGAATCCTTGTGGACTCCTAACGAAGCTACCATTTTAACAGTACTTTCACAATCAATGCACCTTTTAGTTCGACGCGTTCGTGGATTTGTTGAGGAATTTCAAAGCCAGGAACAGAGCTTATTGATGCGATCGCTCGTTTTTCCAAAAAGTTGGACAAAGAGGTCGTCGTTTACTTTCAATATACATTTTAATTCAATCACATTCTATAAATATAACATTAATTTATCATTTTATAGTATATGGTGGTGGGGCTAATATTTGTGTGCAGTCCTGCCAAGCTATAATATTGATAAAGTGTAATGTTTGGTAAGTTTGCCTATTAAGTGTCCTATCCTTATTACCGACTGATTGTTTATTTAACACATTCCTGTCGTTTGCCTTTCTTTACAATATATGTACATGCTCGTAGAATGCCAAAATACGAGCAGGTATGTATATTAAAAATATTAACAAATTTGTGGTCAAATTGCATTGCGCTTTCGATTCAATTTAGGGAACCATAACTTAGCAAGTATATACAAGTCATGTCTCCGGTCTGGGGTGTTTTCTGTTACAATCAATTAAGTAGCTAAATATTATTACAAGTTCTAAACGCTTCATTGATTTGTTGTTAGTCCCATATTCTCTTAAATAATTCGCATACCTAAATAAAACTAAATGCACTCACACACAGATCCACACACTCAAACGCACAAGTATTCACACAGGTAGCCTCTACAGGTGCCCCCAGGCACACACAACGAAGACAGGTACCATAGCTAGAAATCTAAGCAGGCCCTGGGTATCGGGGGCGCCCCCTAGGGCTGCGCGATACTCGTCCTCGGGCAGGTACTCGCGAATGTGCCGCGTCTTATTCATCATCCAGTAGAAGGCCTTCATGTTGCCCAATCGCTTCAGTTCGTCGCCAATCTGGTTGCGTATCTTGGCATTGTACTCGTTGAGCAGCCGCTTTTCGGCTGCGCTTAGCATTGTACTGTCGATCAACTTTGGCTCGTACGGCACCAGAGTTACGTCTTGGAATGCTAGGAAGCGTGCGCCGCTCGGATGCGTGTGGCCAGTGTTGACCACCTCGAGGACATTTTTAAGGCGTACGCCAAAATCGTCGCGTTTGTAGTAGCCCGACTCTGCAGAGTAATGGAGACACATATGTTATATAATAACTTAGCTTCTGATTTTTCACTTACCGCTGGAGAAGAAGTAACCCTCCTTGAAGTGAAAGGTACTGTTCTTGCCATATGCAACTGATATGGGCGCTAAAAGCAAAAACAAATAATGACGTGGTGTCTCCGCCTGAAAGAGGAAAACTACTCACGTTCTTCGACGGCACCGTACGATCCAATACCATGCCCCGTAGCCTGGGGAAAGTCTGTCATGTGCTTCCACACCATACTGCGTACCAGCGCATCCACCTCGGAGGGTTTGATATCGGCGGGAAATTTCAGCTCGGCCAAGTGCAGAATGCCAGCCAATACACTGGTATAGGCCTTCTTCATGTCCTGTGTAGGCTGGCCAAAGATGAAGGTGCGAGAAACGTCTGTGGTGCCCTCCAGATATTGGCAGCCGGATTCAATAACTAATAGGCTTTGGTCTGACACCTCAATGTTGGTCACATTGCTGCTAATGTAGTAGGGTAGGGCCGAGTGCTCGCCGTAGGCTACGACTGTCCGAAGCGATAGGCCCTTTGCATGGTTCTGCGACAGGCGCCACAACTCCACCTCATATTTGATTTTCTCTTCTGTCCATTGCTCAGTGGAGAACCGAGTCTCGAGGTTGCTCATGGCCTCGCATATAGCGGCGCCGTCTCTAACATGAGCCATTCGCATGCCCTCCTGCTCCACGGAGTTCTTTTGGGCCCGCATGAAGATAATCGGCGATATGTGTTCCACGACAATTTTCTCCGGCATCGAGGAGTAGATGGCCTCCGAAGCGCCCAGGTCTTGAACGCAGGGCGCAGATACCAGTACGCGCTTCCATATCTGCGCATAGGTACGAATGTCGTTCCAGACTTGATAGTACTCCTTGATCCTTTAATGAAACGGCCGTTACATACGAATATACATTCATTTTTGCGAATCCACTTACTTTACGCATTTGTCATTAAAGCAGTCCGTGCGCAAGTGCAGGTCAATCCCCAGACTAATCTTTGTGTGGTCCACATAGAAAAATATGTCATCCTGACTAACAATAACATAGGACTGCGGGAGAGAAAGTTACTAACTTTACAATATAGTCAATTAATATTAGCATGTGTTCTAACTTGCTTCAACACACTTCCTTAAACTAACTAAACGACTTTTTATATTCCACCTAAGGAAGCAGCTATCTATCACGGCAACTCAAACTCCATCACCGCAGTAAGCCATGATTGAACAACTCATACATTTACCTTTACATTCAGTTTATCCTTAATTTTAGACTTTTTAAAATTTGAAAACTTCCGTTGCCTGGTTTAGTTAATATATATTATAGTCCAATTTATTATCACTCACTTTGACCACCGGTGTGAACGGTATGTCGTTGCCACGAATGTTCAGCAAATACGCTATTTCTGTTAGGGATGTCACAACCATGGCATCGCAGCCTAGTTGGGCCAATCGCCGTCGCAGCTCGGTGACCTTGTCCTCCCACTTTTCACCCGCATAGTCCCTTGATTGCACTTGCATCACATGATCTTTTGGCGGCGGTGGTCGTTCGGAGCCCCAAATCATGTCGACAAGATTATTGTTGATCTTGACCAGCTTAAGAATCTTATCCTCAAGCTCGCGTTCCCATCTTAGCCACAAATGATGTGGCACTAGATGCGGATCGGCCCCTACGCGTTTATCAAAATGCAATTGACTGCCGAGCCAGTCGGCTATGGTGACGTTGCCATTGGCCAGGAATATCTCCCAATCGCAGTCCAATTCCCCGTCCGCTTGCTGAGCGTATCGATTCTCCACCCACAGGGCAGCGCCTCGATTCGTTATAGCCGCAACGGACCGCACTCCCGTGAAGCCGCTAAGGTAGAGCAGGCGCTGGTCACGCGTGGCCACCTCCTGATTGAGATGCTCATCCGTAGAGGGTAGAATGTAGCCGTAGATTTCGGGACCTTGAAGTGTGGCACGTATTTGCATTTGTTCACGCAGGGCCAGCAATCTACTGCGATAACTGCTCATCGGCTTCACCTGTAAATTGAGGAAAGTTTGATTTGCGGAGTCTCTACCCGATCAGACCAACAATATTACGCACCAATTTCCCAATGCGATATTTGCAAATCTCGCGCGGATAGCCTGTGGGCGCCTCCGCAGCCACGCATAAAGCTGAAACAGAGGGGGAAGTGGAAGATAGCATTATATAATATATAGTGTAGCAGATGAAAACATTTTAATGCGTTCAAAATCTTATCTACATATCTGACAACAACATTTCATTTGCACCCGCTTTTCGCATGAGAAGTCAATGCAGGATAGCTATTTACTACTTATATACTATAAAAAACATATGAAAACGTCATAAAAAATAATTTGATAAATAAAATTTAAATTGTTGCCATTAGTTTTGAATATTTTGCATTTTAAATATGACAACGACCATTAAAAATAGCAACAAGTGCGTCACGGTAGCGTAAACGAGTTTCCCACGCTCATAAAATGGCCGCACGACTCGGCCTGTGCCGATTTTCTCGATGTGGCCGTGTATTTTTAGCGCCTGCCACAGACCGACTACAACTTAAATGTCGGAGCAACCAAGTGTCGTGTTTGTGACAGCGTGAAATTTCAGTTGAAATTTGCTTTCGTTCAACATTTTCAACACTTTTCGACCACCTGCTTCGAATTAGAATCAAGGGACATATGCGTAGTGAGTTCTTCAAAGTTGAAAGCTCCGCTGAACGGACATCCTGTCACGGTGATTGAGAACTGGCTGCTGGCCATGGCCGGCAAACACTTGGTTGGCTGTGAGCACTGATTTGTCAATGTGCGTAAAATTTCCATATAATTGTTTGATTTATAGTCACGACCCATAGACGAATTCCAATTTATTTTGCTTGCTCATAAGCATGCGAAATTCTTTGAGAAATGACGAGTACGAGTATTTGCTGGCTAAGGGGCAGGCAGCATACTCATCCCATCCGTTCTATTTTATATGATTTAGAAGAAATTTACGGCCAAAACACAAAAATAATAATGGCTACATCCTCCGGCCAGTTGCCTCCGCTGAGTTTGTATGCATAAAAATAAATATTATGCCATCACTTTGCCAATTTGGTTGGCGTGGCTAAAACACAAGCATAATTTAAATAAACAGAATGTTTGGAGAGAACAGACGAAGAAGTAAGCATCGCGATTTGTTACATTTTGAAATGCTCGTAGGATACCCCACGTCCCTTTGACCCGCACTGAAAAATGTAAATGGCCTAAAAGGCAATAACATGGTCTGCATTCCCGTTCTGTACTTGTACTTACCTATCTGAGCGAGCAGCGCCAATCGCCAAATCCATTTGGCTGTCGTCATTGTTTTCTGCACTTAAAATTCTTGAATAGCGCACAAGACATAAAACTTTCGAATTGTTGTTTCTGCGGCTCTCCTTGGTCTTGGGGTAAACAAATAGAATGTTTGCTATTAATGGGCGGCCGTTATATTCTAACTAATGTTAGTGTTGCCTTGTCGGGTTTGTTGGTCTCTAATGGCGCACAGCCTTTATGAATTCTCAATTCTGAATTCTGCACTCTTCCGGCTTCCAGCGCATTTCTCATGTTAGTTTAAAATTGCACAGATGTTGACCAATCCATCCATTGCAATTTGAGGGACGTGGCTGTTGGTCGCACTTTCTACTAATTGTAATGCCACACAGCAGTCGTCCAATACATCTCACATTGGCAACACACACATATATATACACACACACACACACACATACGCACACATAAATAACTATGATATCAACCCATTTAGGAGTTTATTACATCCGTTCTCTAACAGTTTGGTTCGCTGCCTTTTGTATGAGCTGAATTTTTTCCGCTGTACGAGTATTCTGTATTTTCGCTTTACAAAATATTTAATTGCTGCTTTAATTAATCATGCGTAAAGGCAGAAAATAATAAAAGAAACATGCTGGTCATGCTGGAAATTGGTCTTGATCTATGGTATGTACGAGTAAGTCTATATTCGATCGTGGGTGGGGAGCTATGCGTTGTTTTTATGATTTGCGCAACATATGACCTAAAATGGTTGTGTAACTTTTATATGCTAATTGTGTTTCAATTCAATTTCAATTTTTGGGCCGTGTGTACCTTCACATTTATGTGCGCGAGCTGCCCTTATAAGCACCTCAAAGATAATCTGCCGCCCACCTACCATAACCAATAGCTGATTGATTTTGCGGATGATGGAAAGGAATTAGTTTTATGACTACTGCGTGCTTGACATATATTTATTCTTAATAGTAGTTGTACATACAGATCGCCTTGATCACCACCTAAAGGCCTTTAAACACTTTCAGATAATTAAAATATCTCTTACTTTTGCCAGCGCAAATTAATTATGCCATTAAAATAAACTTGAACTAAATCGAAGCATGGGCGTCGTTACAATTTACTCGTATGTATGTATACTTGTACATATTATTGTTGCCATCAGAAATGGCAAATCGCACGCCCCGCTTCAAAATCCAAAACTATCTATCTGCCCACAAAGCTGGCCAACAATTGCTCAATTGCATTGAGCGCTAAACTGAAATACGCGCACAATGGCTATTGAAAGCCTAGCAATGAGAAAATTGCTATTAAAAATAAATAAAATACAAATTCAAATAGTTGTGGGCGCACGCTTGACATCTCATGTTAGTGAAAGCCAGTTCCGGAGCGCGCAATTAAGTGCTTGACTTTGGCCACATTACAAAATTGGCCTTAAAGAGACTGCAAATGCAACAACAAAATATATTTACAGTGAATACTCATATGCACAATTCGAATGTAAATACAAGTATGGTGGACAAAATTAACTCTTTAATTTTACAAATCTCATTGATTGCAAACGATAGCAAATTTTCTGCTGTTGTTGCGTTTTCAAACGAAGCTAAAGTTCAATCCAATCCACAAGAGGCTAAACTATTCACATATGCGGTGTGTCTATTAAAAAAACAACGCCCATAAAATGTTGCAAGGGCAGCACACCTATTAATTGCTCATCCACGAAATTCTACAAACTCTATCGAAAATGGAAGGAGGGGAAATAGTTAATCACATAACTATTTTATTATTTGTTCCCTTTAATTTGAATCTGGATCAATCTGCACTGCGGGAATTACCACCGTACTATAAGTTTCTGCATGAACATATGTACATAAGTACTATATGTGTGAGAATTTCAAGTGCATGCTAAACAGTTGCCAAGAAAATAACAAATCGCTGTGATAAATAATTATGACCATAATGCCAGTTTCAGTTGCCAAATGCATTGCTACTTCTCATACGTTAACTCCCTCCGCCTACTTCGGTCCATCATTGGAGAACCCCATGCTGGTCGATGGTTGGCCGACCACAGCGGGAGAGAGGGGGGTGCACATTAGAAAATGAAAGAGCCCAACACCTGCGCAGCAAGTTGTACAATTAAAGCAACCCGAACCCAAATTGTGGACTGCATTGTTTATGCGCACGCATCTAATTGTTGGTAGAAGGGGCATGCCTTTGGCACCGATACGATTTAGTGTGCGCGCTGGGTTTGTTTATTTCCACTGCATTTCACTGCCGCGGTCAACAGTGCGCTAAGACGACCTGCCAGTGACTCACTAGTGGCTAGAACTCTGCCAAAAACAAGACAAATTTCTTTATTTAGTTATCTATGTATGTACATATCTATACATATGTACATATGTATGTATGGATGGTACATTCATGTTGTTTATTCGCTTCGCTTTTCTTTTCGTTTTGATTTGCCCGAAATGCGCACCTTGAAATAAGAAAATTTCATGCATGAGCGCCAATATTTTGAAATCCTTCAAAGTTGCCATATAAATGGGTTTAGAAGAACGCACAAACATGCAACTGCCAGGGTGGATGGTCGCTTGAATCGAATTTAGAATTTATTGCACATTACGTATACGACGCGTATGCTGCTGATAGCATATGCTTGCACAGTTATTTTTAAATTGCAGCAACATTTACAATATTCTACCTTTTGTGGCTTTTAAACATACGAGTACACTTACACTCACACACACACACACACACATACACGTGCAATTGCAGACAAGCGTTGGCTTTTAAATTCTTTCTGGATCTGATCTCCAACGAGCGAACCGCACGCGTGCGAAGCAACAAGCAAACTGAAAAACTTTCTGATGTTGCTATTTTGTTTTTCAAAAAGTTAAAGATGAACAAATACAGACACACACGCAAACATTCATTCACTCACAAACACACACACGCGGACGCAGTCTATTTCATTTGAAAAAGAATTTATTTTCAGCAGTGGGTGCCCCATCATTGCCACTGTGCGAGCGAGCGGACCGTGGTGCGCGTGAGCGCGAGCTTTGACTAACTGTGAAGGCGGTTGGTTATGAAGACACGACACTGGTCTGCGAGCGTTTGGCTGCCATTGCTGCCGGGAAATGGGTTAAGAGGAAAATGAGAAAACTCTTGGCAGCGTGCAATGCAAAATTCAGTGCATGTGTGCGAGTCGCGTGCATTGCAGCACAGTGGTTGCAAAGCTGCCCTTTTGTTTTCGAGCAATCTTTGAAACCTAATCTTTCTATTATTGCACATTTGCAGCTTTTTATGGCTTTCATTAAGCGCGTTTCTGGCGGGTTTTATTTCAACACACACACCCACAAACTAACCACAATGTTGACATGACCAGCATATGAATGTAAATAAGTTTGTGTGTCTGTATGTATGTACATATGTATGTATATTCATGCATATATTTTGTGGGCTTCCGCAATGCTTGCAATGTCGCCGGCAGTTTTGCCGTCGAATTTTGGATCGAAAATTGAGTTTGAAGATGATGTTGTCAATTGAGTTTTTATTGCTTTTAAATTGAGGCATTTTATTGGCAGCAAAGAAATCTATTTTTAATACCCTGTACCGAAGGGTTAAATGGGCATAATGAATGGGCATCTTCTTATGTAACAAACAATAGAATATAAAGTATGAATATACGCAAGGATACCGGGAAGTATGAACACATTGCGAGTTTGTATTTCTAACAATCGAGTATTTCTAACCATGAGTTGTACGTTCCACTTTTTGCTTGGCAATTGGGCTCGAAACTTGCGACTGTTCATTCGTGCGGGCAATAACCACTGTGCGGGCTGTTACATAAGCATAATTTATAAAAAAGCATCTCTTGGCGTCCAGATTATCGCATAAACAAATCTCCAAGATGCGAATGGTGCTGCATAGAGTCTTGATCTCTAAATGATTTTGTTTATTTCATTCAGTGCCTTTTGCTCATAAACACTCATTAATATAGCAACAGCAAGAACAACAACCCAATTCAAAAAGCATTCAACGCGCTCGCACAGCGGCAGTCGCCATCTAATTATGGCGCGCGCCTAATGTCTTGGGTGGAAATATCAATGTGTAGGAACTTATCTATTTAGCAGCGAGCTTAAAGCAACATGAAAACTCTCCCTCCATACAAGTATTGCTCTCACACACACTCTAGTTGTCGTCCTCTCCGTCGTTGGACTAATTAAAAAATGAGCGACGCATTGTCGCCAACGTCTTTGAAGCGCCGACACTTAAAAGCTTTGATCAATACGCCTTACATGCAATTAGTTGTACTAATGCCACAAATTGCTGAACAACCTACTTACTTCCCCGACTACAAGTATGCTGTAAATCATTTCTGGTGACCTTTGTATGCCTAATCTGGGAGAGCGTCGGCTTAATTTATGGATGTGGCACTCTTAGAACTCTTTAATCAAAAAAGTGAACTGCAATTCGAATAAAGTACAAACATGTGTGCAGAGCAGACTTAAAGTATTTGTATACATTTTATACACTACAACTTTGAAACCAGAAAACAATTATTTGAAATCTTTATAGCATGTATCTACACACATATGTACATATGTATGTATGTAGTACATACAGAGCATCAGAATATGATTTTTTGAATATTTTGGGCTGCTACATCTAAAACTATAGTTCTATTATTTTCAGCTTCTAAATTCTATTGTAATATTGTTAAAAGTGTAAATCTAATATTTACTAAACTAATAAGAAAGCAAAACTCTGATATGAATTTCATTTTTTGTAAGACAACGAGTGATCTGCTTTTTCACACCGAACCATTCACAACGCAGCTGGTTCGTTGTGAATGGCAGTTTTGTATTCAAATCGAGTGCGCAAGGCACTGAGCAGGCACGCGTGCTCGTTCGATTAAACGAACACTGTTTGTTCTGAGAAAGTTACTTGGGACGTTTAAAAACTGAAAATATTTATTCTGATTTCTGATCAGATACCTTATAGACTTATATCTACGATACATTTCTAAAAATAAACATTTTTCGAATATATTTAAACGTATAACTTATGCTGTTATTTTGAAACAATATGGCAAATGTTATCTTTGCTCTTCAGCAAATTTTGTCAGTCAACAATTTAGAAACTCAAATATTTAACAACCATGTAGAGGAGCTACATCATGCTCGATTCGTGTGTGCAGGTCTTTTAAGATGCTTCATTTGAATAGCTCACTTATAAATGTATATTTACAATGCCACTGCACTTGAATCGTTTAGAGGCATTCTTCAGTCTCTTCGGTACCCATCGAAACGCTAACCACTGGTGTAGGGAGCTCCACGTCGAGTAGTTTCATCTGAGCATCTTCTTCATCTAGATTGTCCTTGCCCAGTCGCTGTTCCTGCATCTCGATATCCAGAGTGCCATGTTGGCGTTGGAAAGAGACCACGAAAATAACCAGGGATATAACAATAAAGAGCACGGCTATACCAGAACACACTGCTATGATCAGTGTCGAACGATTGTTGGCCGCCAAAGAGAGATGCGCTGTGCGCTCATCGGCCAGATTATCGTTAAATGTTTGCTCCGCATCGTGTGGTGGGTAGGAGACAAGAGGCGTAGCTGTGCTGTCTTCGGACCTGGCCTTTGGATCATCGATTTTCAATTGGGAGTCGTTTGGTGCTTCTACTTCAGGAAGTTCTGTGGTCACATCCTCGAGTGTATCTTCTTTAACCTGTTCGATATCCTCAGGACTATAAGCAGTTTCTTGGGTGCCCTCTGTTGTCGATATAGTTGCCGTTGTTGTCGATGCACTCGTTGGCTCAGACACAACTGCGATTTCACTATCGGATTCTTGAACGTGATCATTACTTTGAGATCCTTCTGTCTTCACCTTAGGCACTATATGGGCTTCGGTCGATAGAAGAAAATCTTCTGGATCTACTGGTGTCACATCTGTTGAGCTCAACTGCGGGTCAGCAAATGCAATAGCTTCTTCCTTATCCAAAAGCACTGTGTGATCCACTTGCACGGCTTTCTTTCCTTCTTCTTGCTCACCGGATGCGTCTTCAATAATCGTTACATTGTCCTCAACTGCTAGGGGCTGTTTGTTTTGGAGGATCTGCAACGTACTTTTTGAATCTACATTTGACTCTTCGTCTTTTTCCATGCCGTCAAAAACATTTTCGTAAATTTCATTTAAATTATTCAGATGCTCCGGTTCATCAGTTAACCTCGGCAGCTTATGCATTTCACGTACTACTGTCTCTTCATTTTCAGCCACTTTAGCCATTTCCGTTGGAATATCTAGCTCTGGCACCTCGATGGGCAGCAAATCTTCTACGCCTTGCTTTTTAGTCACTTGGTGTTTGGTTACTTCAAAGACGGGCGTTGGCGTTGTCGGTCTCGATTTTAAGATCTCAATTTCTGGTTCCAAGGCCAGCAAATTCGTTTTAGTTATTGGTTGCTCAGTTATGGCCCGGCTCTCGTCAAGTATGACAGAGACTAGGTCGCTGGTTTCCCCACTTGGTAGCGGTCTGCTTCGGCTTTCAGACTCTGGTTCACTAGCTTCGCCAATACAATCGGTGACTGGTTCGTCATCTGTCTTCTGGTTTCCTTCGGACTCGACGCTCTGAACTGGTTCCAGTCCATCGGTTGCAGCTATGGCGGCCACCTGCGACTGTTCCAGCTTTGGTTTGTCTTCGGGCTTTTGCTCAGCTTCTAGCGTTTTAGGCTCGCGTGCATTTAAAACTGGACAAAGCAAAAGTTTAGTTTAAGTTTGACATGACCATTTCCCAACCATATACATTACCTGGATTTGCCTGAATCTCTGCAGTCGTCTCGTTTCGTGCTGATGCATCTTCATTATTTTCTAGTGGCTTCACCTCCTGTGCTATTTCATCATGGAGAGTCTCCACTATTGGCGCGGACGCAGCTTCTATATCAGATTCAACTTCGTTTTTGACCTCATTGCGTATTCCCTCCTCCAGACCAACGCCCAGCGATTCGAAGCTGGTGCCCACGAATTCGTCCACTGCATCGGTCTCAACCACCTCTGCCGTTGTTTCCACCATGGCCGTTTTATTCAAAACCACCTCAACAGTTGGCATCATTGCAGTGGTGGGTGCACTCGCTAACGGCTGTGGTGAAATCGTTGTGCTGCCACCATCCATCAGCTCAGCCACCATGGTTGTAGTCTCCACTGTAATGGTGCATGCGTTACATATTAAGTGGAAAGTGTGAGTGATTGAGTGAGTGTGGCGGCAGAGGAAATTCATTAGGCACATTCGTATTCAAATATCGCTATCATCGTCGTCATCAACACGTAGTTTCTCACATTCATTCATTCAAAAAAAAGAGGTGCAACGTCACAAGCCACAAACCAAAATTCTTGGACAGCACCGCCTGTGTCCCCATAACTCAAAAAGCGTCCAAGCGGTCGATGCAGTAGATAGTGATTAAAATTCCACACGCGCCCCACAACAACAAATCGTGGAATCCCAAATTAGTAGCACAATAAACAACAAACACGCCAAGCCCGCCGTCTGTTTGCCTGCCCTCTTGACAAAGTAGCTTCCTTATTTATGGGCCCATCGCTGATATTCTACATCAACGACAGAGCCATTTACTTGCTATGCACTTCTCCATACACAATCCCACACACACACTCACACACACACACACACCTACAAACACCCATACGCACACAACGCCTGCAGCTGCATTTGTAGAAGACGAAATTATTAGATGGCCTGCTCGAGATATGCATGGGCTGTCTGTCTTTTTGTCTACGATTCTAATACCCTTGGGAACAACGCAGGGCACCAGAAATAACAAAAGCAGAAACAACTGTGTCCGAGAGTCTTAAGTCTCTGAACGGAACAAGACATGCCGCAAACAAAAACAAAGACAAGCTAAATGATATGAAATTTAAAGAAAATAAAAGAAATCGATTTTTATTCTTCTTGTTGCACCGACCGCCGCTGCCCTTTCTGTTGTTGTTGTTGTTATTGTTACCTAAATCGGAGCAGCAGCGTAGGGTAGTCGGAATGTCGTTCTCCTTCCACCCGACAATCGTGTGTGTTTCAAAGCCGTTGGACAATTATCGTGCCGAACACATTTTGGGAGGGACGCTCATCTTTTATGGCATGTTTTTAGTGAGAAAAATTATACAATAAACTATAAATGGATAAGTGGCTCTGTGTATTCGTGCATGGTTGACAAGGGAGTGTTGGTGCCTGAATCGCCCACAAGGAAGTCCCATATCATTGAATCGCTACTCTTTTAACTCTTATAGCAAAGCCATATTGAACTTTGGCACGCAATTGCAACTTAAATTGCAACTGAAAACATCAATCTATAGATGAACACATGGAGGGGGACATAAAGGGGGCCTACAGAAACTATGCAGTATTGAGTATGACACCCAGGCAGCCATTTTCGGTCTCATTTGTGGTTTTGCAGTCTGGCTGTTTGTCTGTGTGACTGTCTCTCTGTCTGTGAGACGCCTTTTCCGCGCCTCTTTTGAATTATGCCAACAAAAACCGAGGAAAATGAAGAAAAAATAAGTCAAAGGCCTGACATGACCGCAACAGCAGCTACATCAGCAACCCAACTACAACAGCAAGTTACTGCTGATTACGCCGATGATGACGATGAAAATGAAGATGCATTCGATGTTGGTGTTGGTGTCTAACTTACAAGGCAGTCCCAAACACGACGATGACGTCGCCAGCACCATCAGCAGCAACAGAAACAACAACGACGTAGGCGACGCATGCGCCGGCAAAGTTCGCAGTTGCTTTTTGCTGCAACCAGCATAGAGGTAACTGTTGTCTTTTTTGTTGATTTTGCCGCATCTGCTCGGCAGCAGGTCCACATCCACAGACATGTCCAGATCCAGCTCGAGCCCAACTCCAGGCATAAAAAATTGATTGATAAGGTTTTTGCTCCTAATTCTCAGCATCGTTATTGTGCTTGTTTATACAGTTGAGTTTGCCTGCGCTTGATTGACAGGCCTAAAAACTGGCCTTCACTTGTGTTGGTACTTGTATATGCTCTTGGCCAACACACACGACACACATTGACGTTAAGATGCACCAGGTTTTTGTTCTTGAAATTTCCAGCTGCTGTTCTTCTTTTTCTTTCCGTCTTCCACTGCGATTCCAGCAACCGGTACGCACTTACGAATCGAATCGAATCGAAAACGAACCGAACGCGTTGGCCACTCGTAAAGAACTAAAGTTGAGAACGCGTGCGCTCTGGAATTTTGTTGTCGCCTCGATGTGGCAGGCACTGCATATGCACACACACATTCACACACACACATGTATCTGTATACATGCATTGATGACTATGGCGGCCTTTGCCTGCCTTGCCTTGTAGTGCATGTCCCAAGGGAATGTGTGTGTGTGTGTATGTGTGTGCTTGTATCTAGTTCTGTTGCCGCCTTACAAATCCATCATGCGGCAGCTCAACCATCTCTGCCCTGCCCTGCCCTGCTTGCTTGCCTGCCTGGCAGCATTTATTTGCTTTCAGATAATAATAGGGCATGGCAGGCATTCTGTCGGGCTTCTGTTGCTTCCGATTCTGATACTGAGTGGGGAGCTGGGAGCTTGGGCTGCTAGTGTGCGAGTGTGTGAGTGTCTATGCGTGTATTTGTACGGAGCGTAACGCCAGTGGCGATATTTGTTGAGCATATGCAAAAACACTTACCGTGCAACTGGCCCACCTTTCGTTTCCTGCCACTACTTGGACAAACATTTGAATTGCCTCTGGTCCACTCTTTCCACGACGAACTCAAATACTCATGCTTCATTCAGCATCGTCGTCGACATCTTCGCCTTCGTCTGTAGGCAGCCAATTTGGCTGAAGAACACTTCTCTCTGAACTCTTGCTGCCACGCATTGTTTATCCTCACAATGAAGAATCTCAATACAAAAGACTATGCACGGCAGCTACAGGAATGACGAAAGCAACGATGTCGGTCTGGCCGGGTCAATTTTATATATCAACTGCAAATGACAAAATACATTAGACCCATCAAATTAAAAAATTCTGTTCTATACTAATTATACTTGAAGGAACAAAATTATAACGTGCATCTTGATTTTATTCAATTTAAAAAAAACTCGCGTGACCTATTCAATATTTACTAAACGTATTCTTCTTATTCATTGAATTGTTTGACAAGCTGATGCATAGCTTTAGGATTTCCTTTTCAAACATCATTTTCATGCATGATGCATCCCAAAATCAGTGTAAAATTGTACTTACAATATAGGTAATAGTATAAGCTAACAGTATTTAATGCTAAGTATGTAGACAATAATCGAATATTGACGCATATTCTAGTTGTAACAAAATAGTGCATCATTTCCGTTTTTATTTACATATCAAGTGTCTAGAAAGACAAAAAAAAAGAAGACTATTCTATAGTCTTAATACGAGTATTAGAACGCAATGTTCAATGTGCTGTCAATGAGTAAAGAGCGAGGCTAGCCGAGCCGAAGTAAGAACAGCAATGACTGGTTAACTACATCAGCAACTTCACACTGTTCGGCTATGTAGTGTATGGGACCGGTCCACGGGGTTCTTTCAAAGATCAGCTGCTGCTGCGAAGTGACTGACTGGTTGGCGGCTTGACTGGTTGACTGCTGGACGGAATGGCCAAATAAGACTCCTCAACAATGACGGCGGTGGCGACGACGACAGCTTGCTGTGGCCTGTTGATTTACATACACATTTTGTTGTTGCTGCTGTGCTGTTGATGTTGTTGTTGTGTTTGTGCATACTTAGTTTTCCATGTAACATTTTCCACTACGTGATGTAGTCATTTCAATAGGCAGCAACGCAGCGGCGGTCGCTGTTTATCTTTTATTGATTATGCCAAGCAAACTGGACACCGCAGGTACATGCCATGAAGCCACCGAGCACCACACAACCACACAGCTTGGCCACCGCCACCGCTACTGCCAACGCCATCGAAACGTGCCATGGAAATTTGACTAATGTGAGCGCGCCTTGAAATTCAATTTAGTCGTTAAATATTTAGATTTTGTTGCTGTGGCTGCTTTTGTGTGCGGCCTGATGCAGGAAGGAATCAATTGGTTCCCCTTTGAGTAACATCGCTTAGTCATGTCGACGAAGACGAAGACGACGACGACGACGACTTCCTCCTCGGGCTATTCGGGGTTCCTTTTGTTATGACAATGGCGCGTTTTTGCCTATGCGGCTTATACTATTTGTTTTCATCTCTGCTTTTCCTTTTTCCTTCTGACTAGTGAGTTGCCGTCGCTTACAACATTTTACGATCGTCAGAGGCAGTTGAAGTGCCATAAAGTTACGGCGGCTCGTGAGTCAGACCATGTAGCCTGCAATACATCAACTCGTGGCTAGGAGACGCAGACGCCGCTAATCAAATGCAATTATAGCCTCGTTCAACTGCAATGTGAGACGCTCGTTATCAGTAATCTGGCCGGCCAGGTAGCCAGGCGGTTAGACAACGCTATGCTAAGGTCGTTTCGGCTGCAATACCTGTTGTTGCTGTTGATTCCGGATCCGTTATAAACACATTAAGAAACAATTAGCTGGCAGATTAGCACAGCCCGTACTCTGCAGATTTTTCTGCCCATGCACAATTCAGCTGGGGACAAACTGTTGGCTGTTTTCCCAGCATTGACTGACTGGCTAACTGACTGACTGACTGAAAGAGTTACTGACTGCATCAGTCACTTTCATTTTATGGCGGCGCTGATAAACTTTGTTTGATTGCGTTGCTCTTTGACTTGCCCTCTCCTGCCTTCATGGGCTATCCGATCAGCACACGAGTTTCTGATCGACCGGAAATTGCTTGGGCTTGGGCCCCGACCGCTTCGCAATGCAAAGGCGTCCATTGTTGTCCCCAAAGTTGTCGTCGTCGTCGTAATCGTAATGTACATACATACATACATATGAATGTATCGTATGTATATGAAAGTGCCTAAAAAGTACCGCATAAATTGATCAGACAACTGCAACGCAAACTGCAGCAATCAAAAGCACCAGCACTCAAAAAGTGAAAACTGAAATGTCATCTTATTGTTCAAATTATCAACTTTTACAGCCCTTTGAATTGTGGCGACCGCAAGCTATCGCACACACTTTACTACAATATATCTGTATGTATGTATGTATGTGCGAGTATAAGTAGTATGTTAGTATGCAGATGCGCCACATGGTCGGAGTGGTTTTCGGTTTCAAGTTCACACCAGAGTTCATAAACCGAAAGCAAACAACACCGATTATCGGACAAGCGACCCCACCAAGTTCAGTCTGTCCAAGGGGGGACTGGAAGTAGCATGGGGCTGCCCTCCAAGAAATCCCAATTACATCACAAGTAAACAGTATATGAAAACAAAAACAAATTTGGCAATGCATATTTACATAACGGTGTGTGTGTGTGTGTTTGCAGCTCCATTATATAGAATCCATTAACTGGCCAGCTGCATTGACAACGAAAGTAAAAGAAAGCAAAAAATGACAACCAAGTGGCTGGCAAATTGCGCATATTGCTGCGTCAATAGACCAAAAATACTATAATACATACCACCGCATACATACATACATATGTACAAGTATGTATGTACGTTCATGCCCGTATGTACGCGCAACAAACAGTACACGTCATTCGTATTTTGACAAACGAAACTGTCGATAAATCAAGTGCAAAAGGCGAATATCATATACACGTTCCTTGGGTGATTCATTTAGGAGATAAAATCGTGCTATTATTCCGAAATAGAAAAGCTTACTGATATACAAGTTAAGGAATTCAAATAATTTGCAAAACAACTCGTCCCAATGCAGTTTAATTTATTTATTTAACTTAACTTTCAAATGCTAAGATGATCAGACCAGAGATCAGATGAGTTCTGCATTTTGCTACACCACCAAATTCTAGGGACTAAGTGGAGGAACGTAGATGCTCGGTAGTTTAACGTTTAAATAATCTGCGGCTGATACCTTAAGTTTATTAGCATATCCATCCTTTGCAGTGTACAAAATATCTGTTTTCAGAGTGTTTGGCCAAAAAGAGCTGTGAAACAAGACCGTGACCTCAATCCCATTTAATTATGTTTAATTGTCAAAGCTTGTAAACTGTTTGCCGAACAGGCCACAAAGCCAAACACACACACTCACACACACACACGTACCTACAAGTACTACAAACATACGCAAATAACACCAGACTTGTGCCCACTTAGTTGGCGGCGCACACGTCGTACGCACAGTGAGAAAGAGAGAGCGGCAGAGGAAGGCAGAGAGAGAATGGGGCTTGCCACTGGATGGATGTGTCACAATATAAATTAGCGTAAACTGTTTTACACCACAATAACTACTAAACATGACCCGTCCGGCCCTCTCCGCCTGTCCTACCACTACGGCTTGCCCAACACAGCAATGTGCACATTCCACATGTGTACATAGGCATTTATGTATGTAAGTGGCTATGTTTATATGAATGTACATACATACATAAGCACGTATGTATGTATGAATGAATGTCTCTTCAATTGTCGGCACACTTGACGCCGCCTGCCGCTCTTGATGACGTTGGCGCTGACGCGGAGGGGTCAGTGGCGCCAGTAGGGCAATGGGCCGACAACTTTGACCGAACTGACAACATTGACGAAATGGACGTGCCGTTTATTTGCATACATTAAGCGTTTACAACCCCCTGTGTTTGTGAGTGTGTGTGTGTGTGTGTCCATGTTGTTGACACGTAAATAAAAAGCCATACAAACAAACAGAGCGACAGACTGACAAACAAAGCTACAAAAGCTTCAGCTCCTCAGCTAACTGTAAGTCTGACTGCTTGCCTGAATGAATTGTGTGAGAGCGGCCGAATGGGAATGGAATGGGCAGCGGCCAGCGCCTTGGGGGGGGGTAACGCGCATGTGCTTCTCGCATCGTTTGTACTCAAGTACGTAAACAAACCCAAGCCCAAACACATACACATGCACATGCACTGACACACACACGCACACACAGACGAGCCACGGGGCCAGGCCATATCCTAAACAAGCAGACGTGCGGCCGCCTCAATCGCTAGCTTCGCTTTTACATTAGGCAACAGGTTATTGCAATTCAGCGAAAACGACGATACGACGATACGGCTACGTCGATGTCGATGTCGGTGCTAGCGTCGAAGTCGACGTCAACGCCGGGCCAAGCCAAAAAATGTGTAAGTAGCAGTTCCCAAAAAAAAGGCACACTGAGCAAAATCGTTTCGTAATTGGTTAGCGCCGATAGACAGCGACCAGAAATTCTTTATAAGTGCAAAGGTTTAAGTATATTCGTATGCTTAAGTAGCTTTAAGGAGGAGCAATATTTTTTAAATTATTCTACTATTCAGGTATATAGGAAAAATACGTTATTTCCCGGTAACAAAAAACACAGAACAACCCCCAAAGTTCTTGAATTCAACGAGCGTTAATTTCATTCCACAGTGTTGTGACCCCATCCAAGGACAGGCGCTCAGTGTATTTCACTTGAAGCTTTAAGCGGTGTCTGGATGCGCCGCAGTAATTTTTTGGGCGAACAGGTAAGGCACGGCATGCAGGTGGCTTACTAACTGGCTGGCTGGCTGGCTGGCTGGAGCGTAAGAAACGCAACAAGCCCTCCGAGTCGCGGCGCCAGTTGTTGGCAGCAACGGGCCAATTGTGGCCCACAGCCGCATGCGCGGCCACAGTCGATAAAGCACATTCGAATCGAACGTTAGCAGTGCTGTTTATTGTTTGCCGCTGCTCCGAATCCAAAAACGAATAAGACGACGACAGTTTTTAATTTTCAATTCCCATTTTCATTCATTCATACGACTGTGCGAAGGCTTTTATTGCCGAGTGAAGTGCCTGTGTGTGTGTGTGTATGCGTGTGCGTGCGCCCGGCATTTTTGAAAGCTCCGCTGGACAAAAATCACTTTGTCTGGGCAGCCAGGCGCACTTTCTTTTTGCCATCGCATGATCCTTTCATTTAACTGTGTCCGCGTGGCGAATTTCGCTTTCATTTTTGTATTGCAACGCGCCCGCTTCGACCGGTTCAACATACCGAGCGCTACAACTCAATTCTAGTTAAATGTCATCATCCTGCCGATTTTTATGATGATTTCGCTGCGCCTGCACTTAAGGCTCCCTCTGCTCCTCTATGCGGTTCTTCAGGTGGCGGCCACCGTACGTCAGTCGCGTGAAATAATCATCACTGATGCGGTAGGTGATGGGGTTGCTAGTTGGCAGCGGCGGTTGACAGAGGGGGAGACCAGCAGTTAGCTGCCAACAGAAGCGCGTGTGCCGTGCGGAATTCATAATCACTTGAGTGTCACAACGCACGCGTGACGCGACGCGCTGTGGCCTCCAAAATGCAAAATCGAAAAAAATGTGTCTGAGCGTCGATTTTTGTGCAACGACTGCAGCTGTAGGGTCTCTGTTGGCGGCCCAATCCAAGACCCCGTCTCCGTCGCAGACACGTTGCTTGCCAAATATTTGCTCACGCACTTCCTGACATTGCAGGTGCGTCGCATCCAGCAAGATGGCTACAATGTGGAGCGGCATGTGGTGACAACAAAGGACGGCTATGTGCTCACACTGCATCGTATTCCCCAGCTGCATGACCTTTTTGGCACGGTACTGCGACGACCTGTCGCCTTTCTCCTTTCCGGTCTCTATGCCTCGTCGGATGTGTAAGTATGCGGGGACTGTGCAGGCCCAGGTGGGGTCGACATAGCAGACTTGGGCACCACCATGGGTATTTAAAATGAAGCCTATGTCTATAATTAACTTCAATTAAAATCAATGTAACGCCTCTTTGTCGCATTACTTGTATTTATATGCAGCCATTGGAAGGGCAGATTTTGTTTTGAATTTAAAATAGGACAATAACATTAGGAGAATTAGTTGTAAGAGAGGCCCAATCCTCAACTCGGATCTGAAAATTGAAAGCCTGAAAATTATTGATAAAAAAAACATCAAAAGACTTGTGTGGAAAACACTGAATATTATTTTATAGCCTTAAGCTGGCACCAGTGCATTAGGCTCCAAATGATCAGCTATTATATTTCAGATGGCTACTGAACGGACGGGAGGACTCGCTGGCTTACCTGCTCTGGAACGCCGGCTACGATGTGTGGCTGGGCAACAATCGCGGCAACATCTACTGTCGAAACAATGTCTGGCTTAATACGACAGAGCGCGAGTTCTGGAACTTTAGTTGGCATGAGATGAGCGTCTACGACATGCCAGCCCAGATTGATTACATTTTGCGAACCAGCGGTGCGACGCAAATGCACTTTGTGGGTATCTCACAAGGCGGCACCGTCTTCCTGGTTCTCAACTCGATGCTGCCGCAGTACAATGCCGTTTTCAAGACTGCCACGCTACTGGCGCCAGTGGCTTATGTGAGCAATACGAAGAGCGGCCTCGCGAAGATTATTGGACCGATTTTGGGCACACGCAATTATGTGTCCAAGATGTTGGAAGGTGTGGAAATGTTCTCCACCAACAAGTTTTTCAAGAAGTTTCTGTCAATGACATGTCTAGAGAATGAGAAACCCCTAGTCTGCATCACACGCTTATGGCCTGTCGTGGGTTACGACACACGCTTTTTGAATAAGGTTAGCAACTCTTGAGTTCAGTTGTCAGCTTCTGCTAATCAATTGAATTTGCAGACCCTTTTGCCAGATCTGATGGCCAATTTCCCTGCAGGTGGTTCCGTTAAACAGCTTATGCACTATTTTCAAGGCTACGTTTCCACAAAGTTCCGGCAGTACGATTATGGACCAGAGCGCAACTGGCTGCACTATCAACAGCTTGAGCCGCCAGAGTATGCACTGGAAAATGTTACCACTCCAGTCACCATATTCTTCTCCGAGAACGATTATATTGTAGCGCCAGCGGACATTTGGAGACTAGTGATGCGGCTGCGCAATGTAGAGGCCGTCTACAGGGTGCCTTGGAAGCGCTGGAACCACTTCGACTTTATCTGCGGCCTGGGAGTACGGGAGTACATATTCGACAATATCGTACGCACCATGAATCGGTATGAGCAGCGTCCTAGATAGGAGAAAGACAACTTTCTATTAGTGCCAAAAAATTAGATATAGTAACAAAGTTAAATCTACGGTCGATCAACTGCGATTGGCTGCGGATATTAGTACTGATTAATAAATATTTTTATTTATATAGAAAATGGAGAAGACTTTACGAGTAAAATATTTTACAGACATGGTGCATTTGGGTGACATTCTTTGCGTAATACCAAGTTATTTGCCAAAGTCTTTTAAATTTAATTTAAAATAATGGGTATCCTGCTTTATAGCTTAGGTTATACAAGAATGGGCTCTCCTTTCGTGAACTATATTCAATACTAATTCTAACAAAGTGCGATATTTTAACGTATGTTGCTAACGTAAGTAATGCTCGTTCATCAGTACTTCTGCAGGATATTGAAAAGGTAGTTGGAAGTCCATAAAATCGAATTTGTTTTGCCAAACTGTGCAAATCAGTAAGAATATAAGTACACATGTTAGTTACGTTAAGTCGTATTAGTACAGAAATGTTCTTGCTATTGCTTTTAGCAATTTTTACAAGTGCAGTGTGCTCTGAAATACCAAGCACTGTAAGTTGACTTCAATCCTATTGGGCGGCTACTTTATATATACACCTCTGCCTCCTTTGTCTCTTTGTAAGGCCGAATTTATAACACGTCACAACTATTCAGTTGAACCACACGATGCTGTTACAGAGGATGGATACGTGGTGACAATGTTCCGCATCCCCGATTCTCCACGCTGTAAGTGGAAGGGGTTTCCAGGTGGACCTACAAAGCCGGTTTTTTATTTGCAGCATGGATTAATGAGCTCCTCAGACTGTTGGGTGCTCAGTGGTCCATCAAGGGCCTTGGGCTTCCAGCTAGCTGATGCATGCTACGATGTGTGGCTGGGTAACTCCAGGGGCAACAGATATGCCAGAAAGAATACCAAATTGTCGGCATCCGATCGGGACTTTTGGAAATTCACGTGGCACCACATTGGATATAATGATGTGGCGGCGCAAATAAACTATGTCCTCGTAAAAACGGGACATAGGGCCTTGCATTTTGTGGGTCACTCGCAGGGCACCACCGGTTATTTAGTTTTGATGTCTTTGCGACCGGACTTCCTTAAAAAACTGAAGACATCTCACCTGCTCGCACCAGTTGCTTTTTGTGGCAGTATGAGATCGGTAATGTTTTCATATGGAAGTCAGGTCTTGCTGCATCTGCCAGATTTCGAGCTTCCGGGTCACTATAAGCCTTTGGCTACGCTGATTTCTTATTTTTGCTCCTTTCCTATAGCGGCGCTTTTATGCAAGAATGTTTTGTTTCTTTACACCGGCGCCATATCAAGGCACATGGACAAGGTTTGTAAATTACAAATAACTCAGCCACGAATAATTTGTGATAAAACTGTAGTGTCGTTACAGTTATTAACAGATGCGATAACCATAACTCATCCGGCTGGCAGTTCAAGCAGACAAATAAAGCACTTCGCTCAACTGCACAGCTCACACAAGTTTAGGAACTTCGACTTCGGCGAGACAGAAAATATGAAGATCTATGGCACCGCCACTCCACCCGAATATCCCCTCAACAGAATAAAGCCTTCAGAGCCCGTCAACATTTACTACAGCGATGACGATGTGCTAGCTGCAGTATCTGATGTCCTGTTGCTATCCCAAAACTTGCCACACAAGCGAGTCTTCCGTGTGCAGGCCGACGACTGGACCCACCTTGACTTCATATTTGCACATAATCTCAGAACTGTTATAGGCAACCAAATAATCGCTCTTAGCCATGCATATGAAAAGCGCCATAGTGGGAAAAAGTTAAATCCACATGACGCAGTTTTGCACTCATTCTAGTTTCCAGAGGATTATTATGTTTTTCAAGAATATTTCTTGAATGAATAAAGAGTTTTATCGCCCCAACATGAAGAGGCTTTTTACCAGTCAATCATTTTCAAAGCGCATCCTTATGTCGAATTAGTACTTCCGATTGGAAGATTTTCATACAATCGTGGATGTTAAACAATATAAATTACTTTAAAAAATTAAGTAATATTGAATACTGAGTGCCGACCTAAGAAATCCAGACCACGATTTTACCCCTAAATACTGCAATACTTGGGTCTTCCTCAAACAATTTCGGATTCTTGAATTTGTGAAGTATTAAATCGTAAATGGTTACGGCTGCTGAAGTAGACTGCATTTGAAGTCGGAATTGTGACCGCTTGGAAGCAAGATCATTTCCAACTACAGCGACAACAACTAGGACAGAACTTATTTAAACTTCATATTAACTTTATTAAAAGCCTAAAGACGGTTATTACTAACCACATCCTATGTGTTCCCAATGACTTCTAAAAACAGCTATTTATAAAAGGATGTTGACTTGTCGTAGCAATGCAATTTTCACTGTTTCTAAATTAAATTTCCAATCACTTTGAATTCGTCATGAAAATGTAAAAAATTGTTCACGGTATTGGTACATGATTTGCTTACTTCGGCGCTACAGTGTAAAAATGGATATCCTACGGTTCCAACTAATTTTACTAGGTGTGGAAAATATTTTAGGCTTGCGAATCACTGTAAGTCACCTGAAAGCTGTGTATTGAAAAATGTATAAATTGTTTAATTGTGGTTATGGTCCTCTCAATAGACCGACTTCATATTGTTTTACAACTATCCAGCAGAAAGGCACGAAATTTTGACAAGTGACGGCTTTATCATAAGCTTATTTCGCGTCCCCTTCTCGCCACGCTGTGAGACCAATCCAAACAGTGGCACAAGGCCTGTTTTCTTTTTACAACACGGACTACACAGCTCTTCTGACGGCTGGGTGCTATCTGAAAAGGGGCTACCCTTTGAGCTCGCTGATGCATGCTTCGACGTTTGGCTGGGAAATGCACGTGGAAATAAATATGCGCGGAAACATAGTCACCTCAACCCAAATCTTCCATTCTTTTGGAGGTTCTCATGGCATGAAATTGGCGCAATTGATATACCCACTGAGATAGATTATGTGCTGTCAAGAACCGGGCAAAAGTCTTTACATTATGTTGGTCATTCGCAGGGCACTACAGTGTTCTTGGTTATGCTTTCAATGCATCCGAAATTTAGTGAAAAAATTAAAACGTCACATCTTCTTGCACCAGTGGCTTATAGTGGCAATATGAACTCAATTTTCCTAAAGTCATATTTGGTGAAAAAAGCCCTGTTGCTAATACCGGACCTTGAGTTCTTGCCGTCAATAAAGATAGTGGCTCAAGTAGTATCATCTGTTTGCTCAATAAAGCTAATTGGAACCTTATGCTTTCTAGTTTTATTCTATGATGGCAGTGAGACCTCAAGCAACATGGACAGAGTAAGATGAATTTTAAATTAAACTCACTTGATTTGGATATTGATTAGTGCTTTTTTGCAGTCATTGGTACCAATAATAGCTGAAACTCATCCGGCAGGCATATCCACCCGACAGATCAAACATTATATCCAACTCCATATTTCGGGAAAATTCAGACGCTACGACTTCCACAAAAGAAATTGGGAGATGTATGGCCAGCGGGAGCCGCCGGAATATAACTTGCTTAACGTAAATCCAAAAGCGGCTGTCAATCTATACTATAGCAGCAACGATGGGTTAGCTAACGAGAAAGATGTCCTTTTATTAGACAAGAGTTTACCAAATAGTAAGGTTTTTCACGTCGACAAAAAAGACTTTTCTCATACGGACTTCATTTTTGCAAAAAACCTAAAGGAATTGATTCATAAGAAAATTCTAAGCATCAGCAATGAGCACGAGAAGAAGAATAAGAATTAATAATAATCGCACGAACCAGAACTACCAAACAACGGATGGGTATGCATACTCTTGCCTTTGGTATGACCCTGGACAAAATTTTAGAAGTCATCCGTATTCCAAACAAATAGGAAAAAACTTATTTACATTTTATATTTTTTTAAAAACCTAAAGATGTCACTGACCATATCCTATGACTTCTAAAAACAGCTACTTGTAAAAGGATCTTGACTTGTCGTAGCATTGCAATTTTCAATGTCTCTAAATTTAATTTCCAATCAGTTTGAATTCGTCATGAAATTGTAAGAAATTGTTCACGGTATTGGTACATGATTTGCTTACTTCGACGCTACAGTGTAAAAACGGATATCCTACGGGTCCAACTAATTTTATTAGGTGTGGGAAATATTTTCGGCTTTCGAATTACTGTAAGTCATCTGAAAGCTGTGAATTGCAAAATGTATAATTGTACTTGTGGTCCTCTGAATAGACCGACTTCATATTGTTCTATAACTATCCAGCAGAGAGGCACGAAATTTTGACATGTGATGGCTACATCATTAGCTTTTTTCGCGTCCCTTACTCGCCACGATGCGAAAAGAATCTAAACAGTGGTGCAAGGCCTGTTTTCTTTTTACAACACGGTCTACACAGCTCTTCTGACGGCTGGGTGCTATCTGAAAAGGGGCTACCCTTTGAGCTCGCTGATGCATGCTTCGACGTTTGGCTGGGAAATGCACGTGGAAATAAATATGCGCGGAAACATAGTCACCTCAACCCAAATCTTCCATTCTTTTGGAGGTTCTCATGGCATGAAATTGGCGCAATTGATATACCCACTGAGATAGATTATGTGCTGTCAAGAACCGGGCAAAAGTCTTTACATTATGTTGGTCATTCGCAGGGCACTACAGTGTTCTTGGTTATGCTTTCAATGCATCCGAAATTTAGTAAAAAAATCAAAACCTCTCATCTTCTAGCGCCCATCGCTTTTTGTGGCAATATGGAATCAATTTTCCTGAAATCATTTTTGGTAAAAGAAGCCCTGTTGCTAATACCGGACCTTGAGTTCTTGCCGTCAATAAAGATAGTGGCCAAAGTAGTTTCATCTCTCTGCGCAATAAAGCTAATCAGAACCTTATGCTTCCTAGTTTTATTCTATGATGGCAGTCAGACCTCAAGCAACACGGACAGAGTAAGTTGTATTTTATATTAAACTCACTTGTTTTGGATATTGATTAGTGCTTTTTCGCAGTCATTGGTACCAATAATAGCTGAAACTCATCCGGCAGGCATATCCACCCGACAGATCAAACATTTTATCCAACTCCATAATTCGGAAAAATTCAGACGCTACGACTTCCACAAAAGAAATTGGGAGATGTATGGCCAGCGGGAGCCGCCGGAATATAACTTGCTTAACGTAAATCCAAAAGCGGCTGTCAATCTATACTATAGCAGCAACGATGGGTTAGCTAACGAGAAAGATGTCCTTTTATTAGACAAGAGTTTACCAAATAGTAAGGTTTTTCACGTCGACAAAAAAGACTTTTCTCATACGGACTTCATTTTTGCAAAAAACCTAAAGGAATTGATTCATAAGAAAATTCTAAGCATCAGCAATGAGTACGAGAAGAATACGAATTAATAATAATTGCCGGAAAAGGAAACGTATGTATCAGATTAAAAATCATTTCTAATAACGACTCCGAATTTCTGAGGTGTTTTATTTAAATAACCCGTCATCTTTTCTCCAATGATTAGACAAGTTCATTGAAAATATTAAAATTCACGAATTATAGGTATTAAAAAATTAAAGAAAAAACATTTTTTAATAATTGGAAACCCTACCAGAAGATATTGTTACAGCCAGTAGTATTTATTGTTTCTTGTTCAATGAACAAAACGTGGTTAAAGGAATATAAATACATAATCGAAAACGTTCTTGCGTAAGATTGCGAATGGAATTCAGAAAGCAAAAAGAAAAAATGAAATTATTCTTGGGCTCAACTTCCAGACTAAGCTGAAGAAAAATGCACAGTCAATGCTTTCTCAATATGTATTTACAATCTGCTCCGATGCATTTCATTGTAACGAATTTCACTTCATAAGTAGTAACGTATTTATACAAATGTTTAACTTTTTAGGGTATTTGCAGCTCCTGTTCCAATGCCGGAACTGAGCTTGGCGTCTATATAACGCCGCAGGGACAGAGCCTTTGCTGTCACAATCGAGTGGGTCAATGAAATAAGAAGGCTTTTTGCAGCTTTAAAATCATTTTGTAAGGTCATGGCAACGGCCAGATTGTATCGCACCACTTGCTGCGCAGCGTCCAATGACTTTACTTGCCAATCTCGCGTCTCAAAATCGAAGGCATTTAGGGTGCTTACGAACGTCGGTTCCAGATGGTCGCGTGCATCGGCGGGCTTATCCATGTACATTAGCGCCTCTCCGGCATACATATGGCCAAGTAATCTGTAAGATGGACAACGGATATTATTGTAACGAATAAAGTTGGGTAAATGCGCCCGCTTGGCGTTCTATGTACTTATGCGCGTCGGAGAGACGGTCGGTCTTTAGCAGCTCATCGGCCATTTCCAAGGCTGTGACGTGATCACCCAAGCGTAGCGAGACAAAACTATAAGCTGCATAAATCGCCGCCAGCATGTTTTCGAGCGATTCAAGGGATATGGGTTTCGATGGGTTGCAGAAATTATTGTCTTGCACTTGGCGCCAATGAGGCCTTTCGTCCAACATTTCCTCCTGTGACGGTGCTATGTGAAAACTTGTTTTATAGTGCAGCGTCAGCGTTAGGGCGCTACGTAGACACAGTGCGGCAAACTCCAGTGTTGGCTCGGGAACTGCGGCAGATTGGGCACTAAAGAATTAATTTCATTATTCGATGTTTTTTTTTTTAGGTTTTTTAAAAAATATTAAAAAATACCCATATGATTTGGATGAGGATCCAAATGCAAACGATGTCGCTGCCGAGGAAGCGACATCGTTGAGCGATTCTCGTTCCTCCACTAAGAGCTTCTGGAAACAAAACAGTTATTTCTCAGTAAGTGTACCTAAAAATGCGAGAACTCAGCCATTTACCTCCTCATGTTCCATGATGCACGCCTCGGCCATGCGAAACCACAGTCGTGGGTTGCTGTGATATAGCTTGACCGGCACCAGAAAACATTGAAAGGCCTCCTTCGGACGGCGCAAATGCAGCATCGAAATGCCTAGATTGTACAAGATTTCGCAGGAACGTGCTGAGCTCATTGTCTGCAGCGTCGACTGACGCAAATTGGACGCTAACTGCTTATCAAATGTGAGAGCGTTTTGGAAGAACTTGGCGGCCAATGCATAGTGTCTCACACGCAAATGAATGACGCCCATATTGTTGGCAATACACGTACTTAGCTGTGTCATCACGCTGCTGTCGAGGATTAGCTACGCTTAGTTATCCTTATACACAAATAAGTATTCTATCGAACTCACCCTGACTGGCTGCAGTCGTTATTGATGCGCATAAGTTGCTTGGCAGCCATCTGAAAGTCCTTCATTATGTAGTACTGATGCGCCTTTAGTGCTGCAAACTGGGGAGTCCCGTCCTCGGGTACGACCACAGGTTTGCGATTAAGCACGTGCGTCAGCAGCTGCAGTAGTTGCAAAGTGCCGCTAACGTCCCCACCTAAGCGCACAGCTGGAGCCATGGCTGAATCCGGGGACGTTGCAGGTGTAGCCACGGTGGAAGATGTTTGTGCTGTTGTCGTCGCCGTCTCATCAACACTGGGGGAAGCACCACTGTTGCTGCTAATGCTTGGCACACTGGACACAAAGTTCAACTTCCTCTGCAAATAGTCCAGAAAGGCCTCGGCGCGGTTCAGCTGGTTGGTGGCCAGTAGCAATTGCAGCTGTAGCGTTGCCGTCAGAGCAGCCATGTGTTTCTCTAGCGCATCCAGTCGGTTTACCAGTGGCGCTAGCTTCTCCAGCGCTGTAGCATACATATGACGGTGGTAATAGATTACTGACTTGTTATAGCGTGCCACTGTGGCTCCACTTCCACTGTGCTTCAACGACAGTCCTTCAGTGCTTGATAAGCTGGGCGATGGATCAGGGTCGAGTTCCTCCAGCTCCTTTAGCAACGCCGCATGCTCCGTGCAGCCACTTTTGTAGTAATGAACCACGGCTCGATTATGCCGCAGAATAGAACCACTGCTTTCCTCCGTTGATTCCAGCTGCTGCATCAGCTCCAAGCAGCGGTCATACTCGCCACTAGAAGCAAATCGGATAGCACGTTTTAAAATGCAAATGCTGCGGTGGATTATCGTTAAGTATGCTTACTTGCTGAACTGTTCGTGGGCGTGGCAAAGTATATTGTAATTCTCATCTTCGTTGGCTTGAGTTTTGGTGGGAGAATCCGCGGAACCCATGCCAACAATAAAAAAAACAAAAAACACTGACAGTGGTGGCGCTGCCAGAGTATCGGTATAGTTATCGAGAGTATCGATTGTTCTTGGCGACCATTTAATAAGACGAAACCATTAAAGATGTGTAATAATAAATGTATAAAATGAGATTATCTATTTTATGACTGATATTATAGTGAACAAATAGCTCTATTTGCGTCAGTTGATTTCTTCCGTGGAGTCAAAACAGTTGTGGAAAATGCTTACAGCACTTCAATAAAATCAATCGATATACATATATATTTCAAAAGTTGATGACACATTTACAAATCAATGCAGGAATACCACTAATGATAATTTCTTCCCTCGTCTTCAATATTGTTGCTCTAGTGTTGTGCGATTATTATTACAGTAATAAAAGCAAAATGGCTAAAAATTCAAATTATAAACGAAACAAAATGTTGAATTTTTCCCCCCAAAATATGGTTTTCTTATGACTGTTAAGTAAACGATTGATAGATTCAAAATTGCTATACCACAAGAATATTCCCAGTATTTCTTTAAATAATATATGTATGTTCCCCCGAGGGGAACACGGGGCTCTTCCCTACCGATCCAAGCCGATGTAAGCTCACTGGTTGCCGTGCTGTTTTTAGTTGGCAGTGCAGGAGAGTTGTTTTTGTTTGGTATAGATGTAAGTGAACATTTTTTGTATTCTTCGCCAAGATCTATTCGCTTAAAATATTAAGCCGGTGTATCTTTAATTCGATTTTTCTTGTAAAATTTTATTAATTTTCACATACATATACAACTCAAAAAAAACATATTTTTCGTTTTGTTTTCCGCAGTCGTAATACCAAAAATATTTGTTCGGGTGTTGATGGACACATGTGGGTAGTTAGTGAAATACTTGTGGATGAATATGGAATTACTTTAATTTGATTCGAAGTACAATATTATTCACTAAAATATTTGAAAATCTTTTCAGAAGCAACGGCTATTCTTTTCCTTTGTAGGAAACCCGTACTCCATTTTACTGTTTGTTGTTGGTGATATTCTTAAACAAAACAATAAATCAAATTTCACACGTAGACCAATATGAATTTTACCTAGGGTGGGGGTGACAAATTCTGAGCGGTTGGCCGACATGTGCTCTGCCCTGCTTCCTGGTTGATTTTATGAGACGTCTATTAATATAGCGTTTATATAATTATTTACATTATTAGGTAAATATATATATATATGTATTGTATATATTGGATGTATACCATTGCATATAAACTTGAATTTAGCATTAAAAACTTCGCACATACTTTTGAACTACACGCTCTCAACATTAACTGAGCAGCTCTCCTTGCCAAATAAACAGATTCCTTTTCATTTTTCTTCTATATCTCCTAATCAACTTGCTAAGCACACATACACATGAGTTGGTATCCCTAACAGTTTTTGTAACGCTTTTGTTCGTTCAAGTTCTTTTTTCATCTTTGCTTCATTGCATTTGCTGTTGTTGCCCCTCTAGCCACGCCCACGGTTTATGTGTTGCGTATCTTGCCAGGCACGTAGTTTTTGTCGATCCCACTCTCTTGCAAGAACATATGTAGGCATCGCTCGTTTTGGGCCAACGGATGTCCGGCAATCTTGTTAATAAACGCCTCAAGTCCCTTCCGTCGCTCCTCAATGAAGTTCTCATCAAATATGCCCTCGTCTCCTCGAAATGGCATTTGCCGTTTCCAGGCCTTACCCGGCAAGGGCGGCACCACGATCTATGTGTTATCCAATTTTAAATTTATTTATTGGCTTAGGCCAGCGGGTCTTCAATTATACATACCTTGCTGTCCCGTTCCAGTTCATTTCTCAACCACTCAAAGTCACTGTAGCGGCGCCGCACGCTCGATTCCTTCACTTTGAATACCGGCAAATTTGTCTGTGTGAAGAGGCGTTTAAACAACATTAAAATGTATGCTTGTAAGATAAGCCCGCATTCATCGTTCATTCATACGATCTACGCTAAGCTCCGTATCAGCGCATGACTCAAACAGCACTCTAGTGACTAATGTATATGCATACATACACGCAGGGTACTCGCACACATAAAGTTTATCAATAAGTTTTACATAGCTGGACCTGAATCCCCTTCTACTCACCCTCATGCGCACTTCATACTCAGTGTAACGTTTCTTGCCTGCCGCCATGTTGGTCAGTGGATTGACCACATCGATCTCAAGGAAGTTGGCGGGCACGGCGTACGCATCGTCCAGCGTTTGTTTCTTCACATTCAAACGGCGTGTGGCGTCGGCGGTACCGTCGGACTCAACCATCATACTGTTGCAGATCTACACAACGCCCCTTTTTGTGGCACGAAATGCGGTAATGCTGCAATGAAAACAGACAAAAACCACACGCAAACGGGTTTGCTTCGTTGTCGTGGTCGATGCGTTGTCTTTGTGTGCTGCAGTTGTTGTTGCTTTTTTATGCTATGCGGGCGGTTGGCTGCGTTCGAGAAACTTCAATAATTTCGGCCGCAATTGGCTCAACTTTTGCACCGCATGTACACTCAATAACTATTGAATCTTTCTTGTATCGGCGTGTAGTTTATAACCAAATAAAGATTCAATGATTAGTTTAAAAAAACTTTCTATGTGTAATCCAATAATTTGTTAAATACCAAAAAGTGCCTAAAAAATACACTACGACAATATACTTTGCAGAGTTGCTCTGGAACAAAGAGCAGTGCTGCACAACATCGAAACAAAAAATGCCCAAACGCAATAAGTCATGTGATGGCACGTGACGTCACAACATTTTACACACTGACTGCCAGTGAACAGAACAGAGTGATTTTTCTTCGTACTCGCAACGACGTCGCAGGCCAAAATTTTGCGTGTGTGTCGCTCAGTATTATTTGAAACTGAAAAATTGTATGTTTTCCAAAGGCACAAAACTTGATTGAATTAGTTAAACTAATAAGAAATGAAAGTGCAGACAAAACTAAGCCAATTTTCTTTGCAGCTCGAAATTTGCTGTGCACTTTTCAAGGTAGCGAGGAGAGGCAAGAAAATTCATTGTGCAAAATGAACGCCCATCAAGCAACTAGGGAACATGTCCTTGCAGTTTCACGGGACTTCATTTCGCAGCCCCGTTTAAGTAAGTATGCCAGAACAGTGAAAATGCATTAAATTTGTTAAAGTTTTGATATTTTCTGCTGGAGCAGACAAACAGTCGGGCTCCCGCCGCCATGACAGTTTGCACGAATCGGGTGTGAGACACAACACAGAAAATCAATATAATTTTTGGCAGCGAATTTTGCCACCCACTCCGTGGGCTTACAAATCGAATTTAATCAATTTATAGCTGCGAATAATGTCGGCTTTAAATTCCCACGCCCTGGTTTAAGGTAGTTGCTCTATGAACAGTGAAAAATTGGGTAAAGTGGATTTTATGAAAAATTTTCACCGTCACATGACTGTCGGCTCAGCTGTTCGCTCTTGCTGTGGCACCTGACTTGCGAATCGACGTGCAGTGTGTGAAATGTGTTTAAAAAAGCGCAAGTGGGGTTTAAACTAAACTTGGCTAAAATGTTTAATAGTGGCGATAAAATGTAATAATTAAATAAGAAAATTAGTATACTAATATTTTATGTTTTTTAAAGCACTTGTTCAATCAAGTCATTTTTGTAGTTACATACTAATTATATACAGGGTTTAATGGTATGGGATAGTAAATTGCAACCACGAGCTATTATGTTGTCTTTTGCACCCACAAAAAATAGTAATGAGTAAGTCAGCTGACATAACTCCCCAACCACTTTTCAATTGTTTGTCTTATCAGATTCTTATTTGAATTGTTATAGCAGTATTCATATGAGGAACTACAATTTTGTTTTATGTAAACTGCATTTACAAATTGGATAAGGCAGATAACTTTTTGTTTTACATTGGTTTTTTTCGAACCCTTTTAATAAATAACGCCGTCTTTTTATTCGTTTATAGCTTACAAGACCGTGTCCGGAGTCAATGGTCCTCTAGTCATTCTCGATGACGTGAAGTTTCCAAAATTCGCAGAAATCGTGCAGCTGCGTCTTAATGATGGCACCGTACGCTCCGGCCAGGTGCTTGAGGTGAGTGGATCTAAGGCCGTCGTCCAGGTGTTTGAGGGCACCTCCGGCATTGATGCGAAAAACACGCTTTGCGAGTTTACTGGCGACATTTTGCGCACACCCGTGTCCGAGGATATGTTGGGTCGCGTCTTCAACGGCTCCGGCAAGCCTATCGACAAAGGTCCCCCAATTTTGGCCGAAGATTTCTTGGACATTCAGGGCCAACCCATTAATCCCTGGTCACGTATCTATCCCGAGGAAATGATCCAGACTGGCATCTCTGCTATCGACGTCATGAACTCGATTGCGCGTGGTCAAAAGATTCCCATTTTCTCCGCTGCTGGTCTACCACACAACGAAATTGCCGCCCAAATTTGTCGTCAAGCCGGTTTGGTTAAGCTGCCTGGAAAGTCCGTTTTGGATGATCACACCGATAACTTCGCCATTGTGTTTGCCGCTATGGGTGTTAACATGGAGACAGCTCGTTTCTTCAAACAAGATTTCGAGGAAAATGGTTCTATGGAGAACGTGTGCTTGTTCTTGAACTTGGCCAACGATCCGACCATTGAGCGCATCATCACACCACGTCTGGCTTTGACTGCGGCCGAGTTCTTGGCCTACCAGTGCGAGAAGCACGTGTTGGTCATTCTGACCGACATGTCCTCATACGCCGAGGCTTTGCGTGAGGTGTCCGCTGCCCGTGAAGAGGTGCCTGGTCGCCGTGGTTTCCCCGGTTATATGTACACTGATTTAGCTACAATCTATGAGCGCGCCGGTCGTGTCGAGGGTCGTAATGGCTCCATTACACAAATCCCCATTCTTACTATGCCCAACGACGATATCACCCATCCAATTCCTGATTTGACAGGTTATATTACTGAGGGCCAAATCTATGTCGATCGTCAGTTACACAACAGACAGATCTATCCACCAGTTAACGTGCTGCCGTCGTTGTCGCGTCTAATGAAGTCTGCCATCGGCGAGGGCATGACCCGCAAAGATCACTCCGATGTGTCCAATCAGCTGTACGCTTGTTACGCCATCGGCAAGGATGTGCAAGCCATGAAGGCTGTGGTTGGTGAAGAGGCCTTGACGCCTGACGATCTGTTGTACTTGGAATTCTTGACGAAGTTCGAGAAAAACTTCATCTCGCAGGTGAGTGATCTTAATGTTGAAAGTGCTAAATTACATGCTAATCGTTCATTTCATCTACTTTTAGGGTAACTACGAGAACCGCACCGTTTTCGAATCCTTGGACATTGGCTGGCAGTTACTGCGTATCTTCCCCAAGGAGATGCTTAAGCGTATTCCGGCCTCCATTTTGGCTGAATTCTATCCTAGGGACTCGCGCCATTAGATTCTTTTTATTGTTCTGTTTTTGATTTTTGTCCAAAATTTTGTTCATACAACATACTTTAAGCTGGCACAGCATGCAGCGTGCCTCCCTTTGCAATATCCCGCTGTGTACGCGTATAAATATCTATACATAAACTACAATACATACCAACATTCATATAAAATATATATGTACGTTTAAAATTGAATTGGGAATACATAGAGAGGTCCTATGCGTTGGCCAAGCACAACCTATACAATAACTAGTTCAAGTTCGAAAACATAACGTAAAACGAGCAAAAAATGCTTATCAAATCCTCTAATGTAAATAAATACTATATGTAATTGAATGGTTCAGCCTATATGTCGTATTCCCCACATAAACTTATTAAATTTGTTGTCAAATTGATCGCCTTTTTGTTAAAGATTACATCTTTTTTGTTATGTTTTAAGTATGCTCTTCAAAATGGTTTGTTTTATATTTAGTTCTCTTTGTTTGCATAAAATCGTAGCATTCCAAAAAAGAATAATTAATGTTTTGTTACTTCTGTCTCCTTTGCTCTTCGGCTAACGTTAAATGTTCCGCGTTCAGTTTTAACACCAGCAGCTACTACAAAAGTTATAGTATTAGCCGCCGCACTCCCATCCTGCCCGCATCGCCGACGCTACACGAAAATGTATCAGACTTTGTACAGCACCAAATAAACTAAAAATGAAATATTAAGTGCAAAAATATTTCAAATGCAACACGTTTTAAACTATTAATTACCTAAAATTAAAATATTGTTTGTTTTCGTCTAAAGTGAATGTTAACTATACGTATCGTTGAAATTTATTTGATGTGTACATGAAAAAGGCTTCAAATTGATATTCAGTAACAGTATCAACAACAAAACAGCAAGTGTTTAACTATTATATTAAAACAAAGTATTTCGTGTATATGTAAAAATTATAGAAAATTTAATAAACCACACAATGATGTTAAAAAAACAACTTTCATTTCATTTCGTTTCATTTTCCGTGATTTTCCAAGTTCAACTTATTGAGGGAGAGATCAACTCCTTGTGTACCTTCTTCGCACTCAAATATCCTTGTTATTCCAAGTCAATGGTAAGCGTTGACAAGCGGCAATATAGCGAGGATCCAAGTCCAGCGACTCACAGCCACATCTATTGCTTCACTGATCATCACACACTCCACATTATCCAGCGTTTTGTAGTTATTGTTGCAGTGGCACTCGCCCATCTTGCATCGCATTGGCGAAGGAGTCAATAGCTCCTGTTGGCAATCGCTGTCGTTGCGGCAATACGAGCCATAGGCTGCAAGCGATTAATTAATAATAAAATATACTTATATTAGAAATAATATAAGAATAATATATGTATGTATGTAGTCAAATTTGGGCCAAGTATATTTTTAGGCATTATTTTACATTTCCAAAAGCAAAAAGAAGAATTTATAAGATTAGTTATTGGAATTGTTGCAAGAACAATCAAAGAGCAGTTCCCAATATATTTGCATAATATAATATAATAATATTTTGTAAATATACATAGAGATTATACCTCAATGCATACCAAAGCTATATAAAGGATAAGTTGCTGTACAAGCACCTTTTCGACTACTTACCCACAATTGGTTGGCACATAATGCGTTCCTCTGCACTCAGGTCATTTGTTAGGTCTGTTTCCGGTCGTTTTTTGGCATAGTACTGCACGCGACATCCGCAACGGTTTTCGCGGCACTGACCGCCAGCTCCAAGGAGCAATTGGCAGACGGCACTGCGTTCACAGGTTGCTCCAAAAGCAGCGCCCGGTACGCACTTGTTCATTTTTTGGTTTTGCACAAAGTTGGGAGAACACACGCACTTTTTCAAGCCGAGCATACAGAACGCGGAGCCGCAATTGCCACAGTCCTTGTCCGCCGTACAGTTCGTCGCTATGTAGAGAAGCCGAAGCGGGAATCAGGAATACTAAGCCGAGTATTCGACTACTTACCTAGTCTGTGTAGGCATTTGCCATTATGGTTCTCGAATTCTTGTCGGCAGAGGCAGCGATGCTGTCCCGTCTGACAAAAGGCAAACGGATTCATCTCCTGACATTGTCGGTCTGACTCACAGTGCGCGTCCAGAGGCACGCTTCGAGGTAGGCAGCGACGTCGATCCTCGCTAGGTATATAGTTTGGGGCACAGTAGCATTGCTGCTTATCTGAATCACACTCGGCATGACTCTGGCTGCAGGGGCACGGGCCACCAATAATGTTACTGAGTTTGTGGTCCTGCATTCGAATTTATAAAGTGATCGCCAGACTACAACCTTCAATGCCACTCACCCTGGGCTGGCAGTCCACATGTTCCAGGCTGCTATTCCACGTCGTGCAAATACAGCGCGATTCCTCACAATGGGAACGACTCACGTTAGACAGCTCGAATTGGGCACAATGCGCATTCGTAGTGCAGCTGAGCTCTAACAGGTCTGCAGAGGATTTGATGGACTTAATCAAACCACTTCTAATACGAGAAACTCACCATCGGCGCTTGCGCCGCAAATAAAGACCAGGCAGGACAGCATCAGCAGACTACCGATGTTCCAAAAGCCACCTCCGGGTTTTGTAAATTTTCCGTGGAGTTGTGGGATATGCATTTTAAGTTTATAGGTTATATATATGTATTTCAAATGCGAGCATATGCACATACATATGTACGATATGCATTGATTGAGTGGAAATTTGAACTATTTAAATTTTGGCTGCTGCTTCCTTTATAGTTCCTTCTGCAGCCAAGACCAGAAATTGGCGACGCAAGTAGACACCGATTACCGTTTTTATATCGCGACTAACAAAGTATCATTTCTTCTCTATTTCACTCTCCCTCCTTCTGTGAATGCACTGAAGAATGCCGAGCTTACGATAAAGTCATTGGAATTGATCTTTAAATATGTACATATGTATGTACTATTAGTATTACACTCAAATGATATTGTGCCTTAATGTCAAGAATTGTAGCCTAAAGAATTTTTCCAGAATGTTAAGCTTTCGAATTCCATAGAATTTCGTTTTTATTTCAGATTCTATTTTGAAATAGTTACCCGTTTTTCTGAGTGTATAACAGTAATCTTACGCCTTATGGCAAAGCAGTCACTTAATAAAAGGTTAAGTGTTCAGTCTTCTGTTGGTATCCAGATGTACCATTTGTATAATTTTTGTTTGTCTTCCGTTTTTAATTCAATATGGCATCAGTAGAAGAGCCTGCAATTGTAAAACAACCAAGTGGCTCGCAAAAGGTTTTGAACGCGATTGCATTACTTAATGAACGTACCGGTTCGTCGGTTGCGGCTATAATGAAGTATATGAAGGCAAATGGTCACGAAGTGGCCAACGAAAAACGGCAACGAGCATCTATACTGAAGTTGCTCAAACAAGCTGTTGAGGCTGGGCAGGTGGAGCGTGTGAAGAACTCCTTTAAATTGTCGACGGAGCACAAAAAGACCATAAAGTCTATCGAGAAAATGAAAGCCCACGCAGAGAAGAAAAAAGCCAAGGCCCAGGCTAAAAAAGACAATAAAATAGTAAAAACTACAGTAAAGTCTTCGACAAAGGCTGAGCGGATGACAAAAGAGGCAAGCGAGTTGTAACTACTTTTATCTTCTGTCTTTTATTCTTTCCTTTGCAATTCAAAGCCAGTCAAAAAGAAGACTAAGCCGGGAGATAGTACCAGCGCCAAGGCCATTGCCGGAGCTGCAGCTCAGGATGCTCTTGCAAAAAGATTGATTGAAGGCGAAAATGAAACCGCGACACCGAAGCAGCCAAAGAAAAAAAAAGAGAATGGTGCCAGCTCCAAAAAGGCGAAGGCCGCGAATGAGAACACCGGAAGTAAATCCGCTCAAGGTGGAGGTAAATCACATCCCACAAATAAACCTCGCAAGTCGATCGGCACCTTGGCTCAGCCCATGAGCAAGAGTAAGATGTCACGCAAGTCGCTGAAAAAATTAATAGCCGGCAAACCTGTCCTAAGCGATGAAGATTCATAGTCTCTCAACGCACTTATGTTTACCAACATTTATTTATTTCTTGTAATCATTTTTATGAATATTTTATATGTTTGAAAACATTTGTGTGTTTATCATAATTTATTTATTTCTTGTAAACATTTAACGAATATATAATGTGTTTTATGGAAGCTGCATGAAATAGTGAACTTATTGACTTTGTTGGTTGATTGATATATAATCTGTGTCCGTTAAAAGCAGAACTGAAGAAAGGAAAGGAGAAGTAGTGATCGCAACAGACAGGTGGACACCGCGATTTGGGTTCATTTCGTCACGCTGATCAAAATTCTACCCATATAATGTAGTCTTCGTTATGACCTCAAAATGGCGCTGTTAATTCGCATAACAGCGTTGCGCACCAAGCTGTTGTCGGACTGCTGTTAATGGACCGCGTTAACAGACTGCTAGGCTGGAGCGCTGTTTGCGCTCTTCATATCTCTCTCTCTCTCTCTCTCTCTCTCTCTCTGCCTCCTACGTCATTCAGAAACAGTTTTGTGCGTGTGTATGTGAAAGCGTAACATTTTTCTTCATCAGTCAATGGCTAACAATAATTTTCGTTACCATTTCATTAGCCAGGAAGTTGAGGAGAGGTGATATGTGTATGAAAAGAAAATGTGTAGTGCAAAATGCATAGAAAGTGGCTTCCAGCTTCTATAAATAGGACACTTTCAGGAGTTTAAGATATATTTGCACTTTCCAAATGCTTTAAATATATTTAGGTGTGTTTAAAAATGAATGCTTCGATTCATACATAATTTACTCCATTATTACATTCGTTAAGGAGCTATATTGTTACAGAACCTTGCAAAAAGAGAAAAGATGCCAAGCTGTGCTTTAATGCCATAAATTTGGCTTACAGCTGAATAAATAGCTGTGCAATTTCCATCTACCTTTTGTCAGCCATGCTAAGTGTCTCATCGCACTGAATTTTCACTGCCTTCCGCCCTCTTTTGAACTATTTTCTTCTCCCAAGAGCAGAGCAGTTGCAAGTTTCCATTGACTTTGCAAATTTATGCAATTATGCCAAACTTTTTAATGAGTTCTAAATGAAGTTACCAATTTGATCGTTGACGCCAGCATAAATCCAACGTCCAGGGCGCCCGACTAGCGGAATTTTCGTTATTCTACGCGCTGCAAGAAGTTGCTCGACTCGATAAAACTTTTTGCACATGCAATCAAAGCTGTGCTGCATCTTATACGTATACTTGTTCATGAGGATGTGTCCAAATTACTTAATTCTGAAACCTGTTTAAGCGACTTTAAATTGTAACACAATATACGAGTACATGCTCGCTCGCAGTCCTTGTGGCAAGGCTGCTACAATTGTCGGAAGGCTAAGCGCTGACAATGGCAGCAGGAGCCACAAGCAGAGAACGAAGATAAAAATCTTGCAGCAATCTTGCGGCGCCACAGTAACGCTGCGGGCGTTCCGACAGCCTGTCAGAGATGCCGTCGCCTCCTTCAGACGTTGATGGGCAACATCACGACTAGCGTGGTCTTAAGTGCCCGTTCGTTTAAATACTTCCATGCATTTCTGTATGTGATTGTGTATGTGTTTGTGCATATGAGCGCTCATTTCGAGACGTTTGTCTGCTCGCCTCCACTAGACCGTCATTAGTAAATCAAGCACACAGCGACGTCGAGTTGCAAATATACCACACCCACAACCCACACCCACACACACGCAAACATAAGCAGTCGCGCCTGCTCATCAACGTAAGCCGTAAATAAGCTGCAGCAACTACAAAGCATGCGAGTAAAATATAAAAAAAAGTTCATGGTCATGGTCAAAATGTTGCGCATCACTTGAGTCGGCAACTCACGGTCCCAGCCCCAACCCCACCTCCACACACTCGTAGCAATCCCTTGCGACGTCCCTTTGTACGCGATGGGGTTTGCTCGATTTATGCGGCATTGGCGGCATCTTTGCTGTTTGCCAACTGTCCACGCTTACAGTTTGGATAAACGATGAAGCAGTTGGCACTATGCCAAAGCCGCATCTGTGTACCTCTGCGCCACCGCACCACCGCACCACTAATCACAACTTAGCTCAACAGAACAGGTGTGAATGGCTGTTAGAACTTGCAGCCGCAAAATCCTTTGGAGTGCGCACGATTAATGAACTCGCGATGTTTGTTAATGTTTGCTAATATTTACAAAATGGCTGAATGTGAATTTTAATGAGCGACAACATCCCAGTCAGCCAGCTCTTTAACACACACGCCTGCCTGGCGGTAGCGCGAGTCGGCTTAGTGGCGCAGTATCCGCATATTCTAAGGACTTGAGCATTCGCGCTGCTCAGCCAAGACGGAGGTGGTTTCTCCGGCTGGGTGGGTGGCCACCATAAAAGCCGCAATCAGCTTAGAATGCCAACAATATACAACGGTGCTGCCATTGTTGGTGAGGTATTCTTGGTGGCTGATTAAATGCGTATACGCACAAACGAGGTGTGATCGTAATTTGCTTTATAAATAAATGTATTTACTAAATATGCCTATTACTTATTATTTATTTATATTATAACGTAAGGTTCTTAGCAACATTTCTATGGCGACAATAATTACTAATTATTAAATTGAGTCTAAATTCTTGGGCAGATGTATTTAAAGATTTCAGATCAATACATTAACAATTATAGTTAAAGGCCTATTGAAAATATTGGCAAATAGTAAAAAGTTCGTTTTATTTTATTGATTTTCCCCCCACTTCCCCTCTATGGGGGTTTTCCCGATTTTCCGTTCGTGTAATCACCTATATCTCAAAGACTTTGAGACCTAGGGACACCAAATTTGATTCCAAGATGCCTTATGTGAATACGCAGAAAATTTGTATTAGGGAACATCCCTCCAGTGTCCGCAGCTGTTGTTGTTGTTACTGTTTTGCACAGGCACACGAGACATACACACAGACACGCACAGACATGCATTGTTGGTGTGCAGTTATACACGCCTTACGTCAGTTCGAATACCAACGGAGGTAAAATTTATAAACAATTGTTTACTACACTTACATACTATATGTACAGAGTATTTCAATGTCGGGAAACCCGACTGCAGCTTCTCCACTTTTTTTTTTTTTATTCCAACCTCTTATGTGGCCTGTGAAACCATCTCACTGGGTTTATAATTAATGCGTGCATGTTTGAGAACGCTACATAAATAGAAGCCAGCAAAAACCAGCCCTTAAATCAAATAATTAACTCATTAGCAGTAAAAATTTAATGCCCTAAGCCCAACCAGACGCCTTTTTCGGGTGTGCTTTTAAATATCAAGCCATTCATTTAATGGCTCACTTGAACATGTTTGTTGCTTGGCACAATTTTCTGCAATATGTTTACTTCAACTTGTGGTTTCAAGATCCCAGGTTCAGTTTCCGCCCAGGGCATGTGTCAAGCAACTGTCACCTCGCTGAAGGCCATTCCTGTCCACTCGTGCGTCTCATTCAATATGACGTGGGACATTAAAGTCAGACACTTTTACTTGACTAACTGACTGCGCTGACTTACAAATTAAGTTGAAGTGTCGACTGAGCGATGGTTGAAGGTCTAAAGAAAGGAATAGTTTTGTTTTGATAAGCCAGGCATATAGCCTGCAGCAGGATTGGTCAGCAACAGAAACAGTCACCGCCCACCAACACACATACTCAAATACACTCGTTGTAATTTGTGTGAAGGATTTCGAGCATTGTTTGGATTTGGGACAGCTTAGCTGAATAAATCACAAAGCCAACGCACGAAGGAAGCCGACACGATGGCAGTCTGGCGGCTCGGACTGTCCTGTGTGAACGGTCTGCCCGGCAGCCATTTGACCCAACGCGAAACTGGCTTAGGAAAGTTATTTTATAAATTTCTTACTCTCGTCTGCCTTACTTCTATAGCTGGATACAGCATTAAACAAATCGGCTAGCTAAATGTGAGCGACGCACCGTCTGACGCCAAAAGCTTGATTGGGGTGCTCGTTGGCAAAAGGAGCAGCCAGACCCACTAAATAAACACATAAACACATCGCTATGGATACGTTGTCAGTACAACGGCAGACACAAATAAATGGATAATATGGCCCAGAAGCAAGTGAAAGTAAAAGCTAAGAGCAGCAGCAAATTCTCGTACGGAAAAGAATTTTGCGTTTGACTTGTTGTTTGGTATCATCTTGCTGGATAAGCACAAATGCCAATACTGGGCACAAATAAATGTGTGGTTGTGTTTGTATCTGTGTGCGAGTGAATGTGTTTGACATTAAATGCCCTTAGATACTGCCACACACACAAACACATGTGGAACGCCGTTGATTTCGGGAACATTGCTGGCCATCCCTGTTCTTAATTGTTATTTGATTTTATGCGGCATCGATTGGAAAAAAGTTTTCTCGTAATAGCCAAGTAAATAGAGACACACAAACACAAGCACTGCCAAACTACAGGAAGCATCGTGTTTATGCAAAGCAATGTCTTTATTTTCATTCTAAAGGCTTATATTAGATATTGAGAACTTTAACAAAGGGTGCCAATAATTGTGCCCCTTTTGTATGTCAGTAGGCTAATAAGTTTTTTTACTGAACTGCTGCACCATAAAGCGTTTGCTGCCCAACGACTTTGCATTTGCATATTTAAAGTCCTTAATTTATTTTATTTTCCACAGCCTGCTTGTATTACATTGTTATTGTTTCTTTTATGTACGTTTTTTGTGATGTCGCTTAATTCAATTACCTTTTGGGCTATCCACACATACCCACACACACACACACACACACACACACACACACACACACACACACATACACATACACACACACACACACACAAAAGATATAGAGTCGTGGTACAAAAGTCAACGCAAACATAAAACTGTTTGGGACGACGGTGTTAACAAAAAGTGGCTTACCATGAATATTTATTTAACAAATTTCTTCTTTTATTTTTATTGCTGTGCGGGAATCTTTGTCGTTTTTATGCAAGTCCACCATTTCTTTGTTCTTGTACCAGTCGCAAAATTTGTTTTACTTTCAATTTTAAAATTTTTATTTCGACCCAGTTGTCGCTGCTATGTGCCATATTCATTGGTGTC